ATAAGCGCTTTCAGCCTTTCTGCCCCATCCTCTGGAACTCCATCCCAGAATCTCTCCACCTTGCCGCTTCACTTGCCTCCTTCAAGGCCCGTCTCAAGACCTTCCTCTTTGACCATGCCTTTAGTTATCCTCCAACTCCCATCCCCCTTGGCCCCCAACCCTCTTGATTCCAACCTTTAGCGCCAGCCCCTTGGGATGTTATCCCGACATGAATGTGCTATATAAAAGCAATTTGTTGGTATTATTGCGCTCAATGATGAGCTAACAGAGAACAGACATAGGATTGTCTTTATGTGGCTCAGTAACCACACCAAGTCATTCTTCAAAGCATGCAACTCAAGCAAACTCAAGGAATGCTACAAAACGATTGATCCTCTTACAACATTTGTCAAGCAATCTCTCTCTAAGTATGTTTGCCTCCAAAAACTTCTTGGACAAAATAGAGAATGAAAATATGGAATAGAAAATATTCTTTATTCCCAGTCTAAAAAACACAAGTGATTCGACTTTATAAAGCAGCAGAAGCATTCTCATTGACATCTGGTATGCATTGCATTTTGACCTAAATCAGCCTTTGTCAATCGTATCTATGCTACCTAACATTAGGAAGATAACTGTGGTTATGTACCGTGGGCTTTTCTCTCAGGCATGAAAAAGTGATTACACTAGAATATCCAAGTCCACTGTATCAAATTTCAGGAGGTCACAAATGCATTTTTTCCCAAGAGAAAAAGGTTCTCACACAGAGAAACTTCTTAGCCAATGCAAGATTTTGAGCGTGTTGTGCATTTGGTTAACCATGACTGTATGGAGAGAAAATGCAGCTAGTCATAATACAATTGCACACCTCAGCTAGTTGGAATATCTTTCTGCGAATGTGCAGATGATGTGTGATACCGAAAATACCATTTTGCCATTTCCCAGGTCAATACAAAGTCATTTGTATCTGTTAACAAATAGGTGAATGGTTATTCAACTGTCGACCAGGAGATCAAATGAGTGAATTAATTCACAGTTGGGAAGGCAGCAGCCTGGTAGAATGGTCTTTTCTTGTTGCATGTTCTCAGTTTGTGACTCGTGTGTTTAATGCTCAAGATATATAATTCAGCAGGTTTCAACCAGTTTCCCAGGGTCAAGTTAATTGAGATGGTTCGATTATTGGGAGGTTAACTAGTTGGCTAATATCACAATGCCACTGATTGATGTTTTAACTTGAGGTGTCCCAAAACCCAGATTTGGCATGGTACTGTATCGGTTACTTCAGGCCATGTTAGTGGAATTTTCCCAAGTGTATGACATGGATGAGTTGGATTATATTAATTTAGAAAGCCACCATTTTACCTAAAACATTCAAAATCATATTGTTACTTGCAAAGCTATAGGTGATTATTTACTTGATTCCATTTCAATGTGATAATATCCCAAATGTTTAATTAATTTATACTATACATAGGCATGCCTAATGGCAACACATGTCAAAGGCAGAGCAGATTATATTCTTGCACTGAAGCAAGGTAAACCAGATGTTAAAGCAGTTCCATGGCTGTTACAATAACCTGCTCTCCAAAGTTAGATCTACTCATCCCCAATGTGGGCTAAAGATCTGTCAATCATGTTTTTCAAACCAATACGTGTCTACAGAAATCTCTTTCGTTTAAATGATTGTGACATGTTTCATTTTTTTATAATTTCCTTTAATCATTATTGTTGTGTAAAATATAACCTGCTTTACACAACAATAATGAATATAATTAAATCTAAAAAGCTAATGACAAACCAGCCAGTTGGCTCATTGGCACATTTTGGTGAGGCAGGACTTGTTTCAGGGGTATGACAAGCTATGACATATTAAGTGGGTGAACTCCAGCGGTACACTAATGCATACTCAAACCCAAGTCTTGGCTCTTGCCAACTTGCATTGAATACTCATTAGGAATTAGGTAAGCAGGAACATCCCTCCAGTGAGAGAATGCACAATCTATTCCAAAAAAGAGAGAAATTTCTGTATGTAGGTGGTATACATGTATGGAACTCTCAATCCATTTTGGTTACTCTTAAACATATTGATAGCGCCAACTGTCCAGTGCCTTAGGACATCCTCCCGACGTGAAAGGCGCTCCATAAATGGAATCTTGTTGTTGTTGTTGTTGATAGGTTTCCAAATGTGTCAGACCAGGCTGACTAAGTTGACTAATACTATGCTTTTAGTCAGTTGACTAATACTATAGACCTGCTCTCACCAGTATAAGATCATGGAGTGTGAAATCATGTCTATGCATCCACTCCATATACATATTCCATTGGGAGAGGGAGACTTGTGTGATTTCCACTCAATAAATTCTGTGCAGGTGGAAATGGCTTTGCTCCTGAAATGAGCAGGGGCTTTGCCATGTCTTGCATTGCCATGTTTGGTGATTCATCACTGCCAGATTTGTAGTGATTTGACACCAAATGGGGAGTTGAAACAGAGTCAATGACTTTAGAGAACTACGGGGATTTTGGCAATGTATATATCTTGATAGTATTGATTTACAATGTGCTGGTAGATATTTAATACTTCTTAGCAATAGGCCATCTAAACCTTTTGCATATATGGAAATGTTTCGAAGGGAAAATGGGAGAACTGTTCATCAATAATCTTCCCTCATTTTAAATGCCATTATATGAATTACACTTATTTGGAAATGTAATGTATACAGTATGACAGAAGGCTTATATGAAGATGGAATATCTTAAACGTCTGGTGAAAATCCTTTTGGCTGTTTTAAATCTTGTAAAAACATTTTTGTTGGATTTTAATTGGTATTTATAAATTGGAAACGTTAGTGTATCATTTGTTAGTTTCTGGCTGTATGCCAGGTTTACAAGATCAGGTAACTGTACCCTAAAAAGCACAATACAACTGATCATTATGCAACCAATTGCTTGAAGGATGACCAGAAGCACTGAATTTGCAAGCATTCAGTTAAAGTCAAAATGAGCTATTTATTACTGTAGATATTTTACATTTATGAATGGCAATTTATTCTGCAGAAATAATAAGTTCTGTGAAATCTATTGGGTTTGCACTTTTCCAAAACAAATATTTATCTCACACCTTAACTTTACCCATTAGTCAGAAACCTAACAAATTTCAAATCCAGGACCTAAGAGGCTGTAGTAATATTTTGCTTTCTTTTTTTAAATGTTTCCTCTTTTTTGCTCACAATTTGATAACTTCCACAATATACTACCACATGCCAAATTGTTCATTCAATTAAGGATTGGATCCAGGTTAGCTTCTCATTTTGAATGCCTTCAGGTTGTGCAAAAAGCCCAAGTTAGTGAGCAGAGAGAGTGAGTGGAGAAGTAAGCTTGGAAGAGTTCGGAGAGTTAAAGAGGTGCCAGAGAGTGGATGGATTTATAGGCAAAATAAAACTTGTATTATGTCCAAAAATATCCTCCTGGATAGATTTAAGTGAGATTCCTCTCTGGTGCATATCACAGCCAAACCCAATACTCTCCTAATCTGACATACACGCATACACCTTCCAGAAGTTTTTTTTTGCATGGTACGAGCCCTGATGATTACTTTCCGTTCCCTCCACGAAGGCATTTAGGCCAATTGTAACATCTTTATTGCTGTCCCAGCTGAAGTCATCAGCTAACTAAGCACAGATTGGGATTTGAAACTTCAACTTTCTGGCTAGCTTCTACATTTGGTGGTCATTGGAAGCTCCAGAGAGATCTGATAACATGTAAGCAACCAAAGTAGTTGAATTCAAATGAATTAGGGAATTTTGAATGATTGGTTTTAACTTTTAAAAATAACATTTCAAAAAATGAATGCAGCGTTTTCAAAGACTGGACTTCTGTTTAGTCCCAGACAACCATAAAAGTACGCACTCACTGGGTATAATTATATTGTCGCAGAATGCTTTAAAAAAAATGTCAGCACTATGTTAATAATTTCTGTATGAAGTATTTTGTTTAATTCAGTTCACCAATGTTTAACACTTGGATCACTGTATATTACAGTAACATACTGTAGTTCTTATAGCTACATACATTGAGAATCTTACACTCATTACTGAAGTTGGCAAGATAGAATGGGAGGGTGGTTTGGGTCTTTAAAGGATTCAACAGTGTGAACTCTTGGGAGTGCTCATGTGAGCAATTGGGAACCTGGTCACTCATCAGCTACAGACTTTGTCTGTTTAGCTAGAATGAAACTGAAGTAGGGAGGTGCACAGCTTCTGGTGCTTCTCCAACTTTTTAAGTGTGTCACTCACTCAGATGCATCAAAGGTGTTCTGTCCACATGTTGCTGTGCATGTGTGTGTGTGTGTGAGGATTAAGGCTGTACCATGTGTACCTTCACAAAGTTAGCCCAGAGTGAGCTTGCATGTCTGGGGAAATTGTTTCATGTTGAGAGGACTGCATAAAATAAAAATAACATAATATAAATTCTAATATAAATATTATTACAATATAAGTGGGGCTTTGGGAGATGGGTGGGACTTTTTAAATTAATTTCAAAGGTTTTAGGACCTCCATCCAAAAGGTTGATCCCCTCCACCTCATTCAGCTTCCACCCTCAGCTCATCTTTAAGCACTATGAGGCATCCCCCTGAGGTGAAAAGTGCTATATGTAAACGTAAATTGCGATTGGAACAGACAGTACATTCTTGTAATTTACATTAAAAGTTGTACGGCTTAGTGTTTTGAAGGAATGTGTGTACAGTTTTTACACTCTGTTTAAGCTCATAAATTCCATGGGCATCAAAGACCAATCCGCAGGATTACGTGACTTAATAACAAACTATTCGAATCCTGAAAAAAGAATGGAGCTAAGTTTGAAATTTTTAAAAATCCTTTTTTATAAAAATATAAACATCTCAACATTCAGTTTTAAGAACAATATCTTATATTTAGAAGACTTGCATGTACCCATGTAAATACTTTAATGGACTTTTCAGTTTAACTAGCAATTACTTAATTACTTTTCTTGTTTTACACCAGGTCCCCCAGGAGAAAAAGGAAAGCACGGTCGAAGAGGTATTCCAGGTAAGTGAAAGAGCTGGCCATTTTTTACAGACAGAGTCATGTTCTTTATCTATCTTGTTTGGTGTAGAAAATCTATGAAGTGAGCTACGAGTAAGCAAATTATACATTGAAAGTTATTCTCTTGTAAATTATTTCCAAATACGCAGTCTACATGTTACATTTTACAGTAAATCCTGTGAAGTGCTTTGAGATATCATCCCAATGCCAAAGGAGCTATATCAAATATTATTATTCTATTCATTCAAATATTTATCAGTTATCTCTATAATAGTGCTTTAGATAGGCCTTGTTTGAGTTGTGTTAGCTTTCAAGGTATCCATAAATACTATTAATGTAAAGTAAATAGAGGTTTGCAGTTTAAAAAAAACGTTTTGTGAGGTAGGGATTTGTATTTGGAGCTTCAAAATGCAAACTATGTATGAAACCAAAATATTATTTTTTGAGTAACACAGTTCACCAAATCTATGTGATCTTTCTTTTCCCGATGAAACTATCAATTACTATCAATGACCTGAATTGTGCTGACCTACTAGAAGTTTAAATTGGAAACTATGAACTATTTTCTCAAAATTCATGACATGTACACAACAACAATAACAAAATTACATTTATAGAGCGCCTTTCATGTCGGGAGGACATCCCGAGTCACTGGACAGTCAGGGGTCAGCACCCGAGCATGGGGGAGGGGTGGAGTAGGATTGAGGGAAGGCAGAGAGGTGGAAGGGTGACCGAAGGCACAATCGAAGAGGAGGGTCTTGAGACCAGCCTTGAAGGAAGATGTAGGGTGATGGCATTACAAAATAGTTCTAACTGGTGAAACCTTTTCCTATTGCTTTCTGTTTCACACATATATCCTTCCGTCCTAAATTACCATTTGTGCAACTCATCAGCAACCACTGGTGGCAGAAATGGAGTAATACAGCACCATCAGTCAGAATAGGCCCTATAAGCAGTGTTTTAGGATTTAAACATTTTGACCTGATTGGGTTATGAATGATCAAATTACAAAGGAGCAGCCTTTGATATCGTACTCTCTTGTTTAAAAGACTTTTGCTTTTGGGTCACTTTGTCATGGTAACTAGAAGCAACAACAACTTATTTTATATGGTCCCCTTCACTCACTGCTGACAACAACAACTTGAATAACAAAAAAAGTTGATGTCTTTTTCTGCAGCATGCTCACTATTTGCTGCTATTGCCACCTTTTATACACTGCCCTTGCACACTATGCATAAGAAAGATTGCTTGCATCACTTTCGGTGCAATGCACATGTGCGCAAGGCGTTTCTTCAAGAAACGCTGTTGCTGCAAATAAAATGTAGTGCACAGTTAGTGGCACTTCCTGCATACCTATTCTTTGTAATGAATACAGGGTTTGCTTTTTTTTGTCCTGTGGAAGGTGTTTCATTCAAATCATGTCCAACTTCCAGGTCATCAGGTTGCCACCAATGTCAGTTCCTGCGCACAGGTCATGTACTGTGCACAGAAAGCGAAGTTGTTGGCGACAAAATGACCCAGATTTAGCCAATGGCTTCCTGCATGCATTCAGAGTGAATGTAGAAGTACTGACCAGAGATCGTGCCCTGTTATAACCCTAATAATCCTTACAATTGATATAGCACCTTTTACTTCTTGAAGACATCCCAAAGCACTCCTCAGGAATATAATGTGAAGTGCAGTGCTGTGCGTTTTGCGGGCAAACGTGGTAATCACAATTTTTTCATATGTCAACCGGGTGTCTGACACATGTGGAAACCTATCACCATCCTTAAGAGTATCCAAACCGGGTTGAGATTTCCAAACATCCCACCTACACATGGAGATCCCAGAGATAGATTGTTGGAATGGAATGTGATCTCTCTCCCTGAAGGAACACACCTGCTTACCCAATTCCGGAAAGTATTAGGCGCAGGTTGTCAAGAGCCGAGGCTTGGGAACATCAGAGTGCGTGTCTTGGGGTACTTCTGGAGTCTAACCAGCTAAAACCACCTGGCTTGTCATTGATATTGCTGTCCAGCAAGCATTCTTCCTGCTGGTCCAGCTAGGACCGCCCTACCCGTGAGGGCTTTGGCTTACAACAATGTCCCACAAACAGCCATGAAGTGTCCCTCCAGGGAGAGAGTGTGCATTCCATTCCAACAATCTATTTCGGGAACCTTCATGCGTAAGTGGGATGCATGGAATTCTCAGTTTGGTTTGGATACTCTTAAGCATTGTAATGGCTTTTCGCATGTCAGACACCCGTCTCTTCAACCTCTTGAGTAAGAAAATGTCTCAGAGGGAACTTTAGAGAGGTGTATACAATTCAGATGTGATTGAAAAACTTCACCAGGTACAATGCTCCCATGCACCAAGACAGTAGAACAAGAGTACGTAGGTTTACAGTTACAAAGGGCAACTTCAGCACAAACACTAAAAAGTATTTTTTTGCCCAGCAGTTACTTAATGACTAGAACAGGAAGGGTGGTTGAGGCCAGGACATGGGACTCCTTCAAACAATAGCCTGATACTGTGCTGGGAAGACAGTAAGATTGGTATTCTGGAAGAATTAGATCAAATGAATCAAAGGCCTTCTTCATCCAAACTGATTTTGTGATCTAGAAGTTTGGATTTGATCTTTTCCAACTGAGCTGGAGAGTACTTTTTACCAACAGTTTCAGGAAAATAGAGCATTGTTTAATCCGCAGTAAAGTTATCTCTAGGATAAATGTATACAAACTCTCTTGTCTTTATAAAGACTTGATCTGTCTTAAATGTAAGCCCATTTGCCTAAAAATAACCCTTTTCTGACTGGGTATTATGACAAGTGATGTGATTCGTTGACTGAAAAGAAAGAATGAGAACTAGATTGAAACTTGTGTTGACATTTTCCAGACGGCAGCAGTGTAATATCTTTTGTTTCTTTTATTTACAGGACCATCTGTAAGTACATGAAGGGCTTGTGTTGCTCATGGGAACCGTTGGGTAAAAAAGACTATGTGTCAGCAGGCTTCTGCTTAATATATTGCATTCTGGATATTAGTTTATTTCTGCTGTATTTTTTCATTGTTGTGTAAACTTTTTGTTTTATGAAGTCTGCATTTGATATTATCCTTGTACTGTAATCATTTGTGTCTTGCATTAAATAGATTTAATAATGGGATGAAAAACTGTCCTGTGAATCTTCCTGTAGTGCACATTTTAATTTAAGTGCTTTTTTTTAGTAAAGCTAATAAATCCAGTTTATTACTTTGGCTTGTTGTGCTGTGTACATATAACATGTTCATGGTCTTTTTGTACTGCATTTTGTCCATTTTAGGGACCGCCAGGAAGAGATGGATTTCCGGTAATTACTCTTTAAGTGCACCACTCACTCCTGCATCTGCTGAAAGCTATGTTTGAACTAGTTTCTTTGTCCTGAATGGGTGTCTTAATCCAAACCCTGTTGTGCATCTATTCCTGTTCTGTTGCAGAAACTTGCCTTTACTAACTTTCTGTCCACTCCCATTAATAAAGGTCTTTCTGTTTTTTTAACTAAGTAACCCAAAGTGGAAAATAACTAATGATGGTGTTTAGGATGGATAATCTGATTGAAGAGAAGGTTGAATCCCCAGCCATTAAACATGGCTAAGTCATCAACTTTATCATTGTATTCAGCTATTTTGCAATCATTTGCTTCCCAAACTCTTGCCTTGGATTTCTAAAGCTGTGGATGGAAACTTGTTTAACTGGTGGCACTGCATTAGCATACAACCATGTTTTTGGTATGCTGACTGCTATTTCTCAGCGTTAACTCTTGGCCTAGCAGTCTGGTAGTTTGGTGTGTAAAATACTGTTTAGCAGCATCTAACAGGAAATTTCATGCTTTGTGTACAAGCATTAAATCACAGAAAGCTGGTGATATTTATTTGCACCTTGGTCATGGAGCAGCTTATGTGCTACATAATGTATTTGCACCTCAGCGGGCTTTGAGGTATAATCATGACATTTTATTCTGTTCAATTCTGACTATACATTGATTATTAGGGAAACAAAGGAGCATTGGGTCTACCAGGGAGAAGGGTAAGTTTTACTGTTGCATCTAATTCTAGCCTGTGGACAAAAGTCTGATGCCTTACACAGCTATCCTAAGCATTTTATGCTCTGCTGAAAAACCAAAATCAACAATCGTTTCAGCTATTTATTAATAGGCTGTCTAAAATATTTAAAGCTGCAATATCCCACCTGTTCCTAGTTAGCTTGGATAAACTGTATCCAAAATTGTGTTAATACAATATTTCATCTCTGCCTGCATGTACAGAATTAGTGTATGTATAAATCATTGGAAAATGGCACAATTTTTAGCAGTGTGGCAGTCCTTGACTGTCATGTGTTCTCCCATGAGAGTCATTATGTAAACATTTGTTAAAGATCAGACCAACATTTGGCTTACCAAGGATGGATGATCTTTGTTAAATTGATGATGTTTAGGGTTTATTTTATTTCAAATGCCAGGATACTGCAGCCTTAAACAGTGCATTTGACTATGCAGCTTAATTGCATCCTTTGAGAGCCCTTTTCCTTATTTGTGGCTCTATCTGACGCCTTCTTAATAGACCAATCTCTGCCAGTTCCATAAATTGAAACACCATTATTTCATTTTAATACGAACATAACACTGACGGGATTTCATTGAATTTCTGAGCAGGGTCAGAGTGTCTTTTAAATAGGATTGATTTGCTTTGTAGTTGTGGTTTGCATTCTATATATATATATATTTTAAATTGCCTATCCTGCATTGCAGCTACTGCTTTTCACATCAGTTTTTAAATGGACTGTTTGGTCAAACCCTTCCATTTGGAGTAAAAAAAATCCCCCCCCGAAAAATAGAATTGATACTTAATTTGTCATTATTGCAAACAACTGGAGCACAATCTGTGGTATATACAACAAATAACACTCAATGCCTATTACTTATTGAAAAATATGGAAATATTTTTTCTTAAGGTTGTGGCTTTGGCAACCTCCTATATTGTACTCTGTTGCTGAAAAGAAACATTGACTGTTTCTATGGCCAATATATTTTGGCAAATAATCCCAAGTGCGGTATTTTTGTTATTCCTTACTCTTCTCCAATACTGGACAGCCTTTTTAAAATTATACTTCATTGGTGTTGGCTTTACCCCATTGTCATGCATTTCTCTGATTCTTTCTAATACAGTGATTTGTTTTGCATAAGTATTGGGTTTATGAAGGATATTAACAAGCACATTTATCACTCTGCAAAGAATTGTTATTTTCCTTCTTTAGTTGTAATAGCAGACACTACGTGATTGTTTAATGTTTAATTGCTATAAAGTGAACAAATCCAAAATATAGTAAAACCTGTGGGTTGGAACTCGCATGAAAACATACCGCTGGGTTCAGCTCACTAACGACAAACATGTAGGAAATTGTAAACAGCTCAACTGGGTTTTAAAACAACAACTTGCACTTATATAGCACCCTCCACGCAGGCGCTTAAAAAGTAGGCTCCCATCAAGGTTCTGAAAGATCACTGTTGTAAGCAAACTTGGTAAAGAAACTGAAGAGAAAGTATTTGCAGAATTTTTGGAAAAATGCTTGCAAGGATTCATAACTTTTGTTTATTCGGATGCTGCATTTCAATACTTGCAACAGAAGTGTCTTTTCCTAAGTGACATACTCTTCCTCTGGTCGTCTCCAAATACGATGACTGTCACCTAGTGTAAAAAACTACGTAAACTGATTCTGATTTGCTCGGGGTAGCTTTTCTAAGCTTCGCACAAACTATCAAATATATCTCTCAGTAAAATTATCTTTCAGCAGTTTACATAAAACGTGTACCATAAAATTTAGAACCTATCACCTATCATAGTTACTTTTCTTACAACTTTCCCGTAAACACAGATATAATGACATATGAAATCAGAAGTGTGATAATTTAGAAATATTACATTTCCAGACGAGTAGAACAATACCAAGCATTAACGGATTTAAAATGCTGGATTTCCACGGGGGGCAGATTTGTGTGTGGGAGAAAATAAGGGATTTCTTCCTGTTATGAAAGCAGACTTCTTTTTGTTAGTTTCATCTGCATGATCACTTTCCTGAGAACTTCAGCACTGACCTTTCACTTTATATTAACTAGACGAAGCAATTAGGATAATGCCGGTTTGCTGAATGTCTCTGGTATTGTAGAACTTAATGGAACTGATTCTTTCCCTATTTATATTGTGATAAATGTACTTCTTGCATGTTCGAAAATGCAGTTCATTTTTCCTTATTTACAGCATTTTTGCTTTCTGGCTGCATTTTTGTGTGTTGAAGTTCTGTGTTTTTAATCAGAATTTAATAAGTATCCATAAATCCTGCATCTGTAATCAAGAATACAAATATGTATTTCTTGTTGACATTACCTTTCCAACTGTATGACTTGGATTTAATTGGAAACCAGGAAGATAGGATCAGTATTATTTTTGTAGTTGTACCAAGTGACAAAATTACGCAACTGTCCTTCTTGGTGCTGAGCTGGTTCCAAGATGAATTGCTTGTCAATGGAATATCAGAATTGAGTCCATCCTGTATGGCGGTCTCGGTAGTCTGGTTCCTGAACTAGGCAGGTCCACAGTACTCCAAGGCACTGCTTGTGACAGATCAGTGAACCTGGGTGTCACCAGGACTTGGAGGGGCAAACTGATCACTGACGCAGGATTCTGCCCACAAAACACACAGACACTTCACAGTAACATCCTGTGAAGCACTTTGAGATGTGAAAGGCACTATTCCAAATGTAAGGATGATTATTTTCCCATTTGCCTCCAAGAGTACACACTCCATCCCAGACAAATTAAAATTCCCATGCACACATGGCATGTATATGTGGAACTCGGTCTGGTTTGGATCCTCTTGAGCTTAGCGATACAAAATTGTACAGCCGGAACAACAACAACAAAATTATATTTATTGTTGTTCAGGCTGTAAAAAAAAAATGTACACCCTGAACTTCGTATCTAGTGGGCAAGAGTCCACAGCATAAAACTACTTATAATTTGGCACTAAGTTTCTCAGAGAGACCATAAGGACATCTGATCTGGGTAATGGAAATGCCACACTGATGAAGCAATGGATGCTGAAAGGTTGTAGTGTGGGCACAAGAGCTAGCTTTATGAGGCATCTAACTCGTATTATGCTAATACTGGATGTAAAATGAGGTGATCTTCATCTTAATGAGGCTTGACAAAATCCACACACACCTGCTCACAAAATCTTGTTAAAAATTCCCCAAATAAATGCTTGTTTACAAGTGTTATATTCATAGTGTTTGAGTACCACAGACTCGATATGTGAGATTACACCCCAGTTAATGAAGAAAAGTTTGATTTTATTCATAAATTATAGCCCAGTTTCTATACATTTACATTTCTTCAATTGTTCACAATGAGTCCTATCGAATCACTCCACATATGTTTGAGTCATGGTGTGACACATGTAATAATAATTTACATAGACATATTATGTGCTTATCTTATAGAAAACTTTAGGTCAACTCACATTTGAGCCTTCTCCATGTGCTTCATAGAAACTCCTCCACACAGCTGATCCATGTAATGCAGTTTAAATTAGACCACATGGAGGGAGGAGCATGCCCTTGTTGAAGTAGAATTCACTGCAAGAAGAAATGAGAGAGCAAAGCTAAATAATATTACTCTAGCACTTTGTGTCGATGCACCTAGAGTACGTTTACTAAAGCTGAAGATTGCAAAGTGTCTAATCTTCTGCTGTGCCGCTTGCTTATTGAGTATTCTGTTCTGTCTAGGCATAGGTTTTTGCATTGTTTTGGCTGTGAGTATGTTTCCAAGTAGATGACTTCACTGGCATGTGAGAATTGCATTCAATTTTATTAGTCTCATACTAATCCTCTTATTTGTGTCTCTTCTTTACTTTTGCATGCTGTTTGCTGTGACTGGCGCAGGGTCTAAAGGGGGAACCTGGTGAAAAGGTGAGTTCATTAAAAGGAAAGGGAAGCTTCCTCATAAGCAATATTTTTATGACTCGTTAATTAATACAAAGTCTACTTGCTGGCTGCTTCAAAATCGCAGGTGTGTTGGGAAGAACAAATTCACTTGCAAATGCCATTCCAACTAATGGGACGATGGAAATGATGAGTGGTGGCTTAAGATGGTATCTTTCTTTCTGGAAACCTGAACATTGATTGAATTCACAGATCTCCGTCCTGCTTTGTCTTTGGGTATATGAAAGTAGAATTTCTGGAAAAAAAAACAAAGCAACTCTTTCCCTCCTCCCCACTTTTTCAACCATGGCACATAGTTATATTAGTAACCCTGTTATATCACTCCCTGGCCTATGTGGTGCACCTGACTTACCATGCAAAGCTATGACTGACTTTGAGCAACCCAATGCACCCCCGCCACCCACACACACACACACATGCATACATACACCACCACATCCCCCTCTATTCCTTTCTCCCTCATGTATGCATTGAGTATCCTTTTGAATGCATTGATACTTTCTGTTTCAACAGTGAGTTATACATTCTTACTGCTCTCTGAGGAAAACATTCTTCCTAAACTCCCTTTTAGATCTATTGGTGGCTATCTTATATTTCTGGGCTCTCTCAATTTCCTTATATTATTTCTCCAGTTTTTAGTGCTTTTAATGCCCTTTTTTTTAAAAAAAATGGCTAGAATTGCCAAACTACTCAATTTAAATGGATGTAGCCATATAATGAACATCCTTGCAAATCAAGTCGAAAGTCCTTAAATAATTGGCATCTACACTGACAACTGCTGCTAGCCTTAAAACTTACTCCAAACAAAATAAAACTAGATAAAATATAAACATTAGTTTTAATTTCTATTTCGGGAAATCACTCTTGGGATTCAGTTAATATGTGGATTTAACTCCCTGCTCCCACTTTGATTACATTATTTATTTGTCCAGTATTGTTTATATATAATGTCATAACAGTTTATCAGATCTGAGCATTTTGCTAAATATTAAACCATATTGGATCAGAAGGTTAGGAGTATAACCCAATATTTTATTGTTTATAAATGATGTGAATATTGTGGCATCGTCCTGCTTTGCTCAGGCTAGTGATGAGTGGAGTAATTAAACCTTGAAGATTTATTTATTCATCAAAATATACTACAATACAAGCTGATAACTGTAAGGAAATAGCTTTTATGTCTGACTACTTGGATCTGTCTATTGGAGTGGGCAAAAAGGTTCTTTTGTTTTAATGATTTTCCTGGAATACGTTTTTGGTAAGAGTTTTATGGAATAAACGTTACTTACATTCACGCATAGTTTGGCTTGAAATCTATGTTCAGAAAGAAGGCTCAGTAGGTAAAGGCAAAATATCCAAATATAAATCTTATAATCCTGTTTATTAACCGGTTAAAAAGTATAACTACTTGACATGCACAAAGATGTACTTCTCATACTGAACTATGCATTTTAAGCATTATTAAATGCTACCCAGCCAACTACCAGATGTACAGGCCAGAACTGTGAGAAATACATAGGTGAATATTATGTGTGGTAGGTGGAGTGGGAGGGATTTTCCTGGGAATGCAATTGATGTTTTTTTCACACTTTCCTGTCTATAGATCTTATATAATCCACAGGATTTATGCACTGTACTACCACTTACGTGGCCAAGTAGTCTAAATATTTGTTTCTCACCGGAGCAAAAATATCACAATGTTTAACCTTTAAGAAGCCAGAAGGTAACTTTTGAAACTGCAATGAAATGTGTGTGTATATATATATATATATATATATGTAGCATGAATGAGTATTTTTTATTCATTCACACTCCTGCAAAAGTATATAGACACTCCTGCAAATGTAAATTTATTCAGTCAAACATAGTGATGTTCATGTCCATGAGGCCTACTGGACCTTTTGTTTACATACTACTCCAATGGTTGATTATGTTGTATGCTGTATGACTGCATTGTCCAGAACAGAACGATACCTGGTTTGATTTCTGTGCTGAGGTATCTGACCTCAACTGTGGCAACTTGTTATCTCCATCTCAGAAAGCGAGTAAAAATCAGGCTGGTTTCAGGGTCTTGCCTGGAGTCTGTCAACTCCTACTGCTGTATGTACACACGTGTGGAAGCTAAGTGAGGACAATATCCAGCTCTAATGAGGCTCTGATGAGCCTGCTGAGTTGTCATTCCAGGTTTGTACAGGAAGAAAAGACACTTGTGTAATTTTGGACAATGTTTTGGGAGTGATGAGAAGAGGAAGAATTAGGGAAATTGAGGATGATAGCTGAATTACTATTAGGTAACCTTTTAAGACAAATTGTTGCAAAGGTGCTACCCTTGAATGTTGTCCTTTCATACGTACATTTGTCGACTCACAAATCATGATGGCACCTTAATCTTTGAGGTCAAATGCTGCTGCTTCTTTTACAACTTCTGTCATTCTATCTCTTTCGCTCCTCCCCCTTCCCTCCCCCCCAATAGCAGAGGAGGTATCAACGTCTCCTCACTTTATTTTTCAATAGTTTAAAAATCTGTGCCCTGTTTTCTTGCTTAGGAGCTGGATTATCTATAACATTTGTGAAACGCATTGACAAAATGAGTCATAATTGTTTTTAACCTTGCTGGAAAGGTTCTGGAAATGTACTCATGTACTTGCAAGCTACACATAGGCAGTGGTTTCCTAAACACCAGACCCATATAATTCCTATCCTCTCCATAAATACCCAAAGAATGTCCAGTTTTGGAAATGGCCCACAATGGAGTAAAAGTGTTATTTAGAGGTTAACCAACATGTAGAGATTTATATCTGGCCTGGTTAATTCCAGTCGACAGTAGTACTGGTTTGACGCTGAGTGCATTCCACATTGAATAATATTTTTATCAGTACATCTTTTTTGTTAGCAACAGCACTGCTATTTGGTTTAATGCTTTTCATGGGAAACAAAACCTTAAGAAAAATAGAATTTGCAAAAGATGCACAGTTGTCACTACTATAAGTGAAGAATCCTCCTTGGGAAACAAAAAAAACAAGGGAGGATCACCTGCTCTCATACCTGTTTCCTTTGTAGCTGGTCATAAAGCACCATATTTGGATTCTCTACAGCCATTTATTTGTATGCCCAATTACAGTACAGAGCTGGGGGAGGACAGCATATTGCTGTCAAGAGCTTTAGAGAAAAAGGGTAGGGTGGAGATGGGTGCTAACTGGAGAGTTTGGAAGGGTCGAGGGTATTTTTTTTTGAAAGCGGGTTCTCTGCCAGACCATAGGGGAGGTTGATGAAGTACAAGCAAGAAGCAAACAGCATTCCAGCATTGCTGATTTCTGTAAATTGCATGAACCTGGCCTGTTGGAGCTGGTCTTTGGGTGCAATAGTCTATAGGCAAGGTGTTGTCAGAACTGAAGGTTTATAGAGATCTTCGGAGTACACCTACAGTCTGTCTAACCTGCATAGTCTATCAAACTATTGTTGGTTAAGATGGGTAGATTTAGCAAGCTGTCTCAATAGGAAAACCCACTGTCCAATATGTAATTGAGCCAAATAGAGCTGATCGTTTCCACGTTTGATCCACTGACTTTGTTGGTCTCATTTGGGGCAGCAGTAAGTGCTGATTGGTCTCAGTATCCTGATAGGAATGTGAACTCAGGTCTCCTGAATGTAACCCTGTGACCTCTACTGGTAAGTACAGGTGTGTGGATGTCAGATTTAGGACCAAGTGCAGATCAACTGTGTTATTCCCAATCACCAAATGGCCTATCAATGCCAACTGCTATACTTACATGTAAAGAACAGCCACCTGGGAGGTATTCCCGGAGAGAGCCCGTGTAAGTGGAAGTTTAAGCCAGTATCAGTGAGTGCCTTCAGAAGAGATGGAAAGAATATTTGAAGGGAAGGACTAAACCGAAGCAATGGGATAAGTCAATTCATTTACATAGCTGGTTTCTCCTGGTGCAATGTCGGAGAGATTGAACAAAATGAGTTTTATTTATGTGTAGGTTGTAACAATCTGACTGCTTTTTCCTTCAGGGAGCTCCAGGAGATCCAGGCATCTCTATTATTGGACCTCGTGGCCCTCCAGTAAGTCTCTGTTAGCCTATTAAAATTCCTTGTTGATTGTGCACTTGACGGTGACATATTGTAATATACACCAACACTTTTTATTTTTATTTTATGTGTTTATTTTAGATTTTTTGTTATGTTGAAGAAATGTAAGCGTAGTCACTGGATTCTGCATTGTATTATAAGTTTCATTACTGTCCCAGCACCACCATCATGTTTTTTCTTCCCTATTTTTTTCCACTCTGGTTTACTGGTTGTGTGATTGAAGAAAATTATAAACATTATATTGCACAAACGAAGCACCAATTTTATGATTACTTCATGTCTGCACGCATGACGTGATTCAAAGTATTTTATATTTGTAGTTGAGTTTCTTAAATCTGTAAGAATTACTGAATGCATTCATGCCCTTCAAAGCGATATTGAAAGCTGGCAAATTAGCATTGCCCAGAAAAAACCCTGTCTAGTGTTATACAAATGATTGGGGGAGGATTTAATTTTGTTTGATGTTTATAATTTCCTTTTTGATCAGAGCATAAAGAATTGATTTTATTTGCAGAGATTTTCACTCCTCCTTGAGTTTAAGTCAGGACTGCAGAAGTAGAACTGTGCAATTTAAGCATCTGTTTTTCCAATTAGTCCTTAAAAGCCATATAATAAACCATTACTAATGAGGAACAGATTGGGAGCCAGTTCCTTGCTCCCACATTTTCAGTTTGACAAATGATGAACAAATAACAGCCCCTTTTGTCTTCAAAGGAAGCTACTGTTTCAGAAGCCTTAATTAAAATGATTTTGACCTATCTTCAGTCATTGTGGGCAGCTAGAGAAAGCTGGCTGTACAGCCGGGCAACGTCTGGTACCATTGCCAAAATATTGGCTGAAGTGCAGGGAAGTCAAGAAAAGTGCCTCCGGTATTACATTTTTTAAATGCTGCTGCTGTAAAAAATATAATCCTGTGTGAAAATAATTAAATTTGAAGTATCTGCAAAGTACTGTGGAAATCAAAGTAGCATTTATGTTTGAATTCAACAGCCACCCCACTGCAGGGTTAGGCCTAATCTCCATTTGTTTCCTCGCTCTTGCTAGAAGTTTGGTGCTACACTGAGCAAATATATCCGCTGCGTAGCTGAACCATATGGATTGAAAATAGAAATCCAATGACTGTGCTGAATAATACAAATTCAGCCGAGGAGGAATATAATTGGTTTTAGTGCCCCAGGATAGGGTGTGGAGTATTCCAGCCCCTAAAGGTGATGGAATCACAGTTGTTGCTTTTTCCCCCTCTCTTTTCCCCCCTTCCCCAAGATCCCTGGATCTTCTCTGTCTGGATGCACGTTTGATGAGATACTTCAGGGTGCCCACTACCTACCAACAATAGACATTTGCACCCCACTTTGAGATGGCAAAACTATGGCATTTTGGTGACCTAATGTGTTAGAGAACCAACGTGACATTTGAGTGTTGTGTGGTGTGGTTCCACTGTATCTCCCATGCTACAATGTCTCCGATCTTAATCATAGTTTGATGGGAGGGAACAGATCAAAGGACATTGTGATGGAAGGGCTATGAGAAAGTGCCTGATGTAACAATTTGTCGAGGGGAAGTGGGCGGGTTGTCGGAGAAATGCAATTTGTGCAAGAAAACTATTCCTTATATTCAGACTTCACACTATTTAGTTTTGGGAGGACTGTACTATATTAAATGTTGTTTGTGGAGATGTTGTTTAGTTTCATTGTGATGTCCATCTATTCGTTTGAAATGACTAACTTTCTGCTAGTAAGTAGCTGCATATTTTGTGAGGCCATTCATAATTTGTTCAATACACATTGTAGTGTCATTACAGAACAATCTTCAGAGAGGTTTTTCAACTATGGAAGAACTATACCAAACTCTCCAATACATCTGCCATACATCTGTTGAATTAATGGAGTGCAGTAAAATATTGTAAACCACAACAGATGATTGTAGATGCTTTAGTTTAATGCAATATTGTTGAAAATTACATGCCCTTCCAAACTGAAAAATCTTGGAGCATCTGCATTAAATTCGGGCACTTGGCTATCTGTCATCAGCATGTTTCACTAACAAGAATTAAAGCTATTTAAACTACTATAATTTCATAAAGTGGCTGCATGTTAAAAGAAAATAGCTGACTTTTCTAAGATGAATATGAGAAATCTGTGAAATCATCACCTTCTAAATGAGTGTCCATTCCAACTGCTGTGAGCCAAAGGAGTAACCTTTCTGAGAATAGTAGCAAATGTTGTGGAAAAAGTTTCTCAATCTTTTCTGTTAATTAGAGGAAGCTGCTGACAATGGGGGTCAATTTATTAGCACATTTGATATTTATCACATTGAATGTGCTGCAGATTGAGACGGATACACACCCCTACCTCCAACGCCATTGTCAATGGTGACATCCCTGAAATCGGGTCCCAACATTAATCTCACAGATAGAATTAGTCATTCAATTCATGACTGTTCATGGGACATTGCTGTGTACAAATTGACTGCCACGTTCCTCTACAAAATATACAAATGATGCTACATCAAATGAAAGCAGTACTTTTTTTCATATAAAAATCTAGCTTGAAGAGAGGAAATGGGACCTTTAATTTCATATGACTTACAGTGGAAAAAGCTCTTGAATATAATGTGGAATGGAATCAATGTTTTTTTCCTCATTGTGTCTTTTTGTTTATCCAGGGTCAACCAGGAGCTAGAGGCTTTCCAGGATTTCCGGTGTGTTGACTGTTTGAGAGACTGCCTGCCATATTTTTTCTTCAAAAGTTCTATTTGCTAGCCATTCCATCACAGTTGCCTATGAATATTCTACTTTATTTACACAACAAATTGTATTCGTGTAAGGCTATGATAGTTTCTGAACCAAAGTATATATGCCGCAAAAGATCTATTATGTATGCATATCTTTTGATCATTTGTGTTGCTATGAATTCCGAAACAAGTTAATTGTGCCCCAAACTACCTAAATTTTAGGTCTTAGCGAGCCATCTATCTGTTCATGTTCTACATGTTCATTAGCAAAGAATTACCCTTGGCAGAAAGCTTCTCATTTTCATAACTTCAATTAATTAACAAAGTAGTTTTCAACATTGAGGACATCAATTCTAATATGTTGCACCTCAACAAGAACAAATATTTTTCTTTTGTAAAATTATAATGTGCTTTGTTGAAAAGGAACAGATTATTTTTTTGAGAACTTGTTTTATTCAGACATAAGACATATTGTTCTAACCTATATGGTAGAATATTAAACCTACTGTCCTGAAAACTTTTATAAAAGTAGAAATAATTTCTGATGGCTTGTTTTTGATATGTCTAGTAATCTTTGCTGGAATTGCTGTGACGTTGGACTACCTCCTGAATGAAAATATGCAGATGTGTGCCCTGCCATTCTGTCGTATTAAAGTAATTTGTGATAGGCATTTACAGTACAGAAGGAGTCTTATTTGGCCAGTTGTGCTTGTGCTAGTGCTGTATCATTCCTAAGTGTTTTAAGTGTTGAGATTTGGGTTGTAACAAAAGGTGTGGAATTTATAGCAAGGGATAGAGTAGCTACTTGATAGCAACATATTCAGAAGTAAATACACTAGTATTGAGTGTGGAATTCACTCCTTACGTGAGGAAATGACTCTCAAGGTCACATGTGTTGCGTTTAGTTTCTGCAAATGATATGCTTCAATTAATTTATTGTTCTGAAATGCTTTTGAAGCATATTTTGGTTTACGTTGGCACCTTTTTTTATAAGCTTAAAATAATAGTTATTTATTAACACTGATGTCTTCAAGAAGAATTTGCATCCAGCAGTGAAAATACAATGAAGAAACTCAATTAGTTTTGTTGATCAGCACCACTTATTACTGCTTCATTTTGCAATAATTGCTGTGATTTTTAACTCCAACCAGATTGGATCTAAAGTTATACTTTTAAGTGAGAACTTTTACAGTTTAGTGCAGTGAAGTAAACAATGTGATGTGGTGGTCATTCCCATTGCTAATTACGAATGTATTTCCTGGTAATGTTTATGGGCAGTGACAACATCACAGTCATTGATCTGTCAATATGAATGTAAGAACACATCAATAAAATGGTGCATGCTGGCACTCTTAACACCAATAGCCCCTATTAACACAGTAACTGACCCAAAACGATAAAACAACCCATTAAACCAAATGGTATATAGTTCATAAAATAAGCCCGCTGGAATGATTTCAAGATGGGAATCCATTCTCAGCAATCAAATGATGTTTATAAGGTAGTTCAGTTTTACTCTTAGAATTTGACATAAGTTAAACTCCTTGATTGTGTTACTGTCTCAAATCATTCCCAGGCTTCTCTCCTTCAATATTTATTGGGTGCCAAGATATAAAATTAGACATCAGCATTCATGGGAAAAAATATATTTTCTAAATTTTCTTTTGAACTACAAACCAGATTCCCTTTCTTTTTTGTATTTCACACTATTTTAAAGTAGGATTTTAATTATTTATGAATATTCAGTTAAGATGAATGTCATTTTAAAGTCCTTGTCTTTATTTCTGAAATCATGAAATTCTACATTGTGACTCATTGACTGTGATTCCTTGAAACTCCATTGTTATCTAACATTTGAGTAGATCATTTCTGTGACGGAATCTTGACTTTCATTTGTAATGCTTCCATGATAGTGTATGGCTTACTGCATAGGGCATGTACGGTCTGTTAATCTTAACCGCTTGGCCTGAAAATATCAATGAAACATGAAACTAGCTTTGTGGATGGTTTGTATTGATGCTTCAGCTGCAGTGCAGGATGTGTGTATAACATATACACATAATACAAGTGACTAAAGAAAGTATAGTTGTAAATAGTAGTTCTGAAATATTGGGGAGAAATTCCACCTGGATTTAGATTTACTCTTATTTATGCAGCATTTTAGAGCGTCCAGAATTTGGCAAATGGTTCACTTCAGTTTTAACCCTCAAGTCATTTTTCTTAAAGTTTTTATAAGAACACTGGCTTTAATATGAAGGCTCTATTTAAGAATTTGCTGAATTCGGGATACTTTGAAATGCTACGTAAATAGAGTAAATCTAGATTTATGTGGAATTTCTCCCCAGGGTTTGCAAAATATCTTTGGCTTTTGTTGGTACAGCAAAGGTTTAACTATGAATGGGATATTGTCTTCTTTGAGTTCTGTGGTCCTGTGTAAACCTTTGTGCATATATTGGGAAATAAATATACCTGCATATATGAGAGAAATGTTTGTATTAATAAACATTGTAAATATCACAGATCCATAAATACAAAAATGGAGCAATATTTCCAATATGTTGCATTTTCTCACAATTAAAGAGAAATATTCAGTAAAGTATCAAGTAGAAGCTTTTAAGTGTAAATTGTGTGTGTGGCTTGGTGCTAAGTTGAAACCCTCAATTGATAATACTGTTCAAAACTGGTCTATTACCATATAAAAATATACACTGTAATAGACAAGGTATAAATCTTGGTTCCTTCAAGCTTTACCAAGCTGCTTCCTTTATTGGTGAATATGTTGAAACATTATAAAACAGTTTGCTTTTACACATCTCACTACCAGCTGATGGGAGCCATCCTTTAAAACTGCCATTTAACAAATGAGTGGTGACTAATCTGGTGAAATTTCTTGGGTGTTTTTGCTTCCATGTTTCTGTTGCTAACCATTTCGTTGCTAAAACTAATAGTTATGTTCATTGCTGTGTTGATTCTTATTTGCAGAAAACCCTGCACATCATTTCCTACTAATGTTTTTTTTATTTTAAAACATTTGATATTCTGAACCCATTTGTTTACCTGTATGTACTTATTCTTTCTTAATTTGTTTTGAAGGGCCCGATAGGGTTGGATGGCAAAAATGTAAGTATTTTGACTCTTTCTTAATTGTTGTAGATATTACGCGTGACATTAGGCTTACTTTCTCAATTCCATTTAACATTACCTCACAAGCCGTTCTCTTCACAAGCCCGCTCCCAACCCCACTCCTGTGCTAAATCCTCCCAATTGTCACATATTACAGTGATCATGTTAAGTCAAGGCAAAATTACATTAAATATTTATTCAACTCACGAACCAAAAAAATTCATTCAGTATGTGGCTGGTGTATATGCTTGCTTAAAAAATACTGCATGTTTCATATTCTAAGACTTGCATTTAATATAGCACTGTATAATGTTGTAACATCTCAAATGGAACCCAAGATGTATCAAGATATATATATATGTTTACTTTAGTCTTTTCCGTTTCAATTTCTATAAGCTTTTCACAGGAAAATCATTTTTAAATAAATTGTCATTCAACACTGACTGAACATTTTATTCCTGTAATTTCAGGGCAAGATGGGTCCAAAAGGTGAAATGGTAAGATCTGAAAGTCAAATGTGCCATTCTGTTTCACCCTTTTATTGGTCAGTCAAGAGTCTGACATGCACAGAAACCGATCAACGTGCTTAAGAGTATCTCCAGAATGAGTACTGGCGCTGCTGAAAAACCTATTTGCATGGATATTTCTGTACAGACTAGTACCGTTTGGAACCTTGGAAGATCTCAAATAGAAATATTATTCAGTTTCAAAATAAATCAAGGAAACTAGACAACATTAAAATGATTTACAAATAATGTGTGACAGGCTCAGGATACTACAAGAATTAAGAGTAAAAATTAATTTGTGAAGTTATGCAGTTTATTGATGGAAACATAAGTAACAAATGAGCATTCTGTAATTCCTTGGCTTTCAAAGCAAGCATATTTTAAATTCTTCAGATGTTGAGGTGATGTAGCTGAAATGAAATGTTACACTTTTTTTCAAGTAAACTTTTACATATGCTGTAAACAGAGCTGTTTTGTTAAAAATAGCAATTTTCCCAGCATTTCCTCTTTTGCAATCAATGATTACTTATCTGTACAAACATTCTTTGTAAATTGTAAGGGGAGAAACTTTTTTGTAGGGAGTAGTATTTTTCTGTTTGCTATAATCACTAACNTTTTTTTAATCTATATAGGGTTCACCAGGTTCAAGAGGTGAAAAGGTGAGAACACTTTACCATTATACTGTATGCACGTAATTAGTTCAGACTATACATAAAAAACAATCATTCCAATGTTTTCTATTTATTTGCAAAGGGTGAAACTGGTCAAAAGGGAGAAAAGGTAAGATGCAAATTTGTTGACTTTCAAGAATAGAATTCAGAAGGCATTATATTACTAGTGTTCTGCGAGCTATGAACAAAGTTTTTTTGAGGAACCAAGTAATTTCTAGTTAATGGCTTAAGAAGCAAAAAAAATTGGTTTAAGAGTATAGAAAAGCATGGTAATAAATAATATAAAGAGAAATGTCTTTAGGTATAGTGGTATGTTTATTTCCCCTCATTTCCATGTGCTAAGAGTTTCATAATGCTGGGTTGAGATAGCATGTAAGAAGACATTTAGTGTAGATTTTCCTCCCCAATACTCTAAATTGAATATGGCAATGGCAAACTTCTCTTTCCAATTTGTAAAATTACTGAAGAGGAAGTTTATGTATCCAAAATTTCTATTCTTTAGCTGAATTCTACCAGCCGTTTGAAAGCATAAAATAAAGAGGAAAACTGAGACACACCAGAAAGTCCCATCTATATCTGTCCCTTTTCCATTTTAGGTTTTATATAGTGGTTTAGGGAGTGGACTTCTTTATGAAGTTTTAAGATTTTAACTTACTTGTTGCTTGTTTTGATCAGCTTTAAAGGATTGAATGTGAGGCACCTGATATGAAAACATACTTCAAAATTCCGGGATTATCAGAATAAATCTTATAACTAGCACATTAAGGATTCGAACTACTTGGATTTGCCGGAATTCTATTTGTATAAATTGATATAAAATGAATAATAATATTTATATAAAGTAATCTTTACAAACCAAAGTGACTACTTGTTACATACAATATTGTACAAATGGCATGCAGAGCAATGGCTTATTTTGAGGAGTGAATAACTGTATAAGATTGTACAAAGATAATCTCAGGATACAGTGTATAGTTTGGGACACGACATGTCAACTGACTGCAAGGATTGTGGAAGGCGAACTAGATGGACCTTGATCTTCTTTTGCCGAGCAAATTCTTATCTTCGTTTGTTGTTATATTTGCTTCTGCTTCCGAGAAAAGTAAGTCAAACCATTAGTGAGTACACAACAGCAACATGTTTTTCCTTTCATTGCTTTTTTTAGGGTCATCGTGGAGAATCTGGATTGCATTTTGTAAGTAGCTGCAACTGCTGCAACATACTCTGCAATGGGATCCTTTCAATCATATTGATCTTTAGTCACTATTTTCTTGAACTTGATCATGATCAATGATCTTGTAGGTATAGAACGCTTCTGTTTTGACATAACCAAGAATTCTCTTGGTCTTGGTGTATAATCATTTAAGTAACTTGTCAGACAATTCTCATTGAAATTAGTTTGGGGTGGGTTTGTAAATGGAAAGGTCTGTGTCCGGAAAACAGATTTAAAAAATGAGATTTGTCATTTAATCAGGTTTTTATTTTTTCTGGGCACTTCTGAATTCTCTGTCAATGCTTTTTGTGGGATCTAACATACATTTTGCTCGCAAACATTCTGTGCTTATAATAAAAATCCCATTATAAGTTTGTGGTTTACACTGGGGTCAGCATTTTGTGCATATTGGGGATTAAAAATAACCAGTTTTCTAAATACTTCCTAATTCAAGTTGGGTATAAATAGCAAACGATTGACAAAAAAAAGACTGTATACAAAGAACAGAATTCCATAATGTACTGCTGGCTCCGGTAGAAACTTGGCAGCAGATGTACTGGGATTTCATGTGTGGAGCGTTAAACCGATTGTTGGAGGACACTTTGTGCCTAGATGAGGGTTTGGTACTTAAATGTTATACTTGGATCAGGCATTGTATACAATTGGAAGGAGCGGTTTCATTCATTAGAATTCTGTGCTTGGATCAATACACATTTACCTGGAGGTGATTGTTGTAGTTAAAAACAGCTGTTACCTTCAGAGCATTGAGACTTGATTCAAAACACAGGCACAAAATGGCTTCCTCCTGTGCTGAAATGTCTTGGAAAATACTTCTTGATGCTCAGCTGCTAGCTAACTGGATCCTGTATTCCAGGTAGCTAGCGATCTTTTTAAATACCATGCTTTCTGCTCTAACATGGGCAATCAAGTGTCGGCTTACACTGGCTGTGAGAGTTGGTTTCCATTCCTGATGTACTTCAGTTCATTGTAAAAAAAATTATATATCATGACATAGTATACTAATGCTTGAAAAGACAGTATCCCTTTTTTGGCCTAACCAAGGCAGCATTTCACTATGACTCATTGTTTGTGTTTGTGCAGGGTCTGCATGGTCAAAAGGGTGAGAAGGTGAGCATGTTTTCCTTTTTCCAGTATTTGTAAGATTGCACTATCTTTAGAGATCTCTGCATCTTACTTTTTAATACTGTATTCAACTTTGCAAAGTTATAAAATATTTTAAACTGGAATTAAAATAGTGATTGACTTACACTAGCCTTCACTACAGAACTCCTGATATGCCATGCTGACTAACGCAGTGTGCACTGCACAAACCATTATTACTAAACTGTGCTCCCTGCTTTGATCGTGTGCTTTACCTAAGACTTCGAGAACCTGCCCTGTACTATATTGTACTATATTCATAAATATGCTTTTTAACCATGCCAAATATAGCAAATTTACCTTTAGCTAATATATCAATTGCTTTGTGCTATAAGGGGGTAGAATTCTTTGTAAATCGCAGCTCAAAATAATGTAGAATGTGTAAATGATGGATTATTTATTACGAATATCCTAGAAATTGTTTCAACAGAATTTACCCTTTGAAAAGGAAAGTTATTTAACAATATAGTTTGAATCTGCTGGATAAAAACTTTCACACAATTGAGGATTTCTGACATGTTGAAATATGTTAAAATATGAAGTACACCTAATGGAGATATAAAACTTCTTGCAGTCTCATATATTGCACAGTGTTCATGACATTGTTGCCATAGTTCCTTGTTATTAATGAATAAGGTAGGAATTCCCCCAAGTCTTGATTTTGACAGTGAATGCACCAATGTTGATTTGGATAGTGAATACACAAACATCTGATTTTGACAGTGAATGAATTGATATCTGATTTTTACAGTGAATGTGCCAGTTCTGATCTTGACAATGAATGTGCTATCAATATTGTTTAAAAATGAATACTACACCATCCATGGGGAGTAATGTACAACCCTTCTGCATCGTATTAATTGTAGAAATTTTAAGGGACAGAAACTAAGTTGTCCAAAAAGACACCAAAGGATTACATACCATAAAGTGGCTGGATGTATACGTTTTAAATACTGCTCAGTTGGGGCCAGACAGTGTTACTGTCTTTTTATTGTAACACATCTATTTTTAGGTTACTTTTTGTATTGTGATATTAATGTAGGGTTTTCTTTGGGGATTAACATACAATGAATATTTTCTCTTTTTTCTCTTTTATAAGTGTTGAAGAGTGATTTTTAATATTTCAGTGTTAACAGTCCAAATGTTTTTGGCATTCTGTTCATGCATACAAAGTTCACAAACATATTGGTCTGTTTTTTAAACTTCAGTGCCTTGCTAGTTTTATTTGTGTTTAAGTATTTCATTCAACTTCCCTTCTTTTAGGGCTCGCGTGGAGATTCTGGACTTTCAGTAAGTGATATGTCTACCGTATAATAAATATTCTTCAATAAAGATCTATAGGATAAAAACAGCAGTATTTATGCATATCGGGGGTGAATGAATAAATACTGTGTGCACTCTTGTGTTTTGATGCAATGAAACTTATTTAAGTTTATAATGAAATGTTGTTTGGTTATTCAGAAATTGAGGACATAATGGGTTTGAAATATAACCTGGAATGGGTAGATGAAGGGGATTTTTTTTTTAATTTGTATTTGAAGTCTCATTTGGTGATCCAGTGGCAGAGCATATGGTTTATTTGTGAGTTGTCATGCAAAGGTGGGAAATGGTTTCATCTGTGATTTCTTTTCTCCCCTCCCCAAACATAAGTTTCTAATCTTGTATAACATAACCTTTGATTGATTCAGCCACCACTTCCCTCCCCACATCTCCGAACAGATGAACAAGATCAAAACATTGCACCATTTTACAATATTTGACAGTAAGCAGGATCCCGGTTGTTAGTCAATTGGCAGATCGCTTTCTGGGGTAATAATTCCTTTTTTTAAAAAAAAGGTGGTCACTTAATCCACAACTGTTTTGGGGAAACTGCTGCGCGCAATTGGCAGCTGCGTTTCACCCCCAAAATATATAGAATATTCACTTTACAGTATACTTTACAGTGAAACGCTTTGAGGCGTCTAGAAGACATGATAAGGTGCTATATCAAATGCAAGGATTATTATTATACTTTCAGTTTGACTTGGGGATAACAACTCGAGTACAATTTTTTAAAAAACATAATTGGAAACCGAATGAGGGAATCCTGCTTCTTTAAACTTGCAATACAATTTGTGTTGCATTCTGAAACTGTTCTCTGGTTCCTGCTCCTTGGATAGTCTGTGCAGCTGACTCAGTCCATATGTATTGGGTAGCATCAACGCATCATGAAAAAAATTGAGTCCATAATAAACTCCACGGATCCTGTGAGGGGAAGGCTTGTCGCTGGAGGATTTAATTAAGTGGTGTTGAAGATCTGATAACAGCTGTGAGGTTGTCCTCATGCCACTGAGTCTCCTGTCGAGGGTCAAACCAGTGCGTAAGATAATTACAGCGGAATAGAAGGCTGATAGGGGCCATGACTTTGCTAGCTACACATCAACTACATTTGCTTTGTAAAATCAGAGTGACAGGAACTGAATAAGACTGAATTTCATGTCTAAGTCGGAGTGTCAGTCAGGTCAGCCTTCTGCCCCACTATATCGTTAACACCAAAGTGGCAGGAAGTATTATTGCGAGACCTGCATTTTTTAATTAACCTATAGCTTATTACTTCAGAACCAGCCCTTCAGTTTTACATCATCTCATTTTCATTTAATTGCTACTTGACTGAAAGTTAATTTGAGTCCGGCAGAGTGTGTAATATGATGCTTCTAGCCTGATAGTAGGACTAACTTTGTAAACTAAATGGTTCTATAACTACTTAGTTGAACTTAAGCTACAGGGTTAGCAAACAAAGGTGCAGATTCTTAATTATTGCAACATGTCACTGTTGTCATCACCTTTATTTTAAAAAAAATCGCAGAGGCTCAGCCTCCATTGCTTCCATTCTCCTACTGATCTCAGTCAGGTGCAGTGCCCGAAATAGGAATGAGTCTATACGTTTCATTCCTGACCCTGTGGGGTTTGGCATGCACAGTCAGAATATGGGAGAGGAGAAGAGAGCACAAAGTAAACGAGTGAATCCCATAAATTTGCGAATAAAAAATATGAGCCACACTTAAGCTGTCTCTCCTTTTCTGACCTATTTTCTTCCAGTGAAGAATTCAGGCAACTTTGCTGTTGATGTTTGTGGTTTGAACAGCAGAAATAACAAACAATATGACTTGCGCTCCAATTTAGATATGAGATTCTTGTCATTCTAAGTTAACACAGCAAGTGCAGTTGGCACAAAGCTGCCAGTGTCAATACAAAATAATGTCTCATATCAGCCTTATATATTGCTGCAATTGCCTTGCACAATAAAAATGTGACTATCAACAAAGTCAACTTTCATAGAATTGCAATGTCCATTTCTGCCCCATCTAGATTGTAATTCAGAACATTTCATAAAAGCAACTGTTTTAATTACTCTAGCTGCCTTACATATCATATGTATTTGAGTGTGTGTATGTGTTTTCTTGCAAGTTTCAGTTGGTAGTAGAACTTATTCTAAGTGTTGTTTCTGCTACTTTCCATGTCACAGAAATAGGTTGTTTGTGAAATGAATACTAATTTTTGATGATATTCCACCAAACAAATTATATGTGTAGTTGTTTGGTGAAGAAATGGTTGAAGGTTTTACCGTTAAAACAAAAAATAACAAATGCCAAGCCATTTTGTATCGATACAAGTATAAATTATATATAAGAAAAAATGAGGGAACTCATTTATTATTTGTAGAGGGAACAAATGTGATAAACTTGTACCCTACCTGTCCCTGTTCTGGGGTCTGAATTTACAAACAAAATTGCCGAAGGTTTGGGAGAATTCAAGGCTACATGGCCTTCAAAATCTAATTTTAAAGTCAAATTTGTTGTAAAAATAAAATCGCAACTTTGCAGGGATGAAGGTAAGTGGAGTATTTTTAAAACAAACAACAGATTACTTTAAGGATACTGTGCACATTTATGAAAACGAGTGAAGAAAAATGATTCTGTCTGCCTGTGGATAGAATCACCCAGTTTCTATGTTGCATTCTGTAGGAGTTCCCTGGGACCTCACTAGCAGCACTTCGTCTAAATCAGATCCTGACTGTGAAGGTTTGTGGGTGCTTTCACTGTCACTATGATCAGTCTTGTAACAGAGTGAGTCATCTTGTTTTTGAAAGCAATATTTTAATTTCTACATGCACGTAGCATGGGCAAACCAATTCGTAAAAATTGGGAACTAGCCTGTAATCTAATATAAGTTGGTTTATTTGACTACGTTTTGAGCTGAAGATTGATTTTGTTCCATTTGACTGGAGAACTAAATTCTGTATTGAAAACTTTTTATGAAAAAGAATGCAATTCTGACATTTTGGCTCACTTTGTCATAGGACTGGATCACAACTCTTCATTTAAAGCCAGCAACAAGTTCTGAGGGTGGATTTTGGTGAAGAACAATTTGCCTTTTCTATGGATTACATTTTTTTCCTGTAACTCTTGGCATGTGATGAAAGGGTTTATATTTTCACCAATTGTACACCCATATACAAACATTGATGTTGCTGGTTTTCTCTCAGTTGTCAAGCTCTGCTGCTTTTCTCAACATTCTCATCTTTTTTTCCTATATTCTCCCCACCCCTCCCTCCCCCCCAAAATCCTTTGCTGGCATCAACTCATGACCTTTGGCTTTGTACTGGCCTGTGAATTCTGGCTCATCTGGCTGTTCAGTTTACACCTCCTGGATTGTCTGTGCTGCTAGCAGCTGACGAGCAGTATATCAAACGCCATCACCACTTCAAGGTAAACTTCTTTTCTCTTGCCAGGGGCCACTGTGTTCCTTTTCTGTTTTCCTTTTTTTTTCTTCTCCTTTGTTCCTTTCTGTTTATCTACTCTTTGGTTATGAAGTATGCTTTTGGCTGCCCTACATAATACCATTTCTTCTGTCTTAATCGGAGAACCAATTGCAAGCCATTGGTTCAGATGGCTCACAGCTTTAACTTGTCGTCTCTTTCATTTAATCTCAGGGTGAACCGGGACAAGCTGATAATAACTGTTCTCCAGGGCCTCCAGGTCCACCAGGGCCCTCCGGACCCAAAGGACCTCCAGGGTATTCAGGACATCCAGGGGCAAACGGATTACCAGTATGTTTTGGGTGCTCCTATTTTTTTCTTTGGCCTTAAAAAGTTTTTTATGTCTTTCCAGTGACCATAGCAAAAGGATGAGAAACATCACGGAGGGAACCCAAAGCTTACTCCTTTTTGCATCCTCATTGAATTTCAAGCCTTCTAAGAAGATCAGACCACCACACCATGTAGTCCTACAAACTTTTGTAGTTACATTAAAAATCCAACTGCATTCAATTAAATTCGGAATTTTCAAGCTGCAACATAAATGCAGCCAGTAAACCATTGTCAATATGTTTACGTCCATTGAGAAATACAAACAAATTAAATATTGGAAAGAAGCAATATTGGAAGTCAAATGTACAAACCGTCGATTTGATTGCAAAGTTCATGAGTTTTTGCCTGTTTCTTAACTGCATAAACCATTTTCTATGTCCTCAATATGATATAGCGAGGACATTGAAAAGGCCCATATCGAACAATGGCATATAATTTATTTATTTTGCAGGGGAAAACTGGAGAAGCTGGAAAACCAGGAAGAGATGGAATGAGGGTAGGTACACTTGATTCAAATAGTTTATTATGTAAATGATTTGGCAAAGTAACTCAAATTGTTTTTTCAAATGGTATTAATTCAACAATCCCTCTTTATTTCAAATGTATTTGTTGTCATTTCCTCTTTCATCTGTTGCAATACACTGGCCCCTGTCTAAATTGGCATACAGGTGAGTTTTCCCCAGAGATCAGTCTATGCAGCCATAATAAATTACACTAATAGCACATCCTCCACCTCCTTGTTCCTTTTTGCATGCATTTATCATATTTTTGTCCCTCCTCAAATTTGGTCAAGTTTTGGAATTATGTGTTTTGTTTTTGTTTTGAGTAGTCTGCACAATGGAGTCTTGAAATAAAATCACATCTGCTACTTTTTAAAAAGTAAATAATTCATTCCATTCCTGCCATAGAAACATAATCCAAAGACACGGAAATCGTTTTCTCCCTGGGTAGTCATTTGTACAGTAGAAGCAATACTCTAGAAAGAGTACTAGAAATTGTGTGGTAGCTGAAAGCTCCATCAACACTGCTTATATGGAGGATCCCATTTACTAACTTGTCAACAGTCACTCGCTGCACATTGGTTCTATGTTGTACAATTTAACCCATTTTATCTTTTAAATCACTGTGATAAACAGTGAATCACCATGTCACTCTTAAAAAATCGCAATATCACTCCTCGCATTTCCTAGTGTTGTCAGAAAGTTTATTATTATCAGATAAAAGTGGCTTGCTCACTTCTTGTCACTGTCTTTTCATTTTTCAGGGCTTAACTGGAATGACTGGTATGAAGGTAATGAATTGCTTATCTATTTAGTTCCTAGGACAACATTAATAAAACCCTTTTTTTAGGACTAGTTCCTGTAAAGTCAAGCTACTGTGAAGCAATTGCTCTGTTATATGTCTTTATTCCAAGGCAGAGTGCGAAGGCAGACCACAGTAAAATTTAAATTCTGTATTGAATAAAGGATTGCGGAATAAAACGGATTTAAAATTCAAAAATGTAGATTTTAATTGTCTTCATTTGCAAGTCGATGATAGCAATGTGAGAAAAATGGATAGCTCCTACATTGGAACAAAAGGCCTATCTTTTGAATCTTGGGTGCATTGATGCAGAATATATGTGGATTTAGATGTACTTCTGGAAAGTTATAGGTAACTCATTTTCACATTCTACACGTACAGGGTGATTCCGGACTTCCAGGACGTCCAGGTGAAAAGGTAAGACTGCTTTTTGCATTTAGCTAATTTTGTGGTTCAATAGTTCCAAGCATAAACTAAATGCTATTGCTTTACTTACAACTGCAAGTATGTTGTTGCTGTTTGACACTGTGTGAAATACTGAAGGATTTCTTGAGTGTCCAGAATTATCAAATACAATCCTTAATTTTGAAGCCGGTTTCATTTTCAGATCTACAGAAAATGAGCTTTAAAGTTAAAACTAAATTTAGCAATTTTCCACATTCTGGACTCTCTGAAATGCTAAGTTAATAGAGTAAATCTAGACTTTGGTGGAATTTCTACCCCTGCCCATCCCCGTATCTACCACATTAGGTAAACTGTGTTCTGTGCACGATAGTGAATTTCACCTCATTTTGCAAAGACCAAACATAGCATCTGGAACATCAGGGTACAGGAGACATCATTGCCACTGTAAATTGATCATTTTTCATATAGTATTTTAATCGGTTAAACTTATTAAATATTACCACATAAAAACAAAAGGACTATCTGTTAAAACAGCTTATTCTTCATTGTAAACGAAGATGTATTTGATCATGGAGCTTTATTTAAAAACACCTGCCTTTGAAGCAGCAATAGAGAGAGAATGATAAATAACAAAACTGTAATTAATTTCTGTTTCCTACCATCCAGGGTGATCCAGGTGCTTCTGGAAAGTCGGGAGCAAAGGTGAGTTGTTTGATTTTTGCCTAATGTAACGTCTTTGTTTAACCCTTACTAAAGAGTATAGTTCAAGATATTAAACTAGTCAGATAGGGGAAATACATAGTATGTTACGATAAAGTCTCCCTGAAGTTCCTACGTTTTCTAAACGTAAGAAGAAAATATTAGCACAGAAAGTAAAAATAAATTGGCAGAATCTGTTCAGCATGTCACAGATTAAATAAGCTCATTGCATGACATGAAATTGCTTCATTTAGAGTATGTTGGCAGAGAACGACCTGTCTTCTTGCCTATTTTCTAAATAATATTGAACATGCCATCAAGTATCTTGGCAGTATTGCGAATTTCATTGTATGTTTGTGGAGAATTTGCATATGTAATAGCGAAATTCAGGTCTTACTAACTCAATATCCAATAGAAGTACAGACTTTGGAAACTCTGGAAAGTACATGTTATTTTCTCTCTATTATAGGGAATAATTTTTTGTGAGATTCTAAATAATGGACATTTTCTTTCACAGGGTGATCCGGGAATGCCAGGGCTCCCAGGAAGAAAGGTTAGCCTATTCCTTTTGTATGTAGCTCAGTGGTTAGAGCACTCGCTTTGCAAGTGAGAGACCTGAGTTCAATTCCAGGCACAGGGCGAAACCTTGGGCAAGTTTCCTTACTCCACACGCCTAATAATAATCCCTCCAAAAAAAAACAATAATAAATTGGTCATTTTCAATCTACGACTGTTTGTGGGACATTGCTGTGTGCAATTGGCTGCTGCGTTCGCCCACAAATATACAGTCAATTCACTTTACAGTGTATTTTGTGAAGCGCTTTGGGACGTCTAGAAGACGTGAAAAGTGCTATATCAAATGCAAGGATTATTATTATTATCATTGATTTAATTTTAAGGTCGCCAGTTCATTAATGTCTACAATTTTTTTTGTGATTATTATGGGATGGTGATACCCTGTTTAGACTGATGTGTCTCGATGAGAGACACAGGACAGATATGCATTCAAGTGTGGATGCACATCCATGTTCGCTTGCAGTGTTTTGGGGAGATAATTTTTGTTTGGTCAGCCGGGTGTTTGACACATGCAGAAACTTAGCACCATGCTTAAGAGAATCCAAACTAAACAGAATCCCACATATATATGCCACATACACATGCATATTTCCTTGTATCTGGAATGGAATACACACTCTGTCCTTGGAGGGTCACACCCTGCCTTTATCTAATTTCAGAGAAGATGAGGCACAAGTTGGCAAGAGCGATGTGTTCTTGTACTGCTAGAATCTAACCAGCTAAAATCACAGAACCTGCATTTGATATAATTGGCTGGCAAGCTTCCTGATGTAATCCAGCTAGGACCACCTTAACCATCAGGGCTTTGACTTGCAGGGTTAACGGGAACTGAGTAGAAAGAATCCCTCCCTTCAGTTACTGGTGTTGCTTTATATTTATCTTCTGCTTCTTGACCATCTGCTGAATTGGTTCATGTCTGTATGAATGATATTCATCCTCATATAAATATTATGCCCACATGGCAGTGGCAATTTTTAAAACACAAAAAGTGCTCTCCTACATATTATTTGTGAACATTGGAGAAACCTGGATGGACTCTTGCAGAATCTGCTGTTCATTAAAATCACGCATACCACCCAGTTGGAATTTTTTTTCATCCATTTATCATTACCATCTGCCAAATGTTCTGATTGTTCTGTTCTAAATTGTCCTTGGCAGTAAACCTAACCCAAAATGGATTAACATGAAGCTGCAACCAATCCACACTATTTGCCACATCTTTGCTAGATATTTGAGCCAACCTTCAGTTGGCAGAAGAGACAGGCTTTTGTTTGTGTTGCAGGAGTCCAGTTGAATAGTAAACTGGCTGAATTGTTTGGTGTCTGAATTTCAGTATTTGAAGTAGTATAATGATGTGGGAAAAAATATGCGGCTTAATCATTTAGTGCAGTGAATATTCAATGGCAGTTTCAGAAGTGAAGCGATCTTCCAGCTGTACTCCTAATAACTGATGCTGATGAGGTGTTTGATGTGTAAAGCAAGCAAATAAAATATAGTGCTGGTGTATCTGATGGAAATTAAAACTGAATGATCTCAACCCTTGCAAAAATAAGTAAAGGTCAAGACAACTTGCCAGCAATCTGCTGGTAAATCATTCAACCTTATATTGGCTGCTACATTTCGCTCACAAAACACACAGTCAAAACAATTTCACAGTATATCCTGTGAAGTGCTTTGAGACTTCTTGATGACGTGATAAGGCGCTATATCAAATGTAAGGATTATTATTGTTATTATCGACCATCCATTCTCGTCAAACTGGATTTGTTTTGAGAAAGGGAGGTGAGTTATTGGGAGCATATTTTGTTACGTATGTTATAGACGTACTTGTGGTGCATTGTGAACAAGATAGTTTAGCAAGCCAACTATGTTGAGAAGCCGAATTTGTTCTTTGGATTATGCTAAATGGTTATGTTTAGATACAAATGGAATTTCTGGAATTGTAGCAGTGGACATAATCATCTTTTGAATTTCACTTTGTAGATGTAACACACAAAAATACAAATGATGGAAATGAGAAATGAAAAGAAACATTGGGAATGCATAGCAGGGTCAATCAATATCTGAAAGAGATACACAGGTTAATATTTGTAACATGACCCACTATCAGAGGTCAGATTGCCATCATTTCCCTTTCTGCTTAAGTTTTCACTTGCTGACTTAAAAACTGACTGACCTTTCAAATTAGCAAGGTGTTTCAAAATGCCAACCTAGTGCTATTGTACAAGTTAAGGATTTAAGCATTTGAAATATGGAAAGCTAAAAGCTGTATGTGTTGTCAAATAAAATGAGCTTTCTGAATGGAGAATTGTAACAGCCTTACTTGACTCCTCCATTGACGTTTTTAAAAGAAGTTTTAAATGGTTTTAGGATGGAACTCTTCAAATAAGGTTTATCCTAGCTTTGCTGCATTGTATAAACCAGCCTATAAAAAGTGTCAGATGAAGCTTAACTTTGTCATGGGCCAAAGGTTGAAATCAGAAATACATAAGGCCATGCCTTTTTCATTATATAGCAAAACTGTTTATTGTAAAAGAGTATAAACATCGCAAAATTGTGGCCAGCTTTTGGACCCTGCCTCAGTTGTCTCAAGTTTTATACTGATATAAAGTTGTATTCCTGCACCAATAACACCTTTTTTCCAGAGGAAGTCTTTTATTGGAGCCCTTAGAACACTTTCTTCAGAACTCACAATAAGTATAGAGGAGATGGAGCCTGATATTAATATTCCATCAACAAATATTCTGTTTCTGAGAAGAAAAGTTAAGAATTTCAAGTTAATACTGTTTCTGAACAATGAATGCTTAACTGTTTCATAGTCTCGAGAGAGTTTGATTCGTTGCATCCATTTATGCTATAATCATATTGAAAACCTAACACCCAAGCCCTATTTGTTCAACTGGAAACAATTGGACTGGTGAGGTCAAAAGGCAAATGTGTAGAACATTACACTGACATAAATAGAAGTGCATAATCTCATTGGACATCTTTTAACAGCGTGTGTTGGATCATATGACTGTTTTAAATTCTCCTTTTACAATAATAAATAATCCATAACTTAGTGCTTAATGTATTGAAAGTAAACCTGAAGTGGTGTGTGCCTGACCTTATAGTTGGAAAAAGAAGTGTTTATACATTTCCTGCCATAAGCAATAAATTTCGACATTCATCTGCCTGTCTTATAAACCATCCAGCTGTGGACCAATCTTCTTTTTTTTTCTCTGAAGTGCTTTGTATCAAAGGAACTGCACTGACTTATTTATTTCATTGCGTGTTACTAGGGAATAGAGGACTGTATATATTTTACATCATTATCACCTGCAGAATTGATGTAATTTCCCAATAATCTACAGCACATTCAATTATTGTATCGTGTTGTAATACCTGTACCATAATATTTAGTGATGATATCATCATGCACCAACTAAATGGAGTGTGGACATTAATGTAGACCACAATAGCGAGGACTAAAAATGTATGGTTAAAAATTAACATTTCTTTTTACCTGAAGACTTGGAAGTGATTTAATGACAGTATTCTAATCCCAGGGTTTAGGTGACAATTTTTGTTGTCAACCAAACCCTGTTATAAATTATATTGTTAGGTTCATTGCCACTGCACCTAGGGTTCTTGTATACCATATGATGGCTATTTGCTGGTCAAAAGTATGTAAATTTATTCCTTCAGTGCTCTGCTATTTTGCGATTCCTCCAGTGTCAGTCTGACTCAGTTGGTTGCAATCTCACCTCTGGGTCAAAAAATTGTAAGTTCAAGGCCCATTATGGCACTTTGAGCTCACAGTCTAGGCTGGCACTCAATACCTAAGTTCTGCATTGTCAGAAGTACTGGCCTTTGGATGAAATGTTAAACCAGTATCCCATCTGGTGTTCAGGTACACGTTAAGGATGTTATTATGCTCAAAAAGAGGAAAGTTTCTATCAGTATCCAAGGCAACAATCCTCCAGATAAGTTAGACATTCATGTTATGGCTGTTTGTGGGACTGACTTGTAAGCAAATTGGCTGCCAGTTTGCCAACGAAATGGCAATTTGCAATTACCTATGAAGTGTTTTGATACTTTTTTTGACAGTACAAGCACCATCAAGTGCAAAGATTATTTTTTCTATCTTGATTTGATGCATCTTTAAGCCCTTTGTTGATATTCTCGTATACCTTATTGCTATTGCATCAAAATGCTACTAGACTGCCAAAGCCACCCAGTCAGGACAGAGCTAATTTGTTCAATTTGTAGTGGGATTATCACTGAATAAAGTAGACACGAACACTCTGCTACTTCTAGAAGAGGAATACTATATTTGCTGTTCTCAATTTCTTTTCTCTTTGCTGCCATGCTGCCTGCACACCCCGTGTGTACAAGGGTGACGATGGATTTCTGACTTGCCAATGTCTAGCATTTCAATCTTTACAGAGATCTGGTAATGGGATTCACATAATAAATCCCAATTAAAACAGATATATGGACTAATTTCAGTTCACATATTCACAGTCAAATAGTTGGGTCCTCTTGGGAATAAAGTTGTGATTATTTTACTTTACTCTGAAACAAGGCATGCTACTGTCCAATCTGCTTATAACTTCATACAACGCAGTTAGGACAGTGACATTTTAAAACAAAATGCAAGACTGAAAACTAGTTGAATAATTAGAAGACAAATTGCTTTTATCTCATGGCCTAAAAGTTTGCATTCTGCCACATTGTTGGAATTCTGCCTGTCTCCTGTAAAGGGAACCTTTTATTCTCTCTCATGTTTTGGTTTATTTATGTTCTGTCATTCTGTTTGCTTTTTTCACCACTGTTTCGCAAATATATATTGCATGTTTCTGACTCCTGCATTGCTATAATCTTATTGTTGTTTTGTTTCTCAGGGAGAGTTTGGTGAGCCAGGGCTGCCTGGTCCAACAGGCCTTCCTGGACCTGTAGGGCCGAAGGTAAAATGCAGAAATAATGCATGACCTTTCAGTTTTGAAGACTAAACGTGTTCAATCTTGAATAACATAGATTATACAAGAGTTCGGGAAACAACCTAACATTTCAGAATGATGTTTGTGTCAAAAAATATAAAGCCTTCTGAGTGCTATTTAGGTTCACACCTTTGTAAGTTTCAAGTAGATAAGCTTTTAAAAAGCTAAACGGCTTGTGTTTAATAAAATAGTAGCAATCATGAGGTCAACCTTTAAAGATGCTTAATTCATATCCTACGGCAAAGATAGTCAGAACGCTTACATCAAAGGACCAATTCTTTTTGTTGGTTCCAGTGTGTGAACGCTATTTCAGAGTGATTTGAAATAATAACCTAAGCTCTTCACTCTACATATGATACGTTAGTTGACCTCACATGCTTCCCCGCTGTGTCAGCTCCTGTCTTCATACTTTACAGCAACTTATCTCTGCTCTCTTTCTGGCTTTCCTATTTATTTTAACAGGGAGATAAAGGAAACATTGGACAAAAGGTAGGAAAATAGGGAGGTATTTCTCATCTTTTCTTGCTTATCAATCTTGTTTCGACTTTAATCTCATCTGTTCATTTTCTACTCATTCCACCAACGGTCTGAAATAAGGTTGTAAAAATGTGGAAACAATAAGAACACAACCAGTTATTCTTGTCCAAGTATTGAATTTTAATATCATTGGCAAACCTGGAAACTGCATGAGTACAGATCAATTATACTTTAAGCATGATACTTATCTGTATTATAGTTTGAAGCTGTTGCTTGTTCGCAATGTTAAATTCTTCAGCAACTAAGTGAATTGTGGAAAAAATTGTATTACAAAAATCTGTTCTGTAGTTCTTATCTCTTCCTGCCATAAAAGAAATCTACCATTTATGTATTGTTCGTACTGCCTTTTGCTCATATTTTGCTTTGTTGCCGGCTTTTGTGATCTGTACTCTCAAGGGAATAAAGTGGGGTTCCCAAACGCAATTTTATATTTCAGGTAATTTCTGTAATGACAGTCTTTCATTCAGAGAAAAATCCATTATAAAGCAGCTTTCAATTCAATGCTTAACCTGGTTTGTAAACTTCCATCAGCCAGTCAAAAATAGTAATATTGTCATTTAATTCCAACATTAAAATGTTTTAAAAACCCAATGAGACTATTTATAATAGTCACATGTTTCATGTTTCAGTCCTCTTGCTAATTATTATATTAAACTACCATTATCCTATATAGGGAGATCCAGGTGAAACCGGTCAGCCAGGTGATAAAGGAGAAAAGATAGCTGAAAATTTCTTTCAGGAATGTCTGTTCATTGTAAATTAACATAAGGGCTCAGTCGGCAGTTGCATATCGACTGCCCAATGGGGTGATTCAGATTTGAAAAATATATATTTTTTGCTAATGAAGTTGAAGAAAATCACTTTTAAAACTGTTTTTAATCACATTGCAAACTATATTAATAGGAACAAATTGCAACAAATGTTTTGTGGTGTTGAACCAATGTTATTGACTGAACTGGTAAATTAATAGTACAGAACTTTAAGCCACATCCCTTTCTTTTCTTACAAGTTCCTTTCAAACCTCAGTGATTTTTAGTCAGGATAGATATATAGTTTAAAAAAAGTGTAGGATTTGTTTGCTATTTTTATCCAGTGGTTTCTGCCTGTTTTTGGCTAGTTTAAATTTGCTGGACTGACTTCTTTGTCTGCAATTGTATTGGTAATATTGGTGTATTGGTCATTGCCATCTATCTGCCATTTCTACTCTTCCCACTATTGGTTCTGTGAGAATTTTGGAAAAAATACTATTTGGTATCCAATTTCCCAGTGAATCCAATTGTGGAGCAGGAATCTTAAATGCTGCTTATCACTGACCAGTTTAATATTGGAAGCAATTTTAAACTCGTTCTACCTGTGTGTATGTATATACATATATAATATATGTATATTCTTTTTTGTGATCTGACACATGCGATAACCCATCACCATGCTTATGAGTATCCAAACCAAGCTTGAGAATTTCATACATCCCACCTACACATGGAAATTCCAAAGACAGATTATTGGAATGGAATGTATACTCTCTCCCTAGAGAGAGACGCATCCTGCTTACCTAATTCTGGAAAGTATTGGGTGCAGGTTGGCAACAGCCAAGGCTTGGAGACCCCAGACTGTATTGGGGTATTGCTGGAGTCCAACCAGCTAAAACTGCATAGTGTCATTGATAGTGCTGTCCGACAAGCTTTCCCGCTGCTTCTCCAACTAGGACCAATCTACCCATTAGGACTTTGGCTTGCAGGATTAACGGGAACTGAATGGGATGACTCCCTGCCACCAGTGATTGGTCTGCTCTTCCAGGTCCTATCGATGAGCCAGGCTGCCTGAAATACTGTGGAACTGCCCAGCTCAGTATCTGGACTACAGATGACTGGCTCAATACCGAAATTCTATTACCAGCTGCCTTGCCATTGACGGAGTCCACCTTCTCCCAGTGGATTGGGTCATTAAACCCGTCAATCTGGCCCACGTCTCCCACCAGCTCTTCCAGTCTCCATGCAGATGGATCTCTGCTGTGGCCTGTTGGTTCAGACACCAACTCCGCGTAATGTTCCCTCCAGCCCCTCAGGATACCCTTATGGGTCTGCTGTAGAACACCGGATTTGTCCAATACTGGTACGGGCCCAGAGGGTCCCCTCTGGCGATGGCCAACAACAGACTGCGGCCAGCGGAAGAAAGATTTGGGAATGTCTCTGTGCAATTGCGTCCCTTTTCAGAGTGACACAGCCCGTTGATCGCGTTTGATTTCTCTGATGACTTTCCTAGCTTCATGCCGTGCTTAGTCGCAAGTTGCCTTTGCTGCAGTTCTAGCTTCCTCCAAGGAAACTTCCAGAACTGCTTTAAAAGACTATTGCTTTCAACTAATGGCTCTTCTTCACTTTGTCTTTACCCTCAACTGGTGCCGTTTCTGAGATGGGTGCCTTTCAGGCTGTGGCTTCAGTTACTTTACAGCTTCAGCTGTATAAATTGCGACAGGATTCTCACTTTTCTGATGCCAGTGTATACACTGAACTCGGTGATGTCAGTCTTGAGGTACCATGAGAGAGTGATGAATACAAGAGTCGTAGTTTGTTCCAGTTCATTCCTAGGATAAAGGAGAAAGAATCTTGTATTAAAGAAGGTTGAGATTAGCCATGTCTGATATGTTAGTTCATGGTGTCACTTGGTAGTGGATATGGTTCCTTGCCTATCAACATTATCGCTGATGTTGATAGCACATCTTGTGTTTTTTTTAAAAGGAAAGCGGTACAGATTACAAAACGATTAATACAAACAGTATTTTGGAGTAGACACTGCTGAAGATTAATGCATGTTTCTTGGTGATGGTATGGTGGGCAGCAAGTTGAAACTTAAGGTGACCCATGAAAATCTTTTTTGAAATGAGAAGTATTAAAACTTGTTCATATTGAAATAAAACTCCCAGGTAGGCAGGAACAGTAGGACTTGGCATTTGATATGTAACGTAACTGGCGCTGACGTACATTAGAATGATAAATTTGAGGCACCCATGATTTGAAGTCAAGCTGTTATGGTTGTTGTAAGAGTGCCAGTGCCATCTGCTGGTACATGTCATGAGCTTTGGGGCTGCTTTGGCGACAAGTGTGCTTTGAGACATCCTCCCAATGTGAAAAGGCATGATATCAAATGCAAGGATTATTTTATTATTAATTTAAATAAAATTTCGGGACAACTTACTGAAAAAGCACTCTTGAAAAACAGGGTTGCATGATCATACAAGGTTTAGATGAAGAAGGCCCTCCAGCCCATTTGATCTCAAACTTCCTAAATGCTCACCCTCCTGCCCTTGCATAAGCAAATCAATTACCACACCAATTACAGAGGGATTTCAATATTTTTGTCTACTACTGTTGGAGTCATTAGCATCATATGCATACAAAATAATGCAGTCTTGAAAATAAACCCGAGGCTCCCAACATACCAATGCGGTATCACACTATTTAACTTCCATCCATTAGATTGCTAAGAAAAAATTCCAAACATTTGCTAAGGATGTGAGTTAGCTGCACTTGGGTAATTTCATCCAAGCCAAGACTTTCAAGGAGATTGGAATTGTTTGCATGTCCTGTTTACACATCTGTTAGAATCAATATTTTACCCCCAGCATAAAAAAGCTTCACCAAATCTTGAAGTTCATAGACATCTCATCATCAGATAAATGGCACCTTTACAAAATCCCAATGCTTAACGTGTATAAAAAGCTTTCTCCACAATTCTTTTTAGTACTTATTCCGTGAAGTTTATAAACACTTAGTATAACCCCAAAATTTAAAGACAAACTTAATTTCATATTCCAACATTTTGTACTCTTATTTGCAAGTCATGTACTTTCTTGTGACATTTCGGAATCTTTCAATTCCTTGCCTAATCTTGCCCAGATATTTTGTTCATGTTGTTCTGTTTCTAGTTTATGTATTTTATTCTATTTCTCCTAAGGAATGCAACAAACATCATTGCAATAGATCCTGCCAGGGATTGGTGGTAATGACTAGAAATGATTATCATTAATCTCAAATGTTTCTGTGATAAAACCGATCATTCTTGATATCAATTGACTGGGAAACTGGTAATTTTCTCCTCCTGTCAGCAAGCTCCATGAAAAACAGATCTCAAGCTGTTACCATTGGAGGTGTTTTTTTCGTCTGCAGGAGGAAATGTGTTTGCAACAAATTCCATTGCATAAATGTTAAATCTATTAGAAAACCTGTTCATGGGGATTCATTTCTGGGAATGTGCCAGTAGTTCACTGTTTTTTTCTCTATAAGATGGGAAAAAAAGCCTGAAAAAAAGACAGAATGTGGACTCAGTCCATGATTTGGGGAAATAACTAAATCTTTTGGGAGGTTCATGTTGAATGCATTCCCATTCTACTCCTCTGAAGTCCAGTTATATCACAATTAGAAAAGCTGCTGTTTTTCAACCACAAGGTATCTTGGACTAGAGAACCATGTAATTCTCAGACTAATTTTTTTTAGAAAAACTAAAATCCTGCAAGTTCTGGCACAGACATTTTGATTATTTTCATCGAACACTTGAACCGCTAGAAGCCCAGTAGCTCAAGTACTTGAGTTCTCTCCTTGACTCCCAAGCAGTAGACTAAGACTGCAAGTCCCAGGGTGCTGCTCTTACTTGCTTGTTTCAATTGGTTAAAAGCCATAGATATTTAGCCAAGTTGCTAGATGGAGCACTGCAAGGAATGCAAAGTGATCCATGGGGAGGAGGAGGATATTGGGGAACCGAAAGGAAAAAAAGTATACCCTACAAATAGGAGCACATCTGCCCACAGTATGTTATAGTGCAGTGTTGGCAGTGTTTAGGAATAATCTGTGCCTCATAGAATCCTGTTCTAACCTTGCATCATAGAAGTATTGAATAAGATGGTTTATAATAGCAATGCTGATCAAGACCATTCTTGTATTTATATGAACAGAATGATACACCGACACAGAAACTCAAAATGCAATGACCATATGTGCTGTGTTTAAAACCATTTGAAGGAAAAGTTAACTTGACCACTATAAATTTTTGGCATGTGAATCCTCTGAATGAAGCAATCTCTTTAAAATTGTGAAAACGTACATACATATGGTGAGCATGTGGCATTTGGAATACATTTAACTATCAACAAACATTATATTTACCAGATCAATGTTTTCTTCCATGCTAACCAGGTACAGTAAATTCCCCAGACAAAGGTGGATATGGGATGATTTGATGATGATGATGATCACAACTGATTTGAGAAACCTACTGGTTTAACCAATACAATAACCAATGAATAAAGAAATGTTAAATTTGAATACTAATTCTCCAACAAAACATTTATCTTTCCGCAAGGTTAATTGTTTAATGATTATTTTCTTCATGCACAACAGAGGATTGATTGTTTGGCAGTTAAGGACTGGAAATCAAATAATCCCATTTTTCAACTCATCACTATTAAGTGAAATAATGATTATAAATAGATTCTGGAATTTATTAGTAATGTTTCATGAAGGCATTCCTGTTCACTATTACTGAGACTAACATTTAATGCGCAGCTTTATGTGCCAAAATTTAAACACTACCGTCAGTGTAACTTTTCTAAAATATTATTTGGTACATTGTGCGTATGTAAGTTGTATCTGACTTGAGCCATTTGTTAAACACAGTAGAACTTTGGCAGAAACATAAAACTCAATAGGTCTATGGGGGATTGAATGTACAGGGAGATCTATGGTCAGGTTTTCGGCAGGAAAGTGTAAACGCATTTCACTGTCATTGTCTTAACTCTTTGAATACTGCATTTCTTTATGGTTTTCTAAAGAAAATGTACATGAGTAAAAAGACAATTTTCTCTTTAATGCAAAATTTTCCCACAAATAACTCAAACTATAAAACTAAGGGAAAAGTGTGGATCTTTCTCATTTATTGGCCAAATCCCCCATTCAACAATTAAATATTTTTACAGAATATCTAAAAAGAGCAGATCTGAGCATGGAGGATTCCTTATTTTGCACTGTTAATTTCATTCAGTTTGGGAATTACAAAGTAGGAAATTATCAGTTCAGGAATTCATATTCTATGATATCTTGTCCAGCAGTGAATTATGCCATTTAAAGAAGTTTGTGCCAACAGAATTGGTTGAGTTCAAATGAGTTTAAAGTTAGGTAGTGCAGAATCCTAGAAACATAATGATGGTATACTTCAATACTATAACTGGGGGGGATGAGAAACGTTACCATTTAGCATAGTTTGCAACTGTGACCAGAAACACAGTTTCAAAAATCCGAATTCAAGTTTAAACCACTAACAAAATGTAAGACATTGAAGTGTGTAGATATTAATTGTCTAGATGTGAATGAGATATTACAACATCTGGAGTAAGTGTGGACAAAGCCAACATTCTTTCTCGGCTTTCTTCTGCCCCTCTATCTCCATCCAGCTGTTCTTTCCCTGTACATGTCTGTCCCTTAACCTCTATCTCCTTTCCTGCCCATTTATATACAAAAAAATGACATGTTTTCCTGTAAAATTATCCAGTTGCTTTGTATTTATCTTATTTTTTGTAGGGAGAGATAGGAAGGCCTGGCGTTCCAGGAAAGCCTGGAGCTAAGGTACTCCACCCCAAGAGATTTCCCCTACACCCTCTATATGCCTGCTGAACTCATGGTCTTTACGCTAAAACAAATGTCACCCTTGTTAACTCTACATAATCTATATAATCCTTTCACAGATTAAAACGGTCAGTCCTTGTCCCATTCCCAATTATTGCATCATTTTATACATTTATGTTGCATCATTTAAAATATTCCTTGGGTAATAAAGTAGCGGTTTGCCCATATGTTTTTTTTAACTAACTAGATTGTGGGATGATAACACAATAACATGTGAAAGAGTTAGAATTACTGTACAAGTGACCAACCTCTTGCAGTTCTTGAAGTTTGAAATTCGCGAGGATCATTAAAAATAACACATTCCAAGGCATTGCAATTTCAAATTGTACATGCATTGGCTTGAAATCAAGATTTTTGATTTGGACTTTGACTAAAAACATTTTTTGATTTTAGAAAGTTGCCTGTAGCGGCCAAACAAGACACTGTAACCTTGAGGAGAGTGTTGCAAGGCAAAAGCTAGATTTTCTCTGCTACTTGGCTCTCCCAAACTTTGCCCTAAACGTTAGACTAGCAGCCTTTTACAAGTTCAAATATCTGACTTTTCCTCATTTCCACTAATCCTGGTTAACTGTTTGAAACTTGGTAAACTAATAAATATAAAATAACCCAATATTTACAGAACCAAGTAATCTCTAATGTTTGTTGGATTCACTTTTCACCAGCAATGTAGAGAGTGCCTTACACATGTTCTAACAGACAGCCATAATTATCCCATTTAATACCCCTTTAACCAACTACTGATCATTTTACTATATATGGCAACTTCATCCGAAATATTAACTGCTGTACCATAGCATAATAGTTCTGAAATCCTACTTATCTACTGGTCTCTCTGTTTGTGATCTCGTCTCCGATCTTATTTTCTATCCTTTTTAGGGCATACCAAGTTCATCTGCTTCTGGGTTAAAGGTTAGTTAAAGTACTATATTGTCAAACCCAATTTGTTTCCAAGGTGGTTTCTTTCATTGGTAAATATTGCTTTACTTTGTCTCTTTTCATTTCTGATCTATTGGTCTTCACACTTTCTTTTGGACACAGGGAGAGCCAGGGGAGATTGGACCTCCGGGAGAAAAGGTAGAATACCACTTTATGTATTGATAGTTTTGTTTGTGGCCTCCACCACTGCCTGTCCCCTCAGGCCCTGGGACCCACATCCATGCATTCATCACGTCCAGACTCAACTATGCTACTCCCAACTCACTGGTCTTCCCAATTTTTCCCTCCACAAGATGCAGGTTATTCAGGACACTGCAGCTCACATCCTCACCCGCACAAACCTCCATGAACCAATTGTCCCCATCCTCACCTGGCTCCACTGGCTCCCAATCCCCCAAAGGGTCAAGTTTAAAATCCTCGTCCTCATTTCTAAATCCCTCCATGGTCATGATCCTCCCTCCCTCCGCTCAGCGGGCACTGGCCTGGTCCATGTCCCCTGACCTGCCCGACGCAGCATTGGCGGTCAGGTCTTCAGCTTTTCTGCATCCACCCTCTGGAGCTCCCAGAATCCCTCTGCGTCGCTCCCTCCCTTGCTTCCTTCAAAGCCCATCTCAGGACACACACCGGCCTCCACAGCTTCCAATCTCCTCTCCTATACGCTTCTATTTCCTTCTGCCTCATGTATGCATATGGTAGTCTGCCTCATAGTGGGACACAATTTGATCTGAGAGCTGATTTAAACTTGTCATATAATTGTAATGGATGGGTTGGTATGTTTGGTTTACACAAAGATTTAAACCTTTAACAGCAATTGTATGAAACTGATATCTTACTGAACCACTCACTCCATTGTGTATTGTTTTATGTTGCCAGCTAACTGTGTCTTTGGGAATCAATGTCGTCCACAACCTGTATTTTACTTATTATAACTGTATTTGAACAGCTGTACATGTATGAAATCCAATCCAGCATTTATCATCTATGTTGTAAAATGTTCTGTAGGCTTGTCAATCTAAGAGGGCCTTTATGTAAGTCATTTAATCATCACTACAGCTAAGCCTTCTTTCACACCTTCAAGCCCCAGTGGGCTGATTTGTGATGCTTATTGCTCTACACATGTAAACGGATGGATATAATCAACTGAATCATTTGAACTGTCAAAATGAATAATTTCATAATGTCCCAGATATGCGAACTCTAGAAATTTGAGAAGGTTCCTGGCTTAATTGTCACTGTTGCGTATTCCATACCTCAGCTTGGGGCACTGTCTCCAGCATTGTTTTATTGAGAATATATTGTATTTTAAAGTTCATTGTCAATTAGCTTTCTTTTTTACTGAGTCTTGTGTGGTGATTTCCTCCTTTCATATTCAAATATATATAGGGTGAACCAGGTCTTCGTGGTCTTCGAGGGAGGAGAGGTCTTAGGGTAGGACTTGCAGCGTGGATTTGACTGACTCATTGGTGCATGGATCTGAAGCTATATTTACCATTGCATTTACCTCCAAGAAATTACAGCTCGTCAAGCTTAGTTTGAAAACCAGTTTTGTGTTGAAGCAAAATTGGTGATTTTTAAATGTATAAATTAGAGGCATTCTTGTGGTGATCTATTACTAACACTACTGGACTGATCAAAGCTGTTAGTGAATTTTTGTATAAATTGTATAATAACTGTAACATTTTATGCAGTTCTTAAAGTTATGGGTAAATGCTTCTTTCCCTAAAGCTTTTAGCAGTATTGCAGCATTGTACTCTGTGCTGGGTTGCCTGCTGTTTACACTATTCATAAATGACTTGGAGCGCTGTAAACTTATTTAAAAATTGCTGACAAATATCAAGTACCTCGTAATACAGAGCTAGATGGCATGCATAGAGAATTGAACCAATTACGCTAATAAAGTAAAAAAATGATGGATGAATTTTCATACAGATTTCTATCTGCAACGAAGCATATTAGACTAGAAATGGATTAGTATGGAGTTAAATTTGTTGCAGAAAGACTGGGAGGGGGAGGATGTGTCTTGATTCAACTCTTTAAAATGATGAAATGCATAGATCGTGAAAATAAAAAAAATCTAGTTGGATTCTGTTTGTGGAAGGGAAAGGCTTCCCTTATTGAACCTTAAATGAGGCCATAGCAAGTAGCATTTACTATTGGTTCATATGTTTGCCTACAAAAAACAAAGTAATTTCCTAAGAAGCACTTTGGGATGTTTCACTGTAAAAATGCAAGTTCTTTCTTTAGGTGGAAGAGTATTTCAGTAAAAGCAGTTGAGTTCAGTTGTGCAGGGCAAAAAAAAAATGATTGAAAATGATTTGAGTTAAGATTATCTAAGCGTAGATTGAGATAATCAAATGCTTTTTGCGACACAATGATTTTTGTGTTAGTGGGAGAACATTGCGTTGGAGGAAAAGAATGAATCTGGAAAAATAGTCTATTAGGGTTGAGTTGTGTGGAGATGGATAGATCGTGTGGAGTTTTACTTTGCAACCTTTGGAGATTGAGGACTGTTCACTGAAGAGATGAAGTCTATGATAGAGTATATAGAAGGAGCAAGCTTGGTGGGTGAATACTTTTTCTCATTCCTCCCTTCTTACACTGATAGCAAGTTGCACCAAACAAAAATAACATTTTAGAAGTCTAGAAAAAAGGAGGATCTGAATTCTTCTGTGAGATAAGAAGCAAGTAACAGTTGAGTTAAGCTTAAAGTATGGGATCCTTAAACTTTTAAAGTAGCAAAATTATGACCTGAATTTGTTCTCAGACAATGAATTCCCTAACTTAGGTCCCACATGTTGAAGAGCATCTGATCCGTTTTAGTTGTACAAAGCAACTTGAAAAATACAATTTTGTAGATATCTGTAATTGTGAATCACTTTATTGAATGGATCACTGTCTTTGGCACATAATCTGAGAGTTTTTGGTGAAATTAGTACGAGACCTGAAAGGAAATGAGAATATCACTCGATAAATTCAGCCTAAAATTGAAATTGTAGAGCATTTCTGCAATAAAATACAAAATTACATTTGTATAGTGCCTTTCATGTTGGGAGGATGTCCCAAAGTGCTGGACAGTCAGGGATTCTAGGTTGGAATGTAAAAATATTGTGTTGTCTACCAAAATATATTGTACAGTCTGTGCTTTATTTGTCTCCAAAAGTGGCCAAATTTAAGTAATTTACATTATATTGTACCATTCATACAAAAAGCACCATTTTGTTCACAATTTTTTGAGTTTAGAATTGGTTTTTACTAGAGTGATAGATTATGTTTGGACGAAGTGTGAAACTACTCTATTTGCTTATCATGCAGGGTGAAAATGGGATTCCAGGTGAAGCTGGAATGCTTGGAGAAAGGGTAAGTATTTGTTCAACGGATTGGATCCAATATATTTAGTCTTAGGTATGGATAAGCAATTTGAATTCCAGATTTTTTTTTGGGGGGGGTGGGGGATTAATTGGTGAGGGATTTATCCACACTTGACAATCTCAGTGATTCAGAGAATGACCAATGCCACCTGTGCTACCTTTTCTGGAATTCAACAGCTCATCAATGAATTGGAAGTTAGTGGCAGAATTAACTTCCATGACCATAAATCCATAATGCAAAGTAATTTTTTGAAAACACGTTTAGATTATCATTCACAGATGTCTATTATCCTGGTTATGTACACCTGCATCCTAAATCTTTTATAATTTATACCTTTTCAATTGAATTTGCTCAGCTTTTGCCTGCCAGCTACTGCCAGTGAACATTTGTATCCTTGTTCAATGCCAGTGGTGATTACTGCTTGTCACATCCTTACTGTGAATGCTTCAAGAAATATTCCACAGCTGACTACAGAAAAAAATGCTGTGTCCGTTATTTGTTTGACAATATGATCTTATTAAATAGGGTGAAAAAGGAGATGCAGGAATATCAACCAACGGAATTAAAGGGGAACCAGGTTCAACTGGATCTCGTGGAGCTCCAGGGCAAAAGGTTATTTCTTTTTTATATACTGTGTATGTGTGTGTGTATATATATATATGTTTCATTGGCAATGTTTTGCGTTCATATGAATACGATACATCCATGCTAATAATAATAATAATCCTTGCATTTGATATAATACCTTATCACGTCTTCGAGATGTCTCAAGTGCTTCACAGAATACACTCTGAAGTGAATTGACTGTGTGGTTTGTGGGCGAAACGCAGCAGCCAATTGCACACGGCAATGTCCCACGAACAGTCGTGGATTAAGTGACCAATTTTTTAAAATGTCTTTTTTTTTGAAGGGATTATTACCCCCGAGAAAAGCGATCTGCCAATCCACTAACAACTGGGTTCCTACTTACTGCTTGGTGAACAGAGGCGTGTGGAGTAAGGAAACTTGCCTAACATTTCACCCTGCCCGGGAATCAAACCCAGGTCCTCTCTCACTTGCGAGTCGAGTTCTCTGATCACTACGCTAAAGGGTTCTACATTGACTGCTCCCTGCATTGTGGAGTGAGAATGGGGCAGAATTCTGCATGTTGCAGTGCAACTCACTGGCCTCCTGCCCTACCAATCTAGTTGCTATAGGCTGGACAGTGGCAGAGGTGACAGGGCAGCAGAAACAACTCACTTTTTATGAATAATTTTTATGAAATAATGAATAGAACCCTTCACCCTGGGCTTGTAATGTCACCATCCAACATTACCAAGATATTTATAGCAATCATTAGATGCAGATGAAAGCTTCTCCTCTTCTCAACACTATTGAAGTGCAACCTCAGAAGAGCATTTCTACCACATTACCATGAAGTGCTACCCCCTTTTCACTACACTTTGTTGTATTTACCTTTCTCTTTGACCGTGCCTTCAGCTCCCCTCTCAACTCTCTACCCCCTCCTCGCCCCCTCCCTTCCCTCCCCTCACACTGACCATTTCCTCCTACTCGCTCCATCCCTTCCCTCCCCTGACCATTTCACCCCTGCTCGGGTCCTGACCCAACTGTCCAGCGCTTTGGGACGTCCTCCCGCCGTGAAAGGCGCTCTATAAATGGAATCTTGTTGTTGTTGTATTTCTATCCTGATACATACACAAATAATTAAAACGGTATCTATAATGTGCTATAATTATTAACCAAACAACTCTAACGCACCCTCCTATTTTTTTGCTATTTCTCTTCAGCACTTCCTCTTTGTAGCTCATACTATTCTGCAATCTGGACTTTTTTTTTAGGGAGAGCCTGGGAAAATGAGAGACCCTGGTTTACATGGCCAGCGGGGACAAGAGGTGGCAACACTCTATTTAAACAATGCCTGCTTATAGAAATATTAATCCTACAAATGTTCTCTTTAAATCTCCTGATGGATTTGTACTCATGAGAGATGTTTTAAAACTACAACCTTTTATTGATGATCTGAGATACAAACAACAATGTTCACAACCTTGTTGAAATAATTGGATTCGTAAAATTCCTTATAGTATTGAACAATTTTTAACTTGCTGCCACCTGTGAAAAGGCAACCAGCAACACTCCCTGTTAAAGGACAGTGTTTCTTGCTTTACTTAAATTTAACTGCAGATTTGCACAATTTATCGGTAAGGCATGTATTTATTTTTAATATTAGATTTTAACAAAATAGGAATTAAAGTTTATATTTTAAGAATATATGTGAGCACTGTTGAATCGAAGTATATTGACGTGCCTCTCCTGTTCAAAAATCTCAGGGTCTTTTAATCTGTAAAACTGCTTGTGACTTAAGTTATCACGATTAACTTGCCAAAATTGCTGTGGAGAATTGTGCTGCCACGTTTGCCTACAAATACACAATCACTCCATTTCACATTAATTCCTGTGAAGCGCTTTGAGACAACCTTCCAACGTTAATATGGCGCTAAATGTCATAAGGCAACAACAATATCTTGCACGTATACGGTGCCCTCCAAACAGGGCAGCATCTCAGAGCGCTTAACAGTGGCGGAGTCCGACTCCAAGCCAGGGGGAGGGGGGAGGTGGCCGTAAGCACAGTCGAAGAGGAAAAGCACAATCGAAGAGAAAAAATGCAAAAATGTAAGCTACTAAATGCAAGGATTATTTACATCATTGAAATTACCTTGAATCCATGCAAACATTTTTGGTGTGAAGTGTGTGAAGATTATTTCATTCTTTTACTAATATGATATTCCATCAACACCCACTTTACCCGCTGTGTTCATCAATCGTGCAGTGACACAATCTTTAGAACTTTAAATTTGATCCACATTTTAAATATTGAAAATTATTTAAATTGACAAAAGTTGCAGATGTTGCATTTCTGGCATTAAGGTCATTTTGTTTGTACTGCCTTTTTAAATCTTCCAAAGTAACTTGAATGTATTTATTGTTTTCAAGAATAATTGAGCTAACCTAAATTTGTAGGTAATTTTTTAAATATATGATTGCATGAAAAAAGAGCAGTGTCTGCATCCCATTCTCTTATGTAAAGGTTTCTCATTATATATCATTTCAGGGGGACCCTGGCCAGCCTGGACCAAGGGTGAGTTTATCACTGTGGTGACTCAACCTTGTTAACCACCCTCCAACTGCATTTCATCAATTTTGTCTCTTGGTCGTCACGTTGAAATGATTTTCTATTTGAAAATGACTATGCTGCTTTTGTAATCATAAATTGTGTGTTTTAAAATCTATTGTGATAGTTTATGTACTGACCCCTCAAAGCTTACCAGCATCCCATATTGTATACAGCATGCTCAGACCCTTTACCAACCAAGATCAAATTAGCTGTGCTTTTTTTAAAAAAAATTGCATGCTAAATCCCTAGTTTACACAATGAATCTTTAGAGTTTTAATATGTATTCTGCACTACTGCAGATTTTTATCAGCTTCATGCTATAATGATGTGTTGATTTATTGTATATGCTCTGTAGGGTTCGACAGGTCAGAAGGGTGAAGCAGGAAAAACTGAAATTATCGATTACAATGGTAACATCAGCGAAGCCCTCCAGGTAAATTCTGATAAAACTTGTGTCACACACAAACAAGACTTTTAACTACAAGGTACTTGCATATTTTTTATTGAGCACTTTGGATTTTATTGAGTACTGTTGGATCAAATGACCCCAATTCGACATTTTAAGAAGATCCCATGTTCAGTTACCAATCATAACATGGCAAATTTATAACACTTGATTTATTTGCCAAATAACTATCTAATTCTTGTTTGAATTTCCTGATTGAATCTGCCTGCACTCTCTGCCTTTGTAGTATCTTCTAAATATTCACCTCTGTGTAAAATAATTGTATTAGTACTATCTCTTCACCTTCCATCTTAACTTGAATCATATCTCTTCACCTTCCATCTTAACTTGAATCATATCTCCTGTAGTACAGTTAAATTGAATGGTTCATGTATAGATTTCATAGTTGCAGGTGTAGAATACAGATAATACGACTTCCATACTTTCATGTAATTTAATTCTTACCCCTCCAATAAAAACACATGATAAATGTTTGGTTAGGAGGGAAAATAAGAGTTGGTGTTTTAAATGTTATTCTGCCTCACAAAATAGTGGTTTACCTTTTGTTTTGGAAATGTTTCAGGAAATCAGGACTTTAGCCCTGACGGTAACTAAATAGAGTTCCATTGAATGCTTTTATTGATTGCTTCTTCTGCATTTTGAGCTGAAAGAGAGTTGGCATGGTAAAATTAGTGCATCCAATTATGTTTATTGTAACGGATGCTTTTAATCTGATAACTTTTTGGAATTTGGAAAATAGTAATTAACTGCGCTAGCATACATCTACGGTTATCTAGATTTATTACGAGTTAGAATTAATTTCAGAAGCAATATGTTCAATAACAAGGGTATTTTTCAAAAATTGTGTTATAAATTAATTAGAATATTGCTATAAAGCCACGTAAATAGTGTTGCAGTGTGTATTTTTGTACGCTTCCTTAATTAAAACAAAACTATTGAAGAAAATATCCAGTGAGCATCAAGCACATGACCTTTTGATGATGTTAAACCTCTAATGGAACTTCCTATTATAATTGCGCAGCAATGACCTAAGGTGCTGCCTGTAACATGCATCAGACTTTTCCCCCATGTTATTTCTGTCTTTCACAAAAGAAAGAGAGCATTTTACTTTCCCTCCTAAAAGTCCTACGAACAGGATATCTTGAATCAAGATATCCTGTTCTCCTCTCCACTCCTGCACCTTCCAGCAGCTATAATAATAATCATAATAATAATAATCCTTGCATTTGATATAGCGCTTTTCACGTCGGGAGGACGTCCCAAAGCGCTTCACAGAACACACTGTAAAGTGAATTGACTGTATATGTGGGCGAACGCGGCAGCCAATTGCGCACAGCAATGTCCCACAAACAGTCGTAGATTGAAAATGACCAATTTATTATTGTTTTTGGTTTTGGAGGGATTATTATTAGGCGTGTGGAGTAAGGAAACTTGCTCAAGATTTCGCCCTCTGCCTGGAATTGAACTCAGGTCTCTCGCTCTCAAAGCGAGTGCTCTAACCACTGAGCTACAGGACTCCACAATGGCCTAAAGTAGGCCATTGGCATCATTAAGCTTGTGTAGCAAATGTCCCTTAAAAGCAAACTGTACACAAAGATAGAAAATTGATCTGTAGCTTCATCAACATCTTCACTATCTAAAGACTGCTTGTTTGCTTTTGTAAGTAACAGATGTCTCGATAGTTGGGGAGAAATTAACAATGCACATAATACGAAAGATTCTGATGATTGTTGAGCTATTGAGGGAGGCTACTCTACATGATTTGTGCATGTCATAACCAACATGATGTGATCTAGGTTTACCTTGGTATGTTTTACCTTTGCATTTAGCTGGTTTGTGGTGTCCACTCATCTTTTTCTGACCACCTTAGAATAATGGAATATAAGGTCAGTCAGCTTACTTCCCTGAAAATAGAGGACAAAAGACAGTAGATAGAGGGGGAAAACAAGTATTCTAAATTTGAAGTAAGCTCTTCCACAGCTAGGTACAGTAATATAAAACATTCAGTAACCACAGCATTGCAAGCTAGATTCAGTACATTAATTTGGTACTGAATTTTACCAGTTCTGACATGTCTGGTTCGACAATTCAGGACTGGCTTTGTGCCAATGAGGAGGATTTCCCATGTAACTCGCTGACAGGTCTCGCCACTGATGTTCGATGCAGTGGGTCCCAGCTGTGTGCAAAGGTCGGAAACAGTGGGCCTCTGTGGGGACGGGAAAGGCAAGGGAAATTACAAATCTCCTACCAGGTGTGAGAGTCCTTTACTTATTTAACATTGCCTTACTTGGGAGCATACTTTATATTTGAAAGAACTTCTCTTTTAATTTCTTCTTAATACGATTTGTTTCTGACTTAAGGATATTTCAGTATCTCAACAATTTAGAAATAGGATCCTTTTGCATTTATTACAGAGATTATTTTCTAACCTGGAAGACAATCTTTGTAATTAATACAGAGGTACAGACTTCACTGATATTGCTGGAATAATTGTCTTTTTTGGAAAACTTCTTCCAAAGTGCAACTGAAGGAACATGGTACTTGTAAATTTTATTACAAATTAGGTTTAATCCAAGACTGTTCAATGCAATCAATATACCAAAGAAAAATGTGTTTAACATAAAGATATTACAACCCTTATGTGTAGCATTCACTTTTATTCGTCTTTGTTACTCCATCACTATCAAGCGCTACCCTGTGTGCAATTTGTTATATGGTCCTAAAAGTTGTACTGCCTGACATGAGGGATGTGACTTTGGGTATCTGCTGGCAGTAATGTTTGGATGCTTCTTTATTATGATAATAAATGCTACACCTGATTTAATAAAGGAACACTTAATTATTTTGCAATTTTTTCCACTTCTTCTCTCACCCACATGTGCATAAACTTTGAATATGTTTATGTGGCTTAAAAAAATACCCTTAGAAACTGATCTCCGTCCACCACTTCACCTTTTATACTCTTCTTTAGACATTGAGTTGTGATTTTCCTTGAAACATCCCTTTGATATGATTAAGTAATAATGATGTCTGATTTGCAGGGTCCCCCAGGACTTCCCGGACAGCCAGGCCAAAAGGTATAGTTTTTGCCTATTTCTATTGTTAAAAGACATGAATGCTGCTTCTGATTTGTTTAGTTAAAAGAAGTCAATATATTTTAAGAATAAACAAAACCAAATAGTCAGTCAACCCACGACATTATTGCTATTGATTGACTCATCGCTGTCTAATGCTTACAAAAATTGTTTAAGTGTACAGCTTAAAATGTGACGCAAAAAAATTTTGTCTCTGGATTTTTTTTTACAATTTATACAAATCAAAGCAGAGTACACATCTTGAATCATTATCATGTATTTATAGGGTGAAATAGGTTTGCCAGGTACATCAGGACTTGATGGAGAAAAGGTACTTTAAATTTTTATTAACTCTGAAAATGCATCCTAGTTTTGTTTTGCTGACGGTTTGAAGTTTTAGTTTACTCCCTGGAACAAGTGCCTTGTTGTATTATTTCAATATCAATCAAACCTATGGACTTTCCTGGCTACGTGTCTGTTGTTTTAGGGTCCTCGCGGTAAACCAGGAGAGGTCGGATTGCCCGGTCCAGAAGGCCCAACGGGCATCGAAGGGCTAAAAGGAGAGCCAGGAATTATGGGATTCCCAGGACCTAAAGGAAACAAGGGAGAAGTTGGCCAGGCAGGTTTTCCGGTGTGTTCAAGAGTTTCAAACAATATTCCAAGCATGAGTCTTCTAGACCAGTAAACCAACTTTTTTAATATCACTTTATTGTATTGCACATTTTAGCTCAAATCCATTTCTGGTTTAATATCTCAGGATTATGTAGATAAGGTGTTTCCAAAGACAGTGCTGTGATTGTCCATCTGTGACAATATTAACGTGCAAAGTGCCAGCATAACGTGTAAACTAGTCAGATTTATTTAAGATTAGTTTACCTAATGTATGTGTAGCTTTCTCCTCTCTTTATGTTCCATTTCCCAGCAATCTAATATTTGAAAATGATTTTTGAGGATGTTTTATGTAAAGAACATTTTCTGATCGATGTGTTGTTAGGGTCTGGATGGACCCACGGGTGAAAAGGGAGAAAGAGGGGAACCTGGATTGCAAGGTCCACCTGGCTTGCCGGGACCTGTTGGTCTTCCTGGAACACCTGTAAGTATCAGTTCGCTGCATGAACGGAGACTTTCGCTAACTTATCACATCAGTGACGTGTTTATGAAGTACTCTACAACTAGACAACATTTTCTACTGTAAGAAGTTGCTCACAAATAGTTGTGCAGGTGTGTGTGGGGTCTGTCTGCACTGAAACTTGGATTTATCTTCCAAGCAATAGATAATAAATACTGGTAAATAACAATGCTTTTTTTGCTTTTTTTTAATTCTAGGGAGATAGAGGAGAAAAGGGTGATGGGGTAAGGAGCAATCGCATTTCTTCCCTCGTTAAAACCTTTTCCGATTCTGACCCTGACGAGTCCCTTGTTTTCATGCTGTATAGCCGTGTTACCAATATATCGGTATGCAGTGTGGTAAAGATGGATTATTCATGACAATATCAACAACACAAACTTGTTAAGTTCCTTAATTCCAAATTTAGTCATGAGCTAAAACATAGCCATTAAATGAATGTGTGCCTTTCAATTACATTAATTACTGGGTTGCTCTCCTGATGACTCGGTGTTAAAGAATTGCCTGGTACACAACTGCGTTTTACAGACTTGAGACCTGAAATTTCATCTCGTCTTTGCCTGGAGACCATTTTTTCTTAAAATTCAAGTAAGGGCAGAATTAGGTATGTATAGATGCATGGAGTCCTGAGAAAGCTTGTTCTGTTCCTGCTTACCATTTTCACAGTAGAAATAATCATATCCCAACAGAGGTCTGGATGAAGAAGGCCCTTTTATCCATTTTATCTTATCCTTCCCTGATATTCACGTTACAGTTCTCTCATTAAAACACCACATTCCTTAAATGAGTCCAGCATCCTGGCCTTAACCATCCTTCTGATAATCAGTTCCAGGCATTAATGTTCCTGGAGGTAAAGAAATACTTCCTGCTATCCGTTCTGAAATTGCCCTTTGCCAATCTAAATCTATGTCATCTTCATGCCTTGGCCTCTGAAAATATTGTACTGTATATTCTTTCTCAATTCTAGTTAGAATCTTACATCTTTGACTGAGAGATCCCTTTTTGAGTTGGACTAGCCCCAGCTTATATAATCGTTACTCATAGCTCAGAACTCTTTTAACACTGGGGATCATCCTCACTCTCCTCTGCACAGTGTGCAACATGAGTATCACATCTAAATCAATAGGTTTTTCTCTCCAATCTACCAGTGACCTAAGTTGATAATGTTATGCAAGACTGTATTACTTTAAATATTTGTGTAAGGTTGAGCAAACATGGTAAAATTATTCTAACATAACCTCTTACATATTGCATTATCAGAGTGATTTCCAATTATCAGAGTGATTTCCAGCCAACTGTTTTTTATATTCCTTTTGAAATTGAAGAATGATATGCAGCTTTACAGTTCTAGCTATTTCTTTGCAAAATGGGCATGTATTAGTGCAAAACCTGACTATTGGATGTTTTAAATTTTTAAACAAAATTTTTTCCACAGGTTGTTGGTCCAGAAGGGCCACTTGGTCCACAGGGACCACCAGGCCCAATTGTAAGTATTAGATAATTGATTCAAGTTTCCATGAATAAATAATAGTAATAACATAATAATAAATAATTTTACTCGAAATGGAGCCTTATCATGCCATTGAAGCAACTCAAAGTGCTTCACAGGATTTATTGTAATGTATATTTATTGTGTATTTTGTAGGCAAATGAGTTCAGCCAATTTGTACGCTGCAATTCCGCATAGCTCCACACACAATTAATCTGCCTGACAAATTTTGAAAAGTAATTAGGAATTGTACCCAAGTTTTAAATCCGGAAATTTTGAAATTCTTTTGTTTTTCAAAGCCCAAAATGTTATGCATTTTCCGATTAGAAATTTGGAAGTATGTGAAATTATCTTTGCAATGTTACAAATTTGAATTTTGGTTTGTTTCACCCAGGGACTCCAGGGGCTTTCAGGAGCAAAGGTAAGTTAGAGTTCAATAAAATGTACTTTTACAAGGACGGAGAAAGTTAGGATCAATGGAGATTTCTTAATATGTAGACTCTGGAACCTTTCATTTGGTTTTCTTTGTCCGCTGGCATTGTGACACATTTATTTTATTTTTGTGCTGCATGTTTGGTGTCCTTGATATCGTGCTGAGATACCAAGACACCTCAGAGCACTTCACAGGATATTCTGTAAAGTGATGTGACTGCAAGTGTTTTTATAATATGATTTGGGAAGAAAATGTTTCATCAACCTCACATCAATTCAAGCCACATCTTGAAGATTTGGTTTTGTAGTTTGAATAGGTTGCAGGAGATAATTATATTATCATTATATTACTGTACCTGCAACTCACCCCAGCCCCCCATCCACCGATCGAGCAGGCAGATACAGGTCAAGCAGCACAGGTTTATGAGAACCTCAACAGCCCCAAAAGCGACATGCCACACTCTTGACACTGCACCATTCCAGAGGAGTGCAGGGACCTGGATTTTCAGTCTGTGACCTGCGACCCCTCTTACAAGTGCTGTTTCTAAGTGAAAGTGAATGTTTTGTTCCTTGGTGGCTGAATCAACTGATTCTAATCATAATTTTGTGCATGGTGCAAAATTCTGTGTTGCAAACTGACACTAAAATTAATGCCTGAAATCTAATATTTTGTCATTTGTGCAGGGTGATTTAGGATCGGTTGGTCTTAAAGGTGACAGAGGTCCTTTGGGATTGCCTGTAAGTTGCATTTTCTGCTCCTATGTTTATTATGCACATCAGGCATGTAATTGCCATTTGGGGTTTTGGGGCATGAATGTGTAATTAACATTTCCTTTTAAAATTTAATTAACCCTTAAAAAGCTAATTTTATACAAAACATCTAACCCTTTAGGTTTGACTGCACGTCAGACTCGGGTTTCTAAAACCTAATGGATAACCCACCAGTATATAGCATCAGTCAAATCTAATGCTATACGAACCTCCCCACCAAACTCACTGATTCATTACACGTTGGTGTCCCATGGGGAAAACAACAGCGAAAATTCACTCCCTGAGAATGTTGCAAGATTGAGGGTTGAAGTGATCCCTGAATATAATTTTAGAATTTAAATTGTCACATGACAATTATTTGTCCTGTGACATAACTGTACTTTAAATTGTAATGCCTTACTTTAAATTAAATCATAATATGGGAAGAATGACAGCGAAGCCTGTGGTTTTTTTTGCCTTATTCGGCTATCCATACGTACATTTCAGCAGAGACACTGGATAGTCCTTGGGAGCAGGAACTCTGATTTTTTTTTTTCCCCTTCCCTTCATACCCTAAGGAAATTAAACCATTTGTAATGCTCTTGCCATTATCGCCTCAAAGGCTGGGGATCAGACCAGTATGCACTCACACTCGTGAGTGAGTAGAGCAATTTTTGTCTCAGCTTAGTTCCTTGGGACTTTACCATAGCACAAGTCTATTTCATGTCCAATTCAGCAATCATCTGTCTGATTGTTCCCATATGCCGAGTTCCCATATTATCCTGAAAATGTTAATTCTGAACCTTAAACAGGTGTGTAGGTTTAAGGTTCAGATTTAACATATTCAGGATAATTAGGTGGTATTCCTTACTACTGTTGACCCATTTTGTGTGTGGCAAAGGTCATATTATCATGGCCATAGATGCCACACGGGAATTATTCTCACGTCCATGGTGATCATTACTCACTTCACCAAGCTTTAGGATACATAATTGGAAGACCGAAGACTACGGATCATGTTCATGTTTCAATCACATGGCTCGAGGCAAAAGGCAGTGAAAAAATGTGTTACTCTGACCTCTTAATGGTGGAGAAATATTTGTTCAAAACATGCCACATGTTACAACAGCATTTCAGTCCTAGATTGGGTGTTTTACTCTTCAGTAATAGGTAGAAATTAGTGTTGTATCATCAACATTGGCATAATTCATTGTTGGTCCAATTTACATGTACCATAAGTCACTTTTAATCACAAGTTGTGCTAGTCATACTCGCTTTTAATCTTCGCTAAATGTCAAGTCTTGGCATTCAGTTTTTCCAGCTCACATTTATACTAGTTTCAGAACATTTCTACTGACAGACAAAGATTTCATAGTGTCATTTTCACTTGTGGGTGGTGCTTCCAATGTGAAGCGATACAAATATTTACTCATTATAATTTAAGAAATGATATTATTGTTGCTGGCCTGACTCGTATGGAAAGAACATGGTACACATTGATTCTTGTGAGCTGGTTGATATGTCAGGTCTTGATCTCTTTCAACATTGTCACCTTTCATTGAGTTATGCCAACACATGTCCCTTTTCACTGTCACACTCATCTCTTCCCCACTGTTCTTTCCACTTTTAACACTTCATACACTGTCCAGGGTGCTTCTGGCTTAGACGGACAGCCTGGACCACCGGTGAGTTCCATATGTCCATTCTCCTAGATAGTTCATGCCTGCTACACTGTTGTTGGATTGCATAATGAAGTTAATATAGTTGGATTACATGCCTGTACTGTGGTCCATGTGCATTATAAATGAGCATGACAAATATCCCAGTGCATGTGACTGCTTGATTGAGTTTTTTGTTCAATCATTTGTATTGGGAAATGCTTACATTATGTTCAATTGAGTTAAAACAAGGTCTTGTACTGAACGCCCTGAATTTTCAACAAAACAATCTGTGGTTCATGGTAACAATGTTCTCTCTTAGTAGGTCTGAAGGCATTTAATGTTTATGTAACGTCCCTGTAATGTTGTCTTTTTTTATTCTGTGAAAAACTTCCATCTGTTTAATTTTTTTTGGTGTGGTGGGTATTCTTACCTGCTTATGAGAGATTGTAGAATGACCTTTACAGAGGCCTGGGAACAGATCCTCCAAGTCAAGGTTTTGGTGCGTAGATTTGGAAAACTTAGATGAGAAGAAAATATCAATGCAAAATTTTTCCTTTAAATTATTAGGTATCAAATAGATTTTAAAAATTACATAGTAGCACATAATTCTATATTTCTGATAACTCTTTTGCTTTGAATGAATTTGGCTCATTTGATCTCATCCTTTAGAATACCATACCACCTTTCCCATTAAAAATGTACATTTCAAGAGTATGGATTATATACATAGCAACTGCTCTTATATGAAAACCTGCTCTGATTATTTGACCAACTTCCAGGCTTACGTCAGCAACAAAAATGCTCCAGTCCTACTAAGAAGCTATTTCTTTTCCTCTAGGCTGAGCCATTGATCCATGTGCTATTCTCTAAATGAGAAAAATGCTCTTCTGCTCTTTCATCTTGACCCTTCTTATATGGAATTGTTACTGAATAATAGGACTAGATGGAATTGTTGTAAAATATGTTAATTTCTATGTAGGGTGTACCAGGCCCAGCAGGTTCACAAGGGCCAGCAGGACCAAAAGGAGAAAGGGTAAGAATCAAACGTGGGACTATAGATAAAGGGAATCTAAATTTAATAATCCTTGCCTTTGATATAGTGTCTTATCATGTTGTTGAGACACTCAAAGCCCTTCACAGAATATGCTGTAAAGTGAATTGACTATATTCAAAAAGGATACATTGAAACTGACTGAGAACTAACTGTAATACAAAATGGTGATCAATATTATAGAAACAAATGGACCATAAATAACCTCATGTCACACTTCTGTCGACAATATTTTTGAAGACACTTTTAGCAATATGAGTCATTGAAATAAATGCACTATTGATATAGCAGGAATATTGGATCTGAATGTATCTACTTACAACACCAAACTATCTGTACTTATATCTGTTTTAGGGTGATAAAGGAGATGCTGGACCTCCAGGACCAATTGGACCACAGGGAATAACTGTAAGGAAACTGGCTAACTTATAGGAATCCTGAAAAATCACTTCAGTTCCTATTGTGTGTTGGAAAACCCACAAAATCTAACTTCAAAATAATTTCCTACAAATTGTATTAGTAAACACAATTAACTAAATGGAACTCTAAATCCAATTAACAAAGGAAATGACTGGGAGCCCACCCTGTGGCAATAATACAAAAGCTCTAACCTCCTCAGATACCACCCCATTTCCAAGTTGTCCTTCCTCTCCAATATAATGGAATGTTGGATTTATTGTACAGTGTAATGTAATTTGTATATAAAATGCGGCAAGCAATTTGCGCACAGCAATACCCACACTGAATAGCAGTTCAAATAATGTTCTCTCATAGGGATCACTAGGACCAAAAGGAGAAAAAGGAGGCCGGGTAAGCATGCCTGAACTTTATGATGCTTAGCTATCCTTTTTTATGCATGGTATTTTCAAGTAAAGCTTGGCCTAATGTTTACATATGTTAATAACCAGAAGTAATTTAACAATGATTACAGTTGTAAAATTCAATGTAACATGATTAGGCGAAGTAATATTGAGTTGTCATTCATTACATCAAACAGACCAATGAATTCCACCGCAAATGCCTCTTGTAAGCTTGTATTGAAAATAGTTTTATCTCTTCCTTGAAATGCTGTTATTTGGAGGTTATTAACAAAAATATTTGGGAGTTTTCATTCGAAGCGATTTATTTGAAGGTTATAAACAGATCCGCGCTGAATCATTTGTAAAGTGTTAATTCACAAAATATACCTTTAACTTAAAGACTTCTGAAATATATTGCTCAGTTTGACATTGAGTATTTTTGTAAAGATTTGTTGTGCTGTTATTCTGTGCATTCTTTTGGCTGCTTTTTTAAAAATTCCTCCGACCAGGTCTACCTTAACCCCTTCAACCCTTCTTTCCATATTTAATCCCTGATTATCCTCTCGTCCTACTCAAAGTGTTTTTTCCTTCTCTCTCCCCTGACACTGATTCCTAATGTATGAACCTCTCCTTTCCTGTAAGGATTTTTTCCCTAATGTATAATCTGTTCCTGTCCTTTTAAATCTCTTTTTTTCTATAATGCATTATTGCTCTGATGTTTCTAAATGAACAGTAAGTAAGCACTAATGAAATGCACACTTCTGCCCTTTTTAGAATAAATCGAAACATTTATTTTCAAACTATATCAAGTGCAAGGATTATTCTGTGCTTAAAAATAATTTGTAAGACATAATTGAGTTACATTTTTATACATATAATTTTAATTTAAATATTTATAAATATGATTTTGAGTGTTTTACTACATTCTAAAAATGTGTTAAACTATTTAATAATCCTGCAGTACCTTATAAAGAAAAATATTTTTGCTTAGAGCAAAAAGGTATTTCCTCAAACAAAAATAATCAATACAAAACCCTTTCATGTGTTATTGGGCCTAGAACTATATTAATAGAGCCCTGGAAAATACTATTACACATCAACAGTATATCATTCCTTGTTTATGCTTGCTTAATCAACAACCTTGTTGAATAATTTCTTAACTTGGTAGAAAATTTAGACGTTTTATTTCATCAGAAGGTAGTTGTGTGCAGTTATGTTCTCATTTTTAGTAGTCCTTTCACACAAAGGACAGAAGTGCAATTTCCAAATGGAATTAATTTTGATTATGATTTTATTTTGTACAGTCTATAAAAAAGATAACATATCACATCTCACCAATGGTGGTAATATAATCTAAATAAATCCCAAATTAAGAAGGTTTTTTTTTGGTTTCCATTTTGTATTTCCTCATCACCCAGACATTTTCTGCACAAAAAATATAAAATTGTTCCAACTTTTTCTTTGACGAATATTGTTTGCAGGGGGAGAAGGGAAAGAGAGGTTCTAAAGGGCCTAAAGGGGATAAGGGAGACCAAGGAGTGCCTGGATTAGATGCACCTTGCCCATTGGTATGTTCTGCTGATGTGATCTAAAATGTAAAATATGTAATGGAAAAATAAGGGAGGACGTTCTTGAATGTTGCTTTAAAATCATCTGTCATTGCAGCCCTAAAGGCTAAATACCACTGTTGTGGAGTCCTTCCATTTAGCTCGGCTTCTTTACAGAACCAAACTCCGCAGCAATGCTGAGATCTGAACTAATGGCAATATATCATTGGCACAAAATACAGAGTAAGTACAAAGTGTGACTCTGGAGTGAATTGGAGTTTACATTTGTGTACACAGTGCCTGGACCAAGATTTGCTCAGTCTCCAATGGTAATTCCTTGGTATTTCTTGAATTGCCTCTGCTGAGTCCCAACATCCACAACAAGTCTGCTTCTGCTTTCTGTGCTTATCAAGATTTGTATTCACTGAACGTTGGATTTTGAACATCATGTTTTCATTTATGACATTCAAAATCACAGAAAAGAGATCATCCCTTGGGCTGGTTCAAACGCTAGGCAGGTTCCAAGGGTGCAATGATGTTTTGTAATCTTTTCCTCATGTGCTGTCACAGAGTTGCCTACCGATTTGCAGGTTCCACAGTCCTCCCTTCTTTCTCCATCTACATAAGAGTCAGTATAAGATGTATCTGTATTAACCGAGTCAGTTCATTTTGTAAACAGGGATTCCGAGGCTTTAAAGGAGAGAAAGGTGAACCGGGCTTACCAGGCCTGGATGGGCTTGATGCCCCTTGCCCATTGGTATGGTGTTATCTCCCTTCCCTTCCTGCACGTCTATCATTTTAAATCCATATTCATGCATGGTGATTAAATAATAACACCAAGTGCAACATGGATAAAGTGCTGCTTTTTTGCATAACCACCATAATTAACAGCCAGTGACTATCATGCATATTAACAACATTAAATGCAGTTGGTTGTTATAAGTATAAACTTGAAACACTTACAGGAAACCTTTGAAGCATATAAAGTCTTACTCACTTTATCTATGTGTCAATTTAAAATGTTCTTGCAGAAAAATACAAGTTAAACCTACCCAATGTTTTTTTTTACCAAACAGAGAAAATACACAATAAATATAATTGCCAGCTGATGTAAGAAACACTAAATCAAAATCTGATCTGTTTCCCAGAAAACAGATAAAGCTGTGTTTAGACTTGTGCATGTGTATACTTAAGAGCGTATATTTTACAAACCTTCCATCCCATCACTGGTATTAAAGGTTTGTAACATTTCATGTGCTAAAGACTGAATGAAATGGATCACAAGGGGCAACTATACATCAGCTGAGGGAGAAGTACCAAGATATTCTACTCACTGGGCATAGGAGGAGAAAACCTATCACTATTCAACTTTAATTAAATTAAATCATACTTTGCCCTTTTATGTATAAAATAATTATTTGTAGCTCGTGGTTGTACAAATAGTTTCTATTCTAAAAGACAAGGATTTCCACCAGATCTTACACAAGCACTCCTCTACTTACTCTATTGTTACTGTAGGAGGTTCTCTCACGGATTCTACCCTTGTTTATTGTATTTATTATCCTGTTTTCCTTTTAAAACCAATTAAAAATTAACACTTCCTCACCTCTTCCCCACCCTTTCCTTAAAACCTGCCCTCAGTACATTCCAACCAAGTACCAATGGGTCAATATCAATTACCTCAAAGTTAAATTGTTTTAAGCACATAAGTAAATTCTAACTTTAAAGTGTGTCCATAAGAAATAGGCAAAATATAGTGTGGTTCTATCAGTTTTTTTGTGGGTAAAAAGTAATGTACTTGTAAGTATCTGTAATGCATATTATGTGTTTTGTTAGGCCTTAAATGTACAAATCATGTTCTTTTGATGTTAGATATGGCTCAAAAATGCAAAACTGTTTTAACGAGCTATTTATCATTATATAGGCATATGCATGAACTATGTGGTTCTTGTGATTGGATTCTGTTTTAAAAAAGCATGTTGCATACAATTGCCGAGCTGTAAATGAATATACAATTTCATTACTGTGCACAGAGTTACAGTTTACCAGTTTGATCTTGATTCATGGGTAAAACAGTACATATTCTATTTTAAATGTTCGTTGGAATATTTATTTCATTACAATTTACAGAGGGAAAAATTGCCCTTAACTTAAGGCAGACATCTTAACGTTGTAACAGGGGAAATAATGTATGTTACAGAGAATACAATATTGTATATTGCAAAATATACTTATACACACAGTAACTTAATTGCAACATAGAAGTTCCAACTCCAGGCATTTTTACTTGGTTATTGTAAAGATGAAAACTGAAGGGTTATTGTTACGATAATTTGCTGTGTAATGGGTACTTTAGAAAAATAATCTAGAAAATGCATGATGCCAATTTTTGGGGGAGTGGGAAATATCCAAATCCCTGAGGAAAAACTATTTCTCTGGCATATACTCTTTAGGTTATCAAATCATAGTTGCTTCCTGTTGAGTATACTTTTTCATGTTTGTGGTTCTGAACAGAAGCACTAGTTTGTGTCTTATGGAGCAGAGCCATCTGATTTCTAACTGCATTCAGTTCAACCATTCATCTTATTTATGGCCACAAATTCCATACCATTTTACAGATCTGATGGTCAAACGTGAAATTGAATAAGATGGAATGTAAAAAAGTAGAGCTTTATCAAATTATCTAATTTGTCACAAATCGAAACTCTTAAATAGTTCCATTTCTGGAGTTTCCCACTATTTAAAGTTTTGTCTTGGTTAAAAGCTAAACAGTTTATAATCTTGCATCAACATATAAACCAGTCCTGATGCAGAACAGAAACACTGAAAAAGTCCTTGAAGCTGGAACCTATGGACCTAAATCTTAGAGTGATTGTAAAATAACAGTCAAAAAAATGACAAAGTTCTGATGAATTAGCTCATATGTTTGGTACTGAATGGGTTAATTTCACATCTATAAAGGATACCTTTGATAGATGGCAAAAGTAGAGGAAAGGTCAGAGCACTGAAGAAGAATGACTGATCTTCAAAACTGCAGTGAATGTCATTAAAGAAAAATTCATGAAAGACTTAACAGTTTTACCCACCCTAAGTGGTTTGGAGAGCACCTAAATGAAGTTCACTAAACCGCAGTAGCGAATTACTAAACATATGACTCTTCACTCAAATATTGCCGGAAAAGTCGTTTAAAAAGAGATTGGACATGTTTACTGTTCTAAAAATGATTGAAAGTTGTAGGGAAAGCTGCAGCATTTGATGACCAAAATCATGATTGTTACTCAATTCTGTTGGGAATATTGAAATGCCATTTCTGGAATGGAGAAGGTCAGGATTGAATAATGAACATAATTCCAGACTTTTACAATTGATTATCCTCAGAATTTGGGATGAAATTTATTTTTTCCAATTGGTTTTATCTATGGTTATTCAATTCCTTTATGACTTAACTATTCCAAATACAGTTTGATTTCAACAAAACATATTGATGCATCAATTGGGTTTTTCATCTCAGCAATGAGTTAAAAAAAATGTACATTTGTATTTTCAAAATTGTCATCAATACAAACCCTTTTAAAATGCATTTAGGAAGTTATTATACGGAACACATGCTTATGATTGTATCCCTTGTATTCTTCAAAATACAAAAATATAGTTTAATGAAGAAGTTGAAAATCTAGTCTTGAATTCACCATAGGAGATTCAGAATCAAATCTGGGTTGGGACCAATGCCTCTGGCTTTCTTGTAGGGAAATATTTCATCTCAGAAAAGTTGTCTATTGGGGAGAGGAGATAAACTGGAAAAGGGGAAACTGAAGAAGATAATGTGGATGGTGAGAAAGTACTGAGTGAAAGGGAATGTAGGCAAATATGTAAAACTAATGTCTTTACTACTTTGAAACTCAGGGTGAAGATGGCTTACCTGTACAAGGCTGTTGGAATAAAGTAAGTAAAATCAGATTCATACAAGCATGTTGGCATGTATTGTATATTTCTAATGATTGTGAAATCCCCCATGCGTTGTATTGACATGAAGCTGTAAGTGTTTTTTTATGCTGTCTTATAACATTAGTCAACGAAACACATTGTACTGTGGATGCTGTTTGCAATGATCAAGTGGTGCAGTGCAAGTAATATAGGCAGACACTCGCAGTGTTGCCTAAAAATATAAATCTTATTTGATTGCTGATTTACTCAATTGGCAAATTCTTAAATACAGTCTTAATGGGAAGGCAGTATAGTATTAGTTATTTTAAGAACTCCAGAAAACAATCAAATTAAGGCTGAATTCAACCATTTTCCAAATTCCACACACTCTAAATTGCTACTTAATTAGAGTAACTTTAGACCAAGATAGAATTTCTCAACATTTATTTGTAAACTTATTGCAAATGTCTGGTTACATTGGTGCTAAATAGGTGTTGCAAGTCCTGGACTGTTACCAAATCTAATCTTTTTTTTATATATAATCTATATTTGTAAATACATTGCACCTATTGATAACTAGTTTTATGGATTGTAAAATTGTTGAATTTGTGAACCTTTAAGAGGTTTGCAAATTCAAATGCATTATTGAAACAGATTGAATCAAACTAGAATTATGACTGATTGAACCAATTGTGATACAGCTGAGAGGTGGACACAACCACTTTGTTTATGCCTCAAATCCCATCCAATTGATTTAACTTCATGCAGCATACAGTGTGGTATGTTCCAGAAGTTAAATACACACCAGATCAAAGCGCAGAATGTCTTAACAAATTGTGTGTTTATTAGGATTACATCAGTTACAGCAATTGCTCTGAAATATTATGATCCGTTCATTGCACAAAAATGAAAGAAAAAATGTATTCAGGAATAAAAGCAGGTTAATTCAGCATTTTAGAACAATCATTCTCCTCAAATAAACTAGCAGAATTCAATGGACCATGCACTTATACTTAGAGATGCTTAACCTGGAGCCCACTGCTCTGTGGGAATATTTTGTATAATACATATACATTATAAGTTTATGAGTTAGTCTATTTGGCACAGGATATCAGACATTTGAATGGAAAAATATTAGTCATTTAAGATGGATTATACGAGGAAGGATGTATTACTTCAGAAAAGTTGGCGTTGTTTTACATTTACAAGCACAGTGAGGAAGAACAAATCAGTGTGTGCCTTGAGCTTGCCAATGCCCTGCGGTTACTGACTGACAACTTTTTAGCATTAATCCAATCCATACACTGATTTAGAATGATTCAACTAGGAGATTTAAAAGCAGGATGAAAGTCTTATATATCAAAAATTGGCTGTAAGGATTTTGAATATCTTTTGGGCCTTGAGCACTTGTGGATGAAAAGATACAAATGCAGTCAACCCGCAATGAATGATTAAGATGGTTTGACTGTTTTCAAACTATACAAGGAAGTGAGTAGTGAGGATTGGAAACCAAATAACAATTATTTCAGAATAACTTATTTGTAGGGTGGCTTGTACAGCAGAGCAGTGAGATAAATCTGATTTTTTTAAAAGCCATGTTCATAATGGATGAGCGAGTGAGATCCTTTAAGGAATAAGTGAGGTAAAAATATTGTTCAAAGGATCAGGAAATGGTAAAAGTGTTTATAAGAATTCCTCAAAATGGTCTTTAAAAAAATGCAGACAAAGCAAATTTTGGACCCAATCATTTTAGCTCAATCTGTAACAGATGTAAAGGTAGGAAAGCAAGTGTAATGTTTCATATGTTCATAATTTAGAGTGACAGTTGGCAGAAGATGAAGATTAATTATTTTTATGAAAACTTTAATGCATCCAGTTACTTTCTCCCCATTGCCATATGTGGCTTTGTTCTTGATCCCCAGCCTCCTCACGCTGAGCTGAGGTTCCACGGATGCTGGTTAGTGTCCGATACCTCACCCAAGTGGACATTGTTCATGTCTGAGTTGATGGTGTTGGCAGACCACTCAAGTGTAGAGGGCTCCACAACAGAACCTCACCTCACCCAGCTGCCGCACGCACATACAACCAGTAGATGGTGCTAAACTGTGGCCAGGAGTCTCGCTGGCTTTACCCTCTCCAACCCTGGGAAGGCTGGACAAGTTCACCCTCCCCGTCCAACAAACTCAGCATGGACTGGCTCACGAATCTAGACTCCGCTATTAAAATGTTGCTAATTGCCTCTATTGCCATATGAAAGTAGTAGTAGCATGGACTGGAATTCAAACCAGTGAACTCCTGGTCCATAAGCTGAAACTCTTTCCATTACACCATCGGGGCTGCCCTAAAATGGTTAAAATTCAAATGAATGAATTGTTCAAGAAATATTGGGTGGCTTTACTTGAATCATGGGATAAGTTTGTTAATAAAAGATTACAGCCTAGATGCTTCTTAATGGAACTAATCTTCACTTAACTGTAGAAAGTATAAAGAATAATTTGCTTCAGAACAAACATTTTCCATTAATTAGATGTTCTCTAGCTTAAGTGCTCTATGGCTCCACTTTAATTACATATTTTCTTGCCTTTAATCTCTGTCAGCCATGGTATTTTGCACATGAGGCCAAAACTAATATTTTTAAAGCTTATTGCCATGAGATCACACGAGCAGTACTGAATTTAAATTATATGAAAATGTTGCTTTTTGATACTATGCATCTCTGGAACCAACTATGTTTTTTTTGCTCCAGTAATGATCAAAGTATTAATCAGTCATAAATGCATAAAATACAAAACTATTTAGAAACAGAAAACAACCAGTGACCTTGCTTTGGATTTTGGAATAGAAGTTTTGATTCTCAATCTAAATAAACACATTTCAACCACCATTGTAGGATTAATACTTATTGCACTTCAAGCTATATTCAGGTTCATTCAGCTATGCCTGTGTTTCAGATAGATTTACTTTACAGTATATTCTGTGAAGCGCTTTGAGACGTCTAGAAGACGTGAAAAGTGCTATATCAAATGCAAGGATTATTATTATTATTTATGGGGATTTGCAGAATGAAGTCAACAAGGGAAATCTTTTTGAAAATTTTCTTTTACTACAAATTACATTGTACAGTGGGTAGACGCAATTGGCCTAAGTTTTCCATGTAAGATAAGATAGTGCATTCTGTTTTAAAGTATTTAGTTTTGAGTTTCAGCCCAGAAAGGATTGGATGTTAGACGGAGTGTTCTCTGATGGATGTGAGATAACAACAAAAATCAGTTACAGTAGTCCTACAGCTCATGAATCAGTGCACAAAATTATCCGTTCCTTGGACTTCCCTCAAGCTTGGAGAAATCACTATTCTTTATCAGCTGATGTAAATACATTCATACTCTGGCTTCCACTTCCTGTCACCTACCTCAGCATTCAGTTTCACAAAAACCCTGAATCAGGTTCATGACATATTCTGTGGTGCCTCGTGTTTAAACCCTGAATCTTGAACTAACCTACGTTTGTTTTTTCTTTTTGCAGTGATGATGATCTAACCACAGAATGGAGTGTGTACATAGAATATTTATTTTTATACAGTTTTCTTTGCAATTGTGAAAGTTATCTTTTTAAATGATTTCATATTTTAAATTCACATTTTGTATAGATTGTATTAAATCCTGTGTTGTCTACCACTGTCTTTGTACCTGTGCATTCATCCACTAATTATGTTGCCTAATACATCAGTATCATTTGCATGATATTTGTGCATAATGTAAAGAGTCACATAATAATTTATTATATTGTCTGGACTGGACTGCACATAAATGCAGACCTGGTTGGTTGAAATGAATCCCCAAGCAATGTATGTATTCTGACCATTGATTACCATTTTTTTCCTCTTGCCTCTTAGTATCTTTTGGGCAAGATCTTTTGGTTAAATCTAGTGCCTTCCACAAAATTAAAACAGTGGTTGTTTCAATAGTGACTGCTGCTGCACAATTAAATAAGGGGCAGATGCATTTTATTTTATAAGGAAAAGCGCAGTGATTTATTATCAAAATTCAAACCTTGTAAACCCTTGTTTATATATGAATCTGCAACAAGTGAACTCACACAGATTTGACCGAAGAATAACAACAATAAAATGTGTCCCATTGTGACCCAGGATTTTTAAATCCAGTTTAGTACAACATCAGAGAAAACTCAATGTTGTGATTGAGTTTCTGCAAGACCCAAATAAACACCAATCTAATCTTTTGAATTAGACAACATTCAAGTCATAAGCTGAAGCGATGGGCACATTGATAATGTAGCTCCTGTTAAACAGTTAGCATTTTCTTCAGCTGCTAATGTTGCCTTGAAATTGTAAGGCCAGTATAATGGAGGTCAGACTTATGATTAATTTTATTCCCTATTGCAAATTAAAAGTTTTTCATATTTTCCTATAAATATCGATGAAGGGAAGCAATATACAATATTTACAGCTAATTAGATACACAGTAATTGTATCTCAAATATAGAGTGTGTGTGTGTATATATGTTTTATATTACAGTTAATTACAGGTAGTTTATGCTAGCAAACCTTATTTAATTTCAGCTCTGTGGAACAATACAGTATTACTTACTTCGGAGGACTTTACATATAAGCTCTTTTTTTTTGCTATCCCAGATTGCTTGATTCTAAATTGTCTTTGTGCATTCCGCCCCTGAACCTGCTATACAATTTCATTGCTGACTTGATGGATTGTAATGATCGTCCTTATTAAAGGCAGCACTTTTTTATTATTGCCTTTTGTAACCTCAATTTATTTTTAAAATTTAGGGTGGGAACATTTCTCTCTATCCAAAAAGTTGATTGTGGCCCAAAGTTGGGTTTTGTATCCAGTTACTGATTTATTTACAGTATATACCGAAATTTACATGTAGGCTGAATGCTGCACATCTACATACAGTGTAAGAGCTTGCTCTGACTATTACATAGGTCAGCCAAGAGGAATATTACACCTTAAGGTATAATGCATACCTTGTAGGCCAAACCATGAAACTAGATCAGCAAAAAACTTGAGACCTTGAATATTTTATTGCATTTTTAGACAATGTCTGCAATTTACCAAACGTGCACCAGTTAAGACTGCAAATTTGTGGTCTGGTTGTATGATTTAATTAATTTTCTGCTTGCTGAAGTGAAAATGTGCATGTTTCTATGTCTGGCGCTGTATTAACTGGGTGGAACTTCTGTTTTGGACTGTCACCTGATATGAATTCTGAAACTGTATATTTATTACAACTAGGGTCAGACACCATGGCTAAATGCCAAATAGTCAAGAAATTGTCCAAACTGGAATTATTTGAGATGACGACAGAGATATCTTCCATGAAACCTCGTCAAATAGTTGACTGAAGTAATGGAAAAATGAAATGCTGAAGGTTTTTGAGTTTAGGAAGGCACCACTTCCTTTGTACAGGGACAGTTTTTACACTGTGGTTGCTGAGATCTGTGGATTGTGCCACGTTCTTCAACTTCCTTCACCTTCTGAATGTGGTATGTGAACGCAGGAAATGTGTGTGTACTTTTTGATTAAGAGCTGAAGGATCCATCTCTCTACAGACATGGACACAACACATATATTTCCGATTGCTATGTGAAAGAATGATCTGTTGAGCAGTATTTTTTAAATTTAAAAAAATGGTTTTGATGAAGCACGAAGTGAAAAGCCACCATCACTTTAATTCTCATTCTTTTAAATGGACAATAGAAAAACAACCACCAAGAATGAAATGATTCCTTTTGACAGAAATACTTTAGGAAACTGACCAGAACTGCAGGCAGTTTTCTTTTTGATATATATATGATATATATATATATATATTTCAGTAACTTTTGTTCATTCATAGAACACATTTGTATCATTGTCTTTATTTGAATCAAAATCTTGCCAGAACTTGAAATGCTTTCCCTGTGTTTTTTGAATATGCTTTTACAGGGAGGGAATGGTTTACCCCAGGTTTTACTTTTGTAAAGCACCCACTGTCTGTTTCTCAGACAACTAGCTTCGGTGCAAAATGTGGGTTGATTTCTTTTTTTCATTTTATAAATTAAGAGTTCCATCAGTTGGTCTGCAGCAGTGTTCGATTTTATTAGTGTCACTGGGGGATATTAATTGGGACATTATGGTAAATGGATGCTCCTCTTCCAACATTAAAGTGGACAATGTTCATCCAGTGTACGTAGCAGAGCCCCCCCACACACCACCACGTTAAGCAAAGATCGAATTGTCTGGAAAGCAAAACTATTTATTAATTTTATGGCCTTTGAAGAACCTATATTGAACCTACCACCGCATGCTATATAACTAAGGATTTTGTTAATTTTGAGAGACGAGATCTGTGTGGCACATGCCTTTATGATATGGCTGTGTGATGCATCCAGTCATTCCTATTGAAGTAACAATTTAGCTTTTGTAATTAATGGCAGTGTTACGCAAGATAATTAAATTCCATTTTGTGGTAATTCCATGTACAATCATCATCTGAAAAACTTTGGCCAACTGAATGCTTTAACAAACTGTGGCCATCTGGGACATTACCCCTCGATTACAGTTAACCATGCTTTTTGCTGGAAATTACATTTGCAACAAATATTTTTTGCTCACCTTGAACATAGGAAAAAAACCTCAGACAAATTTACAGTTTCAAGTTTCTTAATTTTTTTTTACTCGCTGTATTGGGTTCCTGCTTCTGTACCTTATTATTGACCCACCATACTTCTCTGCAGAATGTTTTGATGTTCTGAAACAATCTTTTGACTTACTGTCTACATTTATTTTTATTCAGAAATATCCATTTCAATTTCAGTTTTCAGACATTCCCATTTTAGGGGGAAATGGGAGACAGAAATTCTATAATTTCTGCAGAAATGGTCTAAAGTTATGCATTCGTTTTTAATGGCCAGTTTTAATCAGAACATTTCTTTGCAACGTATAATTTGCAATCATGGTGCCTAACTTATTGTTAAAACTTTTGTTTTTAATTAAATATTTTTTGAAGCATACTGTGTTGGTATTAACAACAGTTTCAAAAAAGACAATGCAAAAATTTTATATTGAGATTTGCTTTTTGTAGCATAAGATGTATGATACTATTAAAAAAAAGTCCTTGTAAATGAATGTGTATTATATTTTTATTGTTCTTATCATGTGAAGAAGTCGGAAGATCAGTAAACATGACACAAATTTCCATTTTTTTGAGAAAATTTAAGGGCTGAATTTTAATGTTGTTTACTGGCTGATACTATCAACCCCACTTTGACAGTATTTTGCTTCACTGATGGCATATGACATCTTTGGATAGGTAAATCTTTTTTTATGGAAAATATTTTTCAAAAAAAGATAGGATTTTGTCTATTATGTTGCCAGCATCTGTGCCTTTCTGTGAGAATATCACATAATGTGTGGTATTTCTGACATTTTTTTAACTCATGGCTATTTCAAGCTGATCAGAAGTTATCATTTGTTTTTTCTTTCTCTTGAAAGACTTTGGAAGGATTTTGCAACTGCACTGAGCCTCCTGTGGCTTAAGGTCAGGTTTGGCTTGTCTGCTTTGTGTTTGTTGAAGCATACCCACTGTACTTAATACAAATATTACTTCATGGTTCTGTATTGATAACAATAAACAGAGAAGACAACTAAATTGTGTCAGTACTTTGTTTACACCCTTGTGACTCTTATTAGCTGACTGTCTAATTACAACAGATTCCTGTTATGTGCTCAAGAGAGAATCAGAATTGCATTCAGTAATATTGACCATATCTTTACTACATCAGATTCTGTAAACATTAGCTCATAATAAGTTTGCATTTGCAGTTCACGGATTTAATTCTCGTACAACTAAATATGTAGCATTGCTTTTCTGAAATCTACCACTTCCAAAAAAATCTATTTGATACTGGACTATCCAATAAATTCAGAATTTGGATCCAAGGATTTTGTTTGCAGGCTAATTACACCTTGGTTAACAGCCCATGTGCAACATTGACAAATCAATGAAACGGATCACAAGTGATTCTGTAACCTTTTTAGAATTGCCTGCCTACGGTGACCACCTTCCCCCTGGGCTCGTAGTCATGCTCCACCACTGTCAAGCGCTCTGGGACGGTCCCAGCGTGAGGGGTGCTATGTAAGTTCATGTTGTTGTTTTCATTGGTTGTCTATTAGATAATTGATGAAGATTTGCAATCCCCTCATTTCACATGGATTTACATATGGTTAGCGCAACATTGGCAATTGAGCACAATGGACATCAGCAAACCAAAATGCTAGTCTCATTTAGTGGAGAAGGGAGTATCGATGGATTTTTAAAAGAAAGGATTATTATTATGATTTCTGAAACTGCAGTTTTATCAACACTTATTGCAAAGTATAAATAACCAGCAATTTTCTTAGCTACATAGAAACATTTCACCACTGCTGACCGTCAGTGGCAACATACATCAGCTTTAAAGTATAGAATTGCTGTATGACTGTAGGGAAAAGCAATGTAATGTTATGGGACAGTTGTTATGCACTGAAGAATATTTGGGGAGGTGGCTGATACTCCAGACAGAAGTAATTTCACAGTGATGAGAAATTCTGCTTTTAAATCTAGTTCAAGGACTGTCAGAGAAAGCTTCACATTTCTTTGGCATAATTTCAAAGCCTAAACTTGCTGGAAGTACATCTGAAGTCTCAATCAATTTATGCATGTCTAATACTCCCTCTCTTCTAATTGACAAGTTATCCCTCTGAGCGTGTCTCTCTCTGTTGGTTTAGAGGAAGGAAGTTGTAGGTTTGTCAGAAAATGAAGATAAATGAGGGAAAGATTTGCTTCGACTTAAAAGTTGATTGAAAAAGCTGGCAAGTTCTGTAACCCACACAAAAGAACTGTCATCACTGTAAAGCAAGTATGTTTTCACTCAAAAGGAAGATGGAAGATTACATCTTATTAATACTGAAAATAAATAAATTAAATTGTTATTTTTTTCAAAATGGCTGTTAACAATTGCTGCTTTCATTAGAGCAGGAGGTGAAATTAATGCAGAGCATTAATGTTTATGTTAATACTGTTCAGTTTGACGTATCACATATTCTAAATTCTACATAAAGTGCAAATCCTTTTGAATAAGAAGATTGGTTTGACCAGTTAATTTTCTCAGTAAGTTTTTTTAACAACAGATTACACTATTGAATTCACAAAATTTTAGTGTTTAAAGCTGTAAAGTTTCAAGGAATGCATTTGCTTTGCTAATATCAGTAATACTGACTTTCAAGTGCAGGAAAAATTATAGATTTTAAAAAATTATCTGCTCCATCCTTAAGGACCAGCTGTTGCGTTTTGCCAGTTCAGACTGTTGTAAGGAGACTGCAACCAAATTAAGCAGGAGATTACCCTAAAAAATAAATTAAATCTTCCAAGTTTGCATTGTCTGCATTGGAGCGGTGGGAAAGGAAGGAGTGAAGTTGGGTGAGACCAGAGTGAGACGCATGTTGGAGATGGGACAAAACAGTCTAGTGTTTTTTTAAGGAGGGTAATGATGGAGGGGGTGGGTGGGGTGAAGTGGGGGGAGGTGGGGAGTGAAAGGGAGGCAATGAATTTGGCTGGAGTGGTAGAGGGGTGAGAAGCGGCTGGGTGAATGAAGCTGTATAGGAATTGGAGCAGCTGCTGCATTTCATGCAGGACATGAGGGGGGGATGGGATCAAAGGTCTTAAGGGTGTAGAGGCAGGGGGAGGGTACAGATCTGCTAGCCTCCTCCGCTCTCTTAGATATCAGGGAGTCCATGACCTCTTGTTAACTTTAAACATCGGGGAGTCCATGAGCTCTTCATCTGAATGTCTTAATGTTATTATGGATAATGAATTTTTTAAGAGTTTCCTTCCATAAAACAATTGTAGCTGGATCAACCCAAACTATTACCAGTATATATGTCATGAACTAAACAATGATAGCCAAATTCAGTATGTGTACTGCTTTGAGCTCAAGCTGTCTAGAAACATGACTAAAACGATTAGACTTCGTCGTAGAATTTGACTAAGAATATGCCTACAAAATATAGAGTCACTACACTCTGCAGTTGAACATGTGTAGTACTTTGAGACATTCGATGATGTAATATGGCACTGTATCAAATGCAAGGATAATTTATTATATTTTAATAGATCTTAAAAGAAAAGAAAGCCAATTGGAAAATATCTTACAATGTGATAAGAATGATTTCATTTTCTGCGGATGAAAAATGTTCAGACTGAAAACAGTTATTTTCAAAACTAATTTTTCTGAATGTTCTTAAAATTACTCTGAACCAAATTCATGTGAAGAAATATGAACCAGTTTATATTAGAAACATTTAGATAATACATTTGTCAATGTTTGAATTGCATTGACTCTTTGGTTCTTAACAAAACCATGAATGATGGAGGAGCCCTCTGGAGGAGAAAATAGCTGTAAAGTCAAAGTTCACTTTTATTGTAAAGTTTAAATATTATCTCACTTGAAGAGAAAACGCATCCAAAATTGACTTCATTCTTTTAAACTGGAGATTTCTTTCCTTTACTCATTTGTTTGTTCTGTGTGTGGAAGATCTCAAAGGAAACGCAGTTGCTGCTCACAGATGACACAGGAACATGCAAAGAGAACCATACAGAGAACACTACAGATTCTTCAAGACAGCATCAGTGTGAGAGATTGCGGTAGAAATGCACCTACTTTAACAACAATGTCAAAAATAGCGCATTTATATAATACCCTTAATGCAGGATAGGGTTTCAGAGCACTGTACATTGTCAGGGTTGGATGTCAAGCAAGGGAAAAGGGGTTGGGAGGGTGACCATAGGCATGGTCAAAGAACTAAATATTCAGGTGGGGTTTAAAGATAAAGAGGGGGTGAGGCAGAGGGATTGAGGCAGGGAGTTCCAAAGATTAGGACGGTAATGGCAAAAGGTACATCCACAATGGCCTTTCCTTTCACTGCACAATGACTTGTAGGTTGAGGGATTTCTAAGGATGAACCTGTGCAGCAGAATTGAGGAGAACTAATGTTTCATTGTAGGGGATCATTGATCTGATGTTCTCAGATTGACAAATGTTCAAGATCATGATCTAGTTCAAGCTCATTACCGAGGCTGACACTGTAATGCAGTAATGAGGAAATGTTGTGCCATTGGGCACTAGTCTTTGAATGAGATGTTAAGCCAAGGTCTGGGGTATCAGTTCAGGTGGTCGTGAAAGATCCCATGGAAGAAGAGTGGGAGTTCTCACAATGTCCTAACCAATATTGATTCCTCATACAAGATTCAGCAAAAGCAAATTATTCATTCCAGTTTTTTTGTAGGTACATGGAGTTACGTGGAGTCCTGTAGCTCAGTGGTTAGAGCACTCGCCTTGTAAGCGAGAGACACCTGGGATCAATTCCAGTGAGGGCGAAACCTTGGGCAAGGTTCCTTATTCTACACCCCTATTAATAATCCCTCCAAAACCAAAACAATAATAAATTGGTCATTTTCAATCTACGACTGTTTGTGGGACACTGCTGTACGCAATTGGCTGCCGCGTTTCGCCCACAACTATACGTCAATTCACTTTACAGTCTATTCTGTGAAGCGCTTTGAGACGTCGAAAAGACGTGAAAAGCGCCATATCAAATGCCAGGATTATTATTATTGTAATTGCTGGCCAGATTTGCTAACATTTTTGCCGACGTAACGGTCACCGCATTACAAAGTTACTCATTGTCCCAAGTACTTTAAGATCTTTTGGCATGATAATGTACTGCAGTATTATTAAATTAAGTGTTTCTATTCAACAAAATGTTTTGAAACATTGCGACATAACTGCAATCAAAATAGTTATTTTGTAAAAAGTTTTTTTTGGAATAAATCTGAGGTCTACCAGTGATACAATGTACGAGGGACTTGTGTAGAGAGGTCTCAAAGAGAGTCAGTCACTTGCTGTGTTAGATGGAATGCTGGAAGACTATTCCTCTGTGTTGTTTTTTTTACACACACACTTTTCAATACTTTCCTTGTTTGTTGCTGTGTTGCTGACACCGAGCTCGGTTTGTTTGGTGGGATGCAACGAGTGCTTTGTCGTGTTTTTTTTAATTATTATTATTATCAGCTTTGAATGCGATCAAACATCTTGGAGCATGAAGCCTCCAGAGGGAGCTGGTAACAAAGGGCCAAGTCAACCTCCTTCGTGAAATCTCCCCAATTCCCAGGGCAGCTGCTGTTGGTTGTAAAACACCAAATCGATTTCATCTCTCAAGATCGAAACATCTTACACACACACACACACACACAGGAGCCCAGGGGCAACGTGGGGAGGAGAAAAAAACACTGTGTGTGTGTGTTTTTAATATCAAATTGATTCCTGCACCCAATTCCTGGTTTGTCTGATCGTCCACTTGTTTTTTTTGTGTGATAGCAAACCCATCAGTTGATTTTCAACGAACGGATTTTCGCCAATCTTAAAACAGGCTGAAGATTGTCATTAACAAGTCAGTAAGATTCTTGTTTTTTTTTTAAAATAACGATTCCGAATAGAACTGCACTTGTCGTTTGATTTCATTCATTTTGCTTATTTTTTTTTGCAACTTTAATTTAGATGAACTATTACCAATGGTTAATTGGGATGTGCTGTTTTGCTGGATAAATATAGATGTAGATATACATAGATACATAAAAGGATATTACATTTACAGGATGTGTTTGGGAAATTGTTTGAAGGGGGGAAACTAGTTGTGATAAAATGATGGGGGGAATTTTAAAGTAAAACATAAAAGCTGTTTCCATTTATTGGTGAGTACTTAACAAGGGGGCAGAAATATTAGATAGCCCCCAACATATCTAAGAGAGTTTAACTTTGCAAGGAGGATGGTAAAAATGTGGAACTTGCTGCCAGAAGCAGAAAGCATCAAATCATTAAAGAGGAAACTATACATAGAGAAGGGAAGAGAGGGGGAGCTGGGGTGGGACCTCATGGAGGCTGATCGAGTTGGCCCAAAAGTCCTGTTCTGGGCTTGTGTGCTATTGTCCAAACAGGTCACTCCACTTTACAATTTACAGTATATTTATATTATATGCATCACTATACTGTGTTGCAAAAATAGATTCAGCACCTAAATAACTTTATTGCACGTTACCTCAATGAGAAATAATTTTGCTTCTTTAGTAATTCAAGATTTGCAGAATTGATGTGTTTGCTTCTCGAGCTTGGTTTCTGCTTTGCTTCTATTGGTGTTAAAGTAACAACATCGCTTTTGAAAGAAAAGTTTCAACCATCTGCCAGATTCATGATAAAACACCTCAAATACAACAACAACAACTTGGAATTATATAGCGCCCTCCACGCCGGATGGTGTCTCAAAGCGCTTTACAGTTTAGGATCCCGGGACCGAGCCAGGGGGAGGGGTGGGAAGGTGACCAAAGGAGTGGTCGAAAAGAAAGATCTTCAGCAGAGCTGAAAATGGGAAGGGAGGGAATGAGACGAAGGGAGTAAGGAAGGCAGTTCCAGAGCCTCGGGACATAGTGGCTGAAGGCACAGCCACCGAGGGTGGAGCGGAGGACTCGGGGGACAAGGTGGAGGCCAGACCTGGAGGAACAAAGGCAACAGGTACTGTGCTGAGGAGAGAGGAGGTCAGAGAGGTAGGGGGGTGCAGAGGAGTGCAGGGACTTGAATACAAGGGTGAGGATCTTGAAATCGATCCTCTCTGGGATAGGCAGCCAGTGCAGTCTGGCAAGGACTGGGGTGATCGGGGAGCGGAGTTTCGTACGGGTGAGAATGCGGGCGGCAGAGTTCTGAATGAGTTGGCTTTTATGGATGGGAGACCGGCGAGGAGGGTGTTTGAATAGTCCAGCCAAGAGGTGACAAAGGCATGGACCAGAGTTTCAGTGGCATTTGGGGAGAGGTATTAGCGGATGCGTCGGAGGTGGAAGAAAGCAGTGTTGGTGAGGGACAGGGTGTGGGGGAGGAAGGATAATTGGGGGTTGAACCTGACGCCTAGGTTGCGTATGAGTTTGGAGAGTTTTAAGGGGAGGTCGGGTAGGTAGAGGAGGTGGGAACTGTGAGATTTTAGACGTTGATGAGAGCCGGAAAGTATGGCTTCCGTCTTGTCAACGTTCAGCTGGAGGACGTTTGTGCTCATCCAGCCCCTGAGATCTGACAGGCAGACTGACAGAACATCAGGGGACTGGGGATCGCAACGATAGGTGGAAAAGTAGAGTTGGGTGTCATCTGCATACATGTGGAAATGTACCCCATGTCTAAGGATGACATCCCCAAGAGGGAGCATGTAGATCAGAAAGAGGAGGGGGCCAAAGATGGATCCTTGGGGTACCCCGCAGGTGACCGGGTGAAATCAGGAGGAGAAGCCTTTTATGTAGATGTACTGCTGGTGGTTTGTGAGGTTGGACTCAAACCAGGCGAGTGCGGTCCCACTGAGGTGGATGACGGAGGAAAGGCAGTGGAGGAGGATGGCGTGATCGACTGTGTCGAATGCGGCGGAGAGGTCCAGGAGGATTTTCTGCAGGATTTCTTGATGGCTTCAACAAAGAAAAAAGTAATTACTTCGGAACAGTATTGGAGCTTCTAGGAATAAGGGAGATAGATGAACATATATTCCGTGGATATAAAGTGGCGTCTGAATATTGAAGAGGTGTGCATATCAGTTATTGTATTGGCCAGATGGGCCAAAATGACCTCTCGTGGGATTGTATCATGTTTTCTCTTCCAAATTAAATACATTTTGATTTGATTTTTGGTGGTTTCTGATTCCATGAAATGCATCAATGGTTTGTTTACTGGCCTGATGCTTTCTTAATGCAGGAGTTTTATGCTTTCTTTTACATAACTGCTCATTGTTCTCAGGCCTCCGCCACTTTAAACGTAGCAGAGGTGGAAGTGGCTGCATTGTCCTCTGATTTTTCTCACCCGGAGCTGCGCCCGATCTCTCCTATTGCGGCACGTCCCAGATCATGAACTCGCTGCTTGAAGGTATATCTTATTCCATTGCACTGTACACTGAGGAAGTTTTTAGTGCAAAATTATTCTTTTAAAAAAAATTCACATGTAGTTTCGAAAAATAATAGTTGGAGGTAGTTACAGAGTGGAATTCCTGCTGTTTCAAGGGCTTCACAAATTGTCAGTGTTTTGAGTAATATACATATTATTTCCCTCAACAGCGGTGCAACCATTGAGTGTGTGCTGAGAGGTGCTCTGGGATGATTCATCAGTGCACCATGGGAACCGGGTCTGTTAGAGCACCAAGACCTCAGGAGACCACCATCACCTCCAGTGCGAAGGATCCCTCTTTAGAAATCTTGGAGAAACTGAAGAGAAAAATTCAAGATCTAGAGCAGGCGGTGAAAAACAAAGATGGCCAATTGAAGCAAAAAGAGGGGAAAATAAAGATGCTAGAGAAAGAACTAAAAGCAAAATGTTCGCAAATCGATAAACTGCAAGATGCTATTGGTTACAACGGTGCTCCTCTGTCTCCAACTGTAAGTCAACGAAAGAAGCTGATTAGTGTTATAAATGAAGAGCCAAAGCGATTTGAAAAGGTGACAACTGAGATCCACCGACGTTTAAAGGCAAAGGAAGGTGTGTCCGCAGAACCAACATCAAGGAACTACTATTGTCACAATGTTCAAAAATTCTCCATCGAAAAGGCCCGAGTACAGAAAAGCTCCAGGTAAGAAGACAAAGCTTGCTTGTGGGGGAGTGAATCGTAACTGAAACCTTTAGTTTGCATTTTTGTACACTCATGCATATCTGGTTACAGTTGCATAACAGGATTTATTGCACACTTTGAAATCTCTACTCCAAACCCCACAAATATCTCAGTAAAAATCTAGCACAGAACCCGTGGATGCAGACTTGATTCCTCACAGGAAAGGTGGTAGTTTCAAATTTACTATCTATCTCATAAGCCTTGCAAAAGAATATCAATATACAATTGCATAGTAGAGAGTTCTGCATCTTTTTACAGCCTTTAGGAACATAGGAAGAGAAGAAGGTCTTCAGCCCACTAATCCTGTTCCACTGGTTCATGAGAACTGGGCAGTTCTTTTAAACCCATTTCCCTACTTTGTTCCCATATTCATTTAATAGCCTTACATACCAATGCTTCTTTTAAACATCCAAATAGTTTCTGCCTCTATGGCATTCTGGGACAGCACATTCTATATTTTCAGAATACGATTTGTGAATGAAATATTTTCTAATCTCACTTCCAACTATCCTAGTTTTAGTTTTAAGATAATCAATAATCAGGTTTTATTTTATTTAAAATGTAAGGTTGACCTCGCCTCAAGTGACAGTAGTTTAATTGAGACATTGCTGAATTGTCAGTTGGCAGGACCCCTAGTTAACCAGTTGAACTGACTCATAAAAACAAAATAAACTGCTCTATTGTTTTCCACAGCTATTTACTGCAATGTGGTGAGTGGCTAAGCTCAGCACTATTTGCAGACAAACACAGGGACAAACTCACAGTGGTCAATGAAAGAAATCTTTATTCGCAAAACCTCAGTACATCAGCAAAAGGGTGAATCAACAATAACGTCCAACTATTGTCCACCAATTGTTCCTTTGCTTTTCTTTTATCTGCTGTTTGGATTCAGGCCGCAGCACTCCGAATCTCTGTGGGTGTCTGTCTCGAGTGAAGTGACCACTCAACAACAACAGCAAAATGACATTTTAGAGCGCCTTTCACGTCGGGAGGACATCCCAAGACTCACTCTCAGCAGTGTAGCAAACAGGAGCAGCAAGCTTGATTTGCACTTCTTCTTTCCCATAACTTTGAATTGGAGCTGATTTTTTTTAAAAAAAGCTTGTTTGGGGGATTCTGAACATGTGCCCATTGGTGAAATGGGGTGCTTGCTGTTAAAGTTATTAAGAAAGTCATACAATTAGCTCTTTAATAACATTAAATTGTAGTATTTTGTCTACAAAATACAGTCACTATACTTTAAAGATTGTTGATGAAGTTCTTTTGAGACGTTCTTAAAGTTATGGCAGCTATATCAATGCAGGGATTTATTATTAATATTTATTTGTATTCTTATTGAATAAATGTAAATTTCATAATCCCTGATGTTACCTCTTACAGGAGGCTTCAGGAGTGAGGCTGCAGTCAGACTTAAATCATTTAAGCCTCACTTTATGCTATTTTGTTAGCAATTAATTGTCATGATGATCTGCCAAAAATGAAGAATAAATGCAGTCGAATTTTCCACTATTTATCCTCCCGTCTCTCTCTCATGGCTCTCGTAGTTCCCGCTTGTGCAACCTCATTCCAGCCATTTATCCCCTGTACCCTTTCTTGGCACACAGCTGCAAAACTCTGAAACACAAATCCCTTAATCCACAGTTAGTCTCGATTTTCACAGGCAGTCCTTTTAAACTGATCCACTTGACTTTAATTCCAGTCTCTTTTACTCCTGCTGGAACAGGTTAATTTCCCTTCCTGTGGCTCCCTTGGCGTTAAGCATTTCTGACACCTTCAGTCCTGATTCTGGCTCTGAAGAGAATTTCTTTAACTGTCATTCAGCAGTTGCGGTTGTTCGTTCTGTCTTTCAATGGCCAAAAGAAACTGTAATCTATCGCGCCATTTTTAGGATTACTATTGATAAGATGCTGAAATACACATTCCATTACAATTGCTGCTGTCTTTATAGTTGACTTCATTACAAATATCGCAGGGTACTTTTGTTCTGTAGGTCTTCGTTCATTTTTTGCATGTCTCAACTTTGCGTAAAGAAATACATTCCTGAGGGTATTGCACGTTTAATATCAATACAAAATTAAACATGGTCAGGAAAGCTGTAAAGGTGGCTTCTGCATCCCAACCCCAGCTATCAAGATAATGTTTAATTCACAGAAGCAATATTTTAGCATTTCTTTGTTTTTCAAGGACTAGCCCTGGGACGTCTTTCTGATGTGAAGGGCGCTATGCAAGTGCAATTTGTTGAAGCCACCAGTTTGTACGTTTTAATTTCTGCACTGTATTCACACATGTGTTTAAGGGACTGTCATACTGCTAATATAATCTTCTGGTTGTCGAAAAGTCTGTGTGAGTGCCTCACAGGATGTACCGTACAAAGAATTACACCAAAGCAAAGCAGTAAACCATTAATACACATGGAAAAGGAATGGATTTCAAGAACCATTTGGCTCTTGGAAAGCACCCGACAGTAGAATCTGCAGTGAGCATGTATTGACAGTGTAGATAATGTCAACTACGGAAACTTTTATGGGGCAACTACGGTAGATAAAGGTAGATAAAGCTGACCAATTAGTCAAAGGCATACACAGTTCTAAACGGTGTATCTGCAGTTCACTGGAAGCATTGGTGTTAGAGTTGATCGCTGCCAATTTCCTCATTTGCTGCCAATCAGTAAATATCCAGCAGGTGGTTGTTATGTACACGACTACTGGCTGCGGCATGGAGTCAGGAAACTTGACCAGTTTGCTTCCGCTGTGTAAAAACTGTCAGCAATCTGACAAAGCACCAGCAGGTGTAATAAAGATGTTAAAGTTTGCATAGGCTTTAAACTATTTGAAAGGTCCTGCACCAACTGGCATTTTTGGCTTGCAGGCTAGAAAAAATTCCTGCTTTCAAAATGTCAGCATGTGTTGGGAGGGCAGCAGCTAGGCAGCACTGTGTCAGTGAGTAGATTTTTTTTAACAATGGAGTCGTCTCAGCAAAAGGTTTGTGAAGATCTTGCGCAAATTGGTCTGTAGTAATGAACGGGATTACTTCCTTTGGGAGAATAAGTGGACCATTCAGAAAAGTTGTCAAAGCAAATTAATTGGCAGTCCGTAATTAATATGTGGGGCTATTCTAAATAATCAATGATTCAACTAGACTTCATCAACTGTGGGAACTTCTGATGAAATACATTTCTTTCACACATTTACGCTAAATGATGAATTTGCTAGTTACCTTTTTGCCTTACAGTCTGCGTATTGTGACATTGACAAGCAGGATCTTTCTTCCATTTCCTGTTGATGTCCCCTCACAGTTTTCCACAATAATAGTCATTAAAATTTCTCTTACTAAGCATAATCAGTGCAAAAAAATCATGGCAATTATTGTTAGTAGTTGAGGACCATGGGTGTAAAACATTAATCCAAGACTGTTACAATCATAAAGCTGGAGGTTGACATTTATTTTATTTCCGAGGTCATATGAGCCCTGGGGTATTGCTGCATATTTGGAGTTGAACTAAGGTTCTGTCTGCCTATTCAGGTTGACATTAAAGATCTCATGCACTTTTCAAAAAGTGAAGGGAGTTTATCCCATTGTCTTAGTCAACAATTCCCCAGATAAAATTGATCACTCACTTCATGGTTGTTTGTGGGATATTGGTGTGCGCAAATTGTCTACCACATTTGCCTACCAATACACAATCAATGGACACTAGGTATTTTACAGTATATCCTATAAAACCCTTTGAGATGTCTCAGTCATGTAATAAGATTATTGTTAATATATCACCACAGGGAGCCAGAAAGATCAAAGGAGCTAGTCTTAAGCCTGTTGTATTATTGAAAAGCCTTAAGCGTTGAGGTGACTTAAAAACTGGAGAAAGAAAATGATATATTAAAAGGAAAACATTTTGTGAAACTGTATGTATTAGAAAGGTCAACAGTACAAAATCTATATTTATGTATTGTAGATTGGTAATGCTTGTGTCATTATTTATATTGACAAGAGTGACAATTGTGGTTATTGAACTATTGTTTGTAATCCAAATAATGGTTCTGTATGATACATCTGGCAGCTCCAAGAAATTGATAACTGATGCAGTAATGAATAATGATTTCTTGAAAAAACTGGAGTTCCAACACGTGCGGGAAATTGTGGAATGCACTTATGAACAGATCTACCAGCAGGATGAGCTGGTCATACAGGAGGGAGAGGCAGGAAACCATCTTTATGTTCTAGCAGGTAAGAAAAGCTATATTAGCTGTGCATTAGCGATTCCAAGACATTGATATCTGATCAGATCAGTCATTATGACCATAGTTCAATAAACATCACAATATTCTGTAATATATTTATATAGCCCACGAAATGCCCACAAAACGCAAGTAATAATAATAATCCTTGCATTTGATATAATGCTTTTCACGTCTTCTAGACGTCTCAAAGCGCTTCACAGAATATGCTGTATAGTGAATTGACTACATTTGTGGACAAAATGCGGCAGCCAATTGCGCTCAGCAGTGTCCCACAAACACTTGTGGATTGAAAATGACCAATTTATTATTGTTTTTGTTTTGGAGGGATTATTATTAGGCATGTGGAGTAAGGAAACTTGCCCAAGGTTTCGCCTTGCCTGGAATTGAACCCAGGTGTCTCTCTTGCACGGCGAGTGCTCTAACCACTGAGTACGGGACTCCACACAGTGACACTCTACAGTACAGCCTATGAAGCTCTTTGAGACACCCTCCCCATGTGTAAGGTACTATACCAAATGTAAGGATTATTTTATTATAGCATATCTACAAAAAAAATGTTCTCCTGTTCATACTTGTGGATATGTGTTGATTGCCACAGCCAAAAGGAGCCCACAAAAAAAGCTCAAGGTGGACGAGTCCTTCAGTTCAGTGTAGGCAACAGACATGAAGAAACCGATTATCAATGCAGGAGGTGATATGGGTGTTCACAGAGGACAAACCTGCATGTTGAGGCATATCTGTTGGGATGCATTTTGAGGATATGTATTAATTTCTTCATTGACTGAAATCAGAAAATCCATTTTCCAGTGTCATGGTTTAATTAGTGCTTCTTCCACATTATTAATTCAGACTTTCTGCTGAACATTCCTGAAAATAACACACTGTGAGCAGCTGGTAAATTGTGGAAGCAGCTACCTGCAAAGCAAGGCTGTGCCTCGTCACAGACAACACACAGTGTAGTGCATTGGGCGGAGGACAATGGTTTCAATTCTGAATCAAAATGCAGCTGAAATATACATTAGATCCAGGATTGAATTTCTTTCTTAAATGATTTAAAGTCTCAAACAAGAGTCTTGCATACTCTCTTGCTTGCTTTGATTTAGACAGCTTACAAAAAAGAAATAATAATTTGGTCACTCGAACTACGACTGTTTGCGGGACACTGCTGTGCGCAATTGGCTGCCGTGTTTCGCCCACAGATATACAGCCAATTCACTTTACAGTATATTCTATGAAGTGCTTTGAAAATGTCTCGAAGACACGATAAGGCCCAATATTGAATGCAAGGACCCTATTTTGATCATTGTACAGCTGCATTGGAGGTGGTTCAGATCATTAAAAGTGAGTGAGAAAGACTTCCTGTTATCACTGTCCTTGGCTCATTAGACCAAGGCCCTTTTTGTCTTAATGAATGAGAACCTTTCAGATGGCTAATCAGATAACTATATGTATTGTGGGAAGTGACAGTTTAGAATCCTTTTATAGCTTTATTCAGTGATTGATAATAAATGGTCATTCTGGAGACTTAGAAGTCCGGTTATAAAGCTGAAGCTTGTTTATATGTTGCTAAAATATTTGAATTATCCTTTTAAAGAAGGGCTATTGGAAGTTCTGCAGAATGGCAAACTGCTGGGACAGATGTATCCTGGAACAGCATTCGGTGAGCTTGCTATCCTCTACAACTGCAAAAGAACTGCTACAGTCAAAGGTATTTATTCTGGATCGTATTCCTTTTTTGTAAATAAGTTTTTAAACGGTCCTCTCTCCCACCCTCTCATTCTCCCCTGGATCTTGCTACAGTCCCTAGTCATTCTCTTTATATCTCCCATTATCACTGAGATAGAGAATCTTCCAGACTGATGGAGGAAAGTGTAATAGTGAAAGTCTCTCTTGTGTGTCTAAAAGTTATATTTGTCTTTTATTGACACTTGATGTTTTTATTAGATTTTCGTACTGAAGTTTGAAGAATTTATGACAGGACTAAAATAATAATATGAATTTTGAAATTTTGAATTTTTTGAATAATAATAATTATTATTATTAAAATGCTACCTTAGTGCTCAGGTTTAGCTTCTAAAACATCATTACTAAATAGTGCAATATTTGGGTTGTTTTTTTAAGCTGTGGTTAAGTCTTGGATCTGGGTGCTGGATCGGCAAGTTTTCCAGAACATAATGATGAAGTCAGCACAAGCCAGACAAAAAGAATATTTCAACTTCTTGCGCAGGTAGGAACTGCTCAGAACATACTGTTGATCCATGGTAGCAAGTACGATTTTTAAGTTCCCAAGCAATGAATTTGATCAGAACTAAATAATCCAGACCTTGATTGGTGGAGGATAGATTATCAACATGTATTCCCTTGTGTGTAAAGGCCTCTCCAATAATGCAAACCACACTGGGTTGAAAATGCGGTTTCATAAAATATTGAATCCTGCCTATAAATCCACTTAAGTCTTAAAATTTGATTTATTTGAAAATTCATAAATTCAACATTAATTTGGAAGCCAATAATTCTGTAGATTGTACCATGTATCCCTACTCTAAAACAATATATGATGACTGTTCCTTTAAGAATTTAAATAAGGCCATAATAAGGACTTTATAAACCAGGCTTTGTATTTGAAACTCGGGAACTGAAGAATGCAAAGCAGCCAGAGGAAATGTTAGCTTTCATAAATCAATCCAGCAGTCTGGCCACATCTCAGAAATATATATTTAGATTTTTGTTATACACATACACTCGTAGCCTCATTCATATTTTGCTCTAAAAAAAACCCTAAACAACAAATGCTGGTTTTACGTGTCATCTTTGTGTAACAGCTGGGAAAATGCTGTATATACAGTTTAGAGTTTAGAGCATATTGCTAGTATATTGTTGCACATGGTTAATCCTGGAATGTTTCTGATATGGCTGAGTGGCTTTTGTTTTGTATGGTTTCCAGTGTTTCTCTGCTGAAGGATTTCCCTGAGGAAAAATTGGCGAAGATTGTAGATTGCTTGGAAGTTGTGAGTACACTTTTTAACAGAGTAATCTGCCAGGCACAGAATGAATTTTAATCAAACAGTTTTATGTGTAGTTGTATTTACGTGTTCATTGGGCAGTTATATTTCATGTGGTTTTATATATCCCTTTTCCTCCTATTCCATTCCTATCCATGAATTTTAATCAAACAGGTTTATGTGTAGTTGTATTCACATGTTAATTGGGCAATTATATTTCATGTGGTTTTATATATCCTTTTTCCTCCTATTCAGAAAATTGTGCTAACATTGAGTCAAATAGTTTTCAGATGCAACTTGCTTTAGCGATTGATAACCAGCTTCTATTGATTCTCTGCATTGTGTATTGTGTACCCGCTGCCTTCGCTCAACTGACTCCAGCCTCCTGCATGTTCCTCGTGCCCTCCGTTCCACCATCAGTGGCCACAATTTCAGCCACGACACCCTGAAATTCTAGAGCACTTTTCCTAAATCCGTCTGCCGTGCCCCCACCTTCCTTCAGATCGCGCCTGAAGACCTTCCTCTTCAACCGTGCCTACCGTCACGTCCCCCCAGCTCAGCATTGTGCTCCACCACTGTCAAGTACTCTGGAACACTTCCCTACATGAGGGGCACTATATAAATGCAGGTTGTTGTCGTTGCTGTTTTAAAAGTGACCGTTTCTATATCTCACCCCCTTATGCAATCTCTTCATATCTGTTAGGATTATTATGATGAAGGAGAATATATAATCCGCCAAGGAGAGGAGGGAAATACCTTCTTCATTATTGCAAAAGGAAAGGTAGGAAAAACACTTACTTTCATTTATTAAAATATTTATTATCACGTTTTCTGAAATGGAGGAAAAATTATAATGTAGCAAAATATGGAATTAATCTAAACAAAAACATCTGTGAGTCTGCTAATGTGTTTTTATGATTTATTTGAGTGGGTGAGGAGTAATCTTTTCTAACGTGGTTAATGTTATCCTGAAGTTATCCTGTTTGTAAAGAGAGACATCCCAGTTAAATGAGAAATGAGATGTCACAGTGTACTCTCCACTGATATTCATTCAATGGTCATTAATATGTATTCTTGTATTAATAAAATTCTCCGGATAAAAATCAAATGGCACAAAACAACCAAGCATTCTGAGCCTTTGTTAATGTGTAAGATTATTGGTGATCAAAAAAAGTACTGATGTACAGCAGTATTTTGCAACAATCTTCAAGGCATAGTGAAGGCATCCTGGAAACGTTGTCTCACGTGAGCTGTGCTTTCCACTCCATGTGCTGCATGAAAACTAAATTGGTTATGTGTCATGCTAATTGAAAACTTGCTCAACAACGGAGATAAATCATCCATTGTTGCAATCAGTACGTGAAATATTTCAAATGTATTATTGCAATATGATTCCTGAAAGAAAGAACATTCTGCTTATTAACTCACTGAAATAAAATAGGTGACAACAAGGGTGTTATGTTGCTCACCCAGTCTATCAATCTGTGCAGGTGCGAGTGACACAGATGACAGAGGGAATTGAAGACCCACAGGAGATTAAGACATTGGGAGTAGGAGATTACTTTGGAGAGAAAGCCCTAATAAGGTGCACCAAGTGTACAGCATGGATAATAACTTCATTATGTTTATTTTGACTGAAATGCATGTTCAAACGTAGCAGGATTAAAGCAAACGCTAAGGATTGACTACTTTGATTGGGGTTTTTCAATATGATAAAACAATAGGATGTTACACAGATTTATGAGATATATTTGTGGCCCACAAGCATGGTTGGATGCAATGGTTTCTGGATTTAGAGGTATTCTAAGACTCAGTGATGGTGAAACTGGATGGAGGAATGTTCCATTCCTCACCTCTGGTGTCCCTGACCTAAAAATCTTAAACCTCCCACCCCCTCCCAAAAAAAAAAGATTATGCTAATTTGCTAATAATTTACCAAATTTGCTAATCATTTAGCAAATTGGGATTTAGAATAATAATGGTTGCAGATTTATATCAGTCCAGGTTGCATGAACCTATACAATGGATGTGATACAAGGAATTATTTGTAGCTGGAGTTTTTTTTTAAGTCCGCTGACTTGAAGATATGGGGATATTTAATAGAGGAGGTCAGTGATTTTAGTTTGGAAAATAGCCACATCAGTGAAGTTCCAATTGTTCAATTGTACCTATCTTGTTTCCTTTTAATTTTCTCCATCCTGGAGCACAGTGAGGATGTCCGTTCTGCAAACATAATCGCTGATGAAAACGACATCCATTGCCTTGTAATAGACCGTGAGTAAGTCTGCCATGTAGTTTGCTTGCCTCTAACAACATACAGAGACATCTCAAAATTCCTGCATATTTTTGGCATTTAATATTTATATAACCACCTTTCCCACTAGCTTTTTAGATAGTTAATACTGACTATCATGCCAGAGTATAATTTTATTGATAGATTGGAGTGACTGGAAATCAACAAGGCGTGAGGGAAGTCTAATATTCAGAAAATATTCTTTACATATAGTGATTTAGTGTTAAGATGAATTCATTAAAAGAAGCATTTCTTAATTTACTGTTTTCTTCATATCATATTCTGAAGATAACACTAATAATAAAAAGATTAACAATCTAGGCAATTGGTATAGAGCCTTCCATGTCAGGAGGACGTCTCAAAGTGCTTCACAACATTTACTGTAGTAAACTGTGTATTTTGTAGGCAAATAAATTAAATCTTTTTAATTTGTGCACTACTATTGTTTCAGGATTCAACGTTTATTGCAAATTGATTCTATTGTCAGTTCCTCACAGAATTAATGTGACCTAATAATGAAATATGTCTATATTTGATGAATCCAGTGTCTCACTGTACTTTTAACATTTACGTTCAGTACCTTTAACCAGATGATTGGCACCTATGAGGAGTTGCAAACATCCCTGAAGAAGTATGTGGAGCAGCTATCCCGCAGCGATGAGAAGAGAAATGCAATGTTAGTATTCATATTAAAACTTAAATCGTGCCTAATTGTACAGCTCCATAAACCAGGTTCTGGGTCTGGTGCCTGAGCTGGATGGGTCAGTATAGATGTTAAGTGTGTGCATTGCAAAACAATGTTTGATCCCTGCCCCAGAGGTTGTTTGCAGTTGCTGGTACAATGTCTAAATGTAATCATTTTGATTCCCTAAGGCCACTCATGCTGACAGCCCAGTTTTCCCCGGAGGAGAGTGAGATTGTACGCCTGAGGGAGAAAGTCATCAGGTTTTCAAACACTTGCCCTTTCAAAAATTTAGACATCGTTGCCACCCTAGGCATGGGAGGTTTTGGACGTGTGGAGCTGGTAAGTGGGAAGAAAAGTGATGGTTGGGAGATTGGTTTCAGCACACGTTCCACTTAATGAAAGGATTTTGATCTGTAAAGAAGTTAACAATCATGGTTAACAACTATGGAAAGATGAAACCTAATCGTGAGGAATCTCGCTTTAGTAAAGCATGTGTGTGGCACACAGATGATGTATATGTGTATATGTTATGCACAAACGATCTTCATTTTCTGTGTGATATGTGTACAAATATGCATGGTGTCAGATTGCCATACAAATCTAAGAAATATTGGGAAATATTAAAGATCCTGCAGGCATTTGCAGTTTAGAAAATAGCTCAAAAGCAATTCAAGCCTTAGATTAACTGTTTGTACTGAAATTAGGCAATGTGATGGTTTTCCATATAATAGGATCCTGATCTCAACCATGTCCTTGTGTAGTGGCAATAAACAGAAGCCAGTTACCTCCCCAAATACAGTAGAGAAAACAGAATCAGCATTGTGCCAGGAGCTTTCCTTTTCTAGTGTTCATATTTATTGCGGGGTTTAAGCAGCTTTAAAACAAAGACTGTCATCACACACTTAATTTGGGTCTCTTACAGCAGTGAGATGTATTAAAACCTGCTTTTGTACCTCAGGTGAAACTGAAGGATGAAGATACCACTTTTGCCTTGAAGTGTATCAAGAAAAAGCACATTGTGGAAACCCGGCAACAGGAACACATCTATTCTGAGAAGAACCTCCTGGCACAGACTAAATCTCAATTCATTGTTAGGTACTTGAAGATTTATTCTCTCAACAGAGGATGCATCAATAGATGGTTCTTACATATGTTCAGGAATCATCCTTCAATTATTAAATGTTCCTATGTTACCCACATTTCCTGACTTAATAAATTTGACTAAGCCACAGTTGCCACTTGAATTCATATACACTGACTGTTTAGTAACTTATCAATAAATGATTTTCCTAGGAAATAGTGGTAAACTTACTATTCTGTAGTTTCTAAGTACATTTGGTCTCTTTAAGTAATGAAATATACTTTTGAATGATCAGGAATTTCTCTTAAATTTAATGTATTAAAGAGTAGAGGCATGCAATTTCCCATGATCCTACACCACCTTAAGTTTTAAGACCAAATAGTCTTCCGGCTTGAATTTTTATATCATCAAAATGTCTCAAATATTTCACAGGTAATCACTGCCAAATATAGTGACGTTTTTTGGCAAACGTGGCGGCTATTTGACCAGCTAAGCCCTGACAGGCAGTCATGATGTCAGTGACCAATTCATTTAGAGAATTGTTGGCCAGGACACCCAAAGAAACTCCCTTCTCTTTTTAAAATAAGTGTCATTGTATTTTACATTTCTGGGGTATTTGTTTCATAGGAAAGACAAAACTACAAGCACAAGGCACTTGGCAAGAAAGCTGTTGTCATCAGTGCTGAGTTAACTTTCTTTTTCAGTTGGGAGTACATCATACCTTTTAAGCTAATAATAAAAAAAGCAAGCTGCCTTTCTCAGAGGTTCTTCCACCTTATGCTGTTCCAACGTCTTACCATCAAAATATTTCTCTTTTCTGATCAGGTACTTATATGGTCAAATCACCAATGAGACAATCATACTGGAGAAACAATATGTGCACATGTCTAGATATTGTTGTCTTATGTGGGCACCATGTAAGTGCCAGGTGTGTTTATTTCAAATATGGAGTGTGTCATTTTCAGATGTTGTATAACATTTATGAATTGTGTGACCAGCTGACAAAGGCAAAAATGTTCCTGAGGGTTTTCAATAATAGGCTGTATAAATAGAGGGTTCATAGAACCATCTGTTCCAACTGCTTCTATAATGCAGTACATGACACACATTGCAAAATATTTTAGTTTCATCTATTTGCAAGTGATAATGCTGCAAAGCAAATCACAATTCTCATGGTCAAGAAAATGTAATAATACTTTATATTTTATTTGGGGGGGTTTTGTACTATTTATTGTATAAATGGGCTTGTTTTTTATTTTAAGCGGTTTTAATCAGACCATCTGATCCAGTTTATTTGACATTATGTGGCGTAAAACCTCTTTGAAAATATTTTTCGTCTGCTTTCTTTATAGAATGTGATGTTGGGTAGTTTTACATCGGAATCAAAATTATGAGAATCCTTTCTGGAGACAAGATTAATGGCAGCGTACAATACCAACAACACATTGCATTTAAATAGCTCCTTTCACATCAAGATAACATCCCTTCACTTCAGTGGATTCAATAAAAAATAAAAAGTGGGAAAAACACACACTACATACACAGATGATTTATCTTAGACTCATACAGCACAGAAGGAGGCCCTTTCGTCCTTTCATGTCTGTGCCAGCTCTTTGAAAAGAGCAATCCAATTCAATCCCACTGCCCCCACTCTCTCCCCATAGCCCTACAGACTTGTCCTCCCCAAATAATTATCTACTCTCTTAAAAGTTGTTATCGAATCGGCTTCCACCATCCTTTCAGGCATCTTCTTTCAGAGCTCAGCAAAACTACAGTAGGAAAAAAATACCTGGCTCTAAACTTGTTTCTGTGCTTTTCGGCAGATTATACAGAACTTTTCGAGATCTCAAATATGTGTACATGTTGATGGAGGTGTGTCTGGGTGGGGAGCTCTGGAGTGTACTTCGTGACATGTGAGTGTATGTCATTTCTAATGATTGTACCCTTATATTCCAAACACACCATTTTAGTCCCTTTATATTGAAATACAAATATTAAGAACATAATAGAGACAAAAGCTGAAAGTTTCAAAATCCTGATCTTAAGAGAAAGATGAAAAATAAGAGAACTGAAAGCATGAGAATAACAGCCGAGGACATTTTGGGGGCTGGTTAGAGAAGTGCTGCCTGTATCTCTTTAGTTTAATCATGTTCATAAGCCTAATTGTCAAGATACTTTTGATGGCTAAGTGTTCATATGTTTTTTTTGAGATTAGTAAGTAACTACAACTTTTTTTTTAATGTTTCCCTTGTGCAAATGCTGACTATAGTTTTTTTACACTGCAGGTGTTTCTTTGAAGACTCAACAGCCAGGTTTTGTGTTGCCTGTGTTCTTGAGGCCTTTGATTATCTGCACAACCAAGGAATCGTTTACAGGGACCTGAAACCAGAAAACCTAGTGTTGGATGCAGAAGGATACGTAAAAATGGTGTGCTTCAACCTCATGTATTACAAATTACACCCACCAAATACACAGTCAATCCACTTTACAATATACCCTGTGAAGCACTTTGAGGCGTCTCAATGACATGATAAGGCGCTACAGTCAGTTAAGATGTCACTGCTTCGCAGAATCTGGTGTTTCCACGTTGATGTGGGCAGAGGATGTGTAATGCAGAATTTAAGATGTGAGAGCCATTTTTGAGTTTTGTTGGACTTATTTTGTGAAGTGGGAAGGACTTGCCGAATTTTTTCCTCGTGGGATCCTTTCTTCAAGAAGTGCAAATAAGTTGGTTAGAGCCCGAAGAAGATTCTGTCCAATGTGTGGATGGAGCAAGTTTGACTGGGTTTATTTTTTGTGAGTTCTGGTTTATCTCTGATTGTTTATATTTCACATTGTTATGATGGTCTGCTCCAACAAAAAGCACGTTCCTAAACAATGAAGTCAAAACGTTTTTCTCTAACCCTTTCACACTATGAGGCAGAATCTAAACCACTAACAAACAGCGGCATTAAATCAATGCCTTTTTAATAGAACTGCACAGAATGAGCTATTTATTCACAGAATGCTGTGACAAAGTTGTAGAACAGTGAAGGAATGATTATGCTTGGTACAAAACTGCTTGTTCTTGCATTGAAAACGTCTCTTTCCTCCCCATTAGCTCCCTCGCAGATATCTTTGCGATCCCACATCATTTTAGTAGCAGCATTGCATAATTTTCAATGTATTTCAGTTATACTTCCATGGATAATTACAATGTCATCATGCTGCAGATTCTCTTTCAGTTATCTTTTCCCAGTGTAATTCCAATTTGTATTAGCTATGTGTAAGGTTTACACACAGCTACCAATAGACACCAGTGTTCTTTGGATTTATTCATAGCTCTCTTTGTTTATCAGGTTGATTTTGGTTTTGCCAAGAAGATTGGGCTAGGCAAGAAAACTTGGACTTTCTGCGGTACTCCTGAATACGTTTCTCCCGAAGTTATAATGAACAAGGGACATGATTTTGGAGCAGACTATTGGTCCCTGGGCATTCTTGTTTTTGAACTACTTACTGGAAGGTAGATATTTTTATCTGTTCTTACAGCTCAGAAATGAATGTGTTTTCAAAAGAAAATGATCTGCTTGAAATATTTTTTTGGAGATTCCACAGGTAAAAAGTTGAACAATGCCTTAATAATAAATATGATTGGGTTCTCATCAGCCATTTGTTTACAACAAACATATTCAGGTGACTTTTATCTTGATTTGTCTTTGCATACTTTATTTAAAACAAATAACAATTCATACTTATGGATGAAAGTCACTTGTGTTTTTTTGTCAATGAAGGACATTAAGGTAAATGCAGTCATTAGACCAAGAGGTTTAAGGTCATGAAACCAGTGAAAACAAAGTCCCAGCAGCTTCTAGGAAGCTTTTGAAGTCCAGCCTTAGAATGCAGTCTTGAAATCGTTCTCCAATGAACATAGATCTGCAGTGTGGCACTCACTATGAGTTGAAAGTCTAAAACCTTCCACTTGGGAGGTTGTCAATACCTCTTATAATGATTCAATATTCATTCAGAGGAGTGAATTGTTTAACTTGCATTCTTGTCTTTAAAAAAATAATACATTTATGAGCAACTAGCAGATCATAGCATTTAACCCGAGATTGTTAGCTGAGATAGTAATGCCTCTTTGGGGCTTTTGTCTGCTTCCAAGCCCTCCTTTTACAGGACCTGACCCAATCAAAATTTACAACATGATTTTGAGAGGGATTGAGAAGGTGGATTTTCCAAAACGAATTGGTAAGCGGTCTGAAGATCTAATCAGGAGGCTGTGCAGGTAAGGAATCTTAATTTATAAAAGCTAGCCTTAAGGAAAATAAATGTGACATTGTTGTACAACGTGGATCTGTGGGATAGACTCCCTCAAATGATCATGACAATTAACTCCTTCAAAAATGAACACATTTCTGTTTGGATTTGATATTTCCTCTCTGCATCATATTGTATTGAACTAGGGTGGCATTGCAGTATGATGAATAATGGCAAATCAAATCGGATAGTACTGTTATGCCTGATTTGAACATTATTACTGAATAGATGACTGTATTGAAGCATTTCATTCATTGCATTCCTATCACAATTTTGCTGCTTGCAGACTTAATCCAACTGAGAGAATGGGAAATAAGAAAAATGGGATAAATGACATACGGAAACACAAGTAAGTGACAAATAATAAAAGGATTAAAAGGTTGCAGTTCATGAATGGTGCCACGTCTGTAATTATCACTACAAACTCTTAATGTAGCTGCCACTCTTACCATGTTAAATGGACATTGTTACCACAAACTGGAGCAGTCTTGAGTACTCTGTTTAAAATATCATTAATTTCTTTCTCTAATAAATGCATCCCTGGACTTAGCTGATTATTTTGACATGGAATTTAAAATGCAGCAAGAGCGGGATCCCCAATTTAAAGAATCCAGATGTATTTCACGCCTGCTGGAAGAAGCATCTTGAGATATGATGTACCTTCAGGCAGAGTTCCTGTGAGTGACATATATGACGTACTTTATGCTGGTGGACAGAGTCCCCACTCAGATTTCTTACTTGTGTAATCCCATTTGAAATGGATGTGTTTTAGACCCCACTGGCCCCACTTTAGACCCCACGAGAAGAAAGCCGCAGACAAGGTGAATGAAGACACAAGAGAATCATGTGATTCACAAGAATTCAAATGCATTATCCAAAATCTCACTCGGTGACCGAAGTGCAAAAGGGATTAATTACTCTGACTGTTTGGAGACAATCTCCCTTTCCCACTCTTGTTATTAGAGTCTTTGATCAGACCGCTAGTGTCGGATACACAACATAGAATGGACCTTGTAGTCCAATTATCACTTTAATCCAAACAGGATCCTCAGGAGTTAAATGCACAGTTCCGAGCACTATCTATCTGAAAGATCAAGGCAACAAACAAGTGTGTGCTTTCCCTGTATCATTTATAAACATAACCTTTTGATATTCCCTGAAATAAAAGTGATTGTGATATTTTGTTAATATGCATATTGCTCTTGAAAAGTACTTCATCTATGAATATTCAATTGATACTTATCATGAACAGAATACATTATATTTCCCTTTCATAAACATAGTAGAAATGAATAAACTTTTTTTTAAATTCCTTTTTAGGTGGTTTCAAGGTTTTGACTGGGAAGGCCTCAGAAATAGGAGGATGAAGTCCCCACTCACAAAAGAGGTAATTTGGGTCGTGCTGTGGTAAATAGCCCTGAAAATACACAACTTATTGAATACTGTTTTTTGCTTTCCTAAAACAGTGCTAACATGATCTTAGAAGTGTTTCTGAATTCTCTGTAGAAAACGTGATGTTCCTTAGAAATTAAATCCATAGAAATTTACAGCACAGAAGGACATTTAGCCCATCGTGTTAATGTTTTTATTGTGGAACTTTACAGACCATCCAGTTGTCTCCGTCTATTACTGTTGGCATTTCCCTTTAATTTCCTAATTGTTTAAGTAACTGCCTCCCCGTAACATTGTGGCCTGTGTGCAAGCCGGGGACAGCTGTCATTCCCTGCCATTCCCATTTAATAGCCATTGAGAAGCACCTGAAAAGGATGGATTTAATCTAAGAGGTTTGAAATTCTGTTGGTGAGTCAAGTTATCAGCAAGTACATCTCTACTATTGCTCAGGCATGGTCAGTATATTGTCAGGTTGGGGAAAAGTCCAATTGAAGAATGTGCCAATAATGTTATGCAAGAAAAACAGCACAGATTGTTGTAAGAAAAGTGAAAAGTCCAACAGATGTTTCAACACGCATCCTACAAAGGTGGAGTTTGCTCTGAAATCCATAAATGTGTCTCTCATTCACATGTAGTTTTCAAGGCTGTATTGGTACATAATTTCAAATTCATTCTGGTCTATTTCCTTTCTTTAAGTTGAAGGGACCTTCAGATCACAGCCACTTTGACAGCTTCTCTCCGGAGAACAATGAACCTCCAGATGAGTTCTCGGGCTGGGATATAGACTTCTAAGCAATGGTCACCAAGTGCAATGTGTTGAGGATCAAGGCTAAACGTTTTGAGAATCTGGAGTGAAGAAGAAAATAATGGCTTGTAACAAATTTTAAGAAAGCCATTGATAATGTGATCACTTCATTTCAATTGGAAATATTGTATCAAGTTTTACAATGAATGCTCTGCAGGCCTGATATGCAGCGATGTAAACATGTGCCTTGCAGCCCTTGTGTAATAGGGTTAAAGACCAATGCAAGCCACTCCTCAAATGAATCTATGCTTTGTGATGCATTTAGTTCACACACAGGTTATGGAGTTGGTGAGTCAAATAATATCACATAGGTGGAACATTTTGCGTTTCAAGGACAGCGAATGGCAGAAATACAATGTAACAACAATGTCCATTGTATTTTAAAGGAAGATAGTATAATCCTAGACATTTCAACCCGAAGGTGGCCATTTGGCCCTTGGTGCCTGTGCCACACTAATTCTCCACTGGAGGTATTTGCTCTAATCCTATTTCCCTGGTCATACCTGTTTATATTTTATTATTCATCTAAAATGCTGCAATTCACTGTTAGTTAATAGTCACTCGTATTTACATATTTCACATCCTAATAACTTTAGGGTTTTAAAAAAATCTAACCTCTCGCTTTATACTTTAGTATTCCTCTATCAATGGGTATGAGCAGGTGCTAGTAAGATATGTACCATGAAGATGAACCATCTCTCTCCAGTTGGTGAAATCTCATGCTGAAACCTGAATTATTGTAGTGATTATTGTAGTTTCTGTGGAAAAATCCTTGTTTACATTTGGAGACATGACATGTAGCAAGGAAGCCTTTTTAAAAAGTTGATTCAAGAACAGTTTTAGAATTAATTTCATTATATTGTGAAAAACAAGATTTAAGTCAATGAATTTTTTTTCATCATAGTTGTATTTTTCTTGTATGCTTTTCAAAATGTATATGTACCACATTAAATAAAAAATGGACAGTATTGTTCAAATCTGAAAGGGGTGAATTATTACACATTTTATAAATATGCTCAACGGCCACTTAGAGACACTAAAATAACAGAAGGAAAGGTCACCTTTATTCATGAATATATCTACGCTAATAAAGACGAAATGTCTGTCTATGTGTCTGTCTGCCAAGAACGCAATAACCATTGATGTAGAGAAATTATTTATATGATTTATACCTCATCAGAAAGGCCTTGCAAGGCAGAGCGTCATGGGCAAATTTGTTTTTTGGAGTTCTTTTATCTTGTATTAAAAAAATACTAAAAAATGCTTTAATTAAGCCCCCAAAAGATATGCATGGTATTCTGCAACAAACAGAGGTCACACACTCTTCTGGAGAGATACATCTACACTAATAAAGGCAAAATATCTGTCTGTATGTCAGGAGTCCTCCCACAGGAGTCCTCTCATTGAGGCCTCCTACTGAGTTCCTCCCACAGGAGTCCTCTCAAAAGGATATGTGTGTAAATATGTGAACAAGGGATTCTAACAAGTTCAATAGCACATTTTCTTAATCTTAAGGGATAAAGATGCCTAAGAAGTGAAGATGAAGTCTCTCAAGGACAAATAAAAATGCCGAACAAAAGAGAGAAGGCCGATTAAATGAAGCTGGTACCAAGCGTAGCTGCAATGGGTACAGCTAGTTATATATAAACCTGAGATAAACTCCTGATCTCCAGAAGATCATCCACCCTCATCCCAGATGCAGGATGATAAATACAAGCTCCCATCCCTCTGTGTATGGATCCACAATGATTCCATACAATCAATCAATCCTCCCGACAATTCATTGTGATTGTGAATTTAGAATTACGGGTTGGGGGAGATGAAGGGCCTTTGTCTTCCAAATTGATTTTGTGATTTATTGGAAGGTAAAAAGCAAGGTCAAGCTTTGAACAAAGATAATTCAAATGTTTACCTTTGTGGGAATATATATTTTCAGCACTCATTACTAGATTTAGAGCTCTGATTTATGGTTCACGAGGAAAGGTGGAGAAAGTTTTTGCAAACATCATAGATGTAAACTTATTAACCGATAGACACAATCTGCCAAAAACTCAATTCCTTGTATATGAGTAGAGCTAGATATGAGCTCTATATATGACTTTAAGTCATAACTCAGATGATGAAGGTAAATAAAAAATTAAACATCCAATTGATTCAAGCAAATGATTGTTTAAATATCATTTTGTGCAGATCTTATCATTCTATTTATTCTGATACGCAACAGATTTTAAGAAGATGTGATAATAAAGCAGATGTAGCGTGAAAAACATAATTACTATATAAACTGTTCAATGATTCCACATTCAATTGTACAATTTGAATTGCTGCACATATAAATTGGGTTGCAGTTTCCATAACAACATGTTTACCACTAAAAGCGAGCCATGCTGGTGATGTGTGCTGCTGCCATGGGAACTGCATGAGAATTGACAACTTTCACCATCTGAACTTTCAAATTAGAAAATTTTCACCAAATATAATATTTGAAGAATTTTATGTAATTTGTTTTATAATAAAAATACTCATCCTTACATTTGATATAGCGCCTTCCACAATGGGAGGACCTCACAAAGCACTTCACAGGATTTACTGTAAAGTGCAAGGACTGTGTATTTTGTAGGAGAAAGTGGCAGCCAATTTGTATACAGCATTGTCCCACAAACAGCCATGAGGTGAATGACCAAAGATGGCCTTTGCCCAGGAAAAAAGATGTAATTGGAATGTTAGCCTGTAGGATTTATGAATAATATTTATGGAGTGTGTTCAGATAGGTCAGTTAGGTCAATATTCTGTTTAGCACATGTTAACAAATCATTCTAGGACTTTTCTCTTTCGAAAGAGAAAGCTGGTAGACACGTTAAAAATAACAAAGATTGCAGGTAAATTTTCTGTCATGTGGAAAAACTCGAGAACAAGGAGGGATCATAGCTCCAAAATAAGCACAGCAACAGGAAGCAGAAATTGCAGGAAAACCTTTTTCTAGCAAAAGAGTCACAGGCACGTAGTGCACACTACCGGTGAGGTGGTGGAACAAGCAATTAAAAACAACTGAAGAATTAACAAGACAAGTTCCTGGAAATTAAAGTCAAGACTCCACTGTCTAAAGCTGTCAATGTTCCTTCATGTTTTATGTCTTAAGTACTATGACAGTGAGATCATAAAGGTCTGATTGTTGCCTCATAGGGGTGTAGATGTACTAAGGATTTACTTACTTCTGGTGCCCCCGTGTGCTGTGAAGCAGCACTGAGATGCAGTGTAGGCAGAAGAGGCTTGTGTTGCCCCTGTGGGAGTCAGGTTAGCAATTTGAACTTCCACGCAGTGATTTGCTGTTGTTTGGCCCCTTTACAAATCAAGAGTTGTAAGAGAGAAATTGTACGTGAGGTGACAATACCAGGCTTGTACTCCAAATTAGACGCACTTGTCTTCGAAGAAGTATTCATGATGAACTACTTTGCAACAAAATCACCATAAAATCAATGAGCCACTTTGTGCAGTGAGTGCTACCACGTGGTTGTGTGTTTGGAGGCAGCTGTGAACATTAGCGTGGAGCAATGTGACAAAGTGTGCTTGGACACAAGCATTGTGAGTATAAAAGAATATAATGCGAAAGTGACTTTAGAAGACAAGTAATTAACACCCTTTTAAACCTCCTGTAATGCCCTTCACATCAGGCAATGTGCACAAATCACATTATAACATTACAATGGTGCCACTTGTAGTTGTTTAATATTTGTTTTAACTTTTTGCTTGTGGTTATTGATTTAGTAAACACATAAGCCCATTCACGTTTGTTTCTGATCTTCATTTTGTATAAGGAGATGATACCTGCCAGGTTTTTGAATCAATTAATGTATACCCTGCTGAACCTTACAACGTGAGGACGATCCCGAGTTTACTATCTTTAGAGTCTATCCTTAGTTGGCATAGCAAAGGAACACTAAAAGAATAACACTAAAACTAGCCTTGGCGCCCATTGGTTAGGGAGGAGAAAATTCTGCTAAATTCTCTTCCCACTCTTGAATACTTTCCAGTGATTATATTATTATTATTATATTATATATTATATTATTATATTGACTGTATATTTTGTGGGCAAAATACGGCTGCCAATTGCACACAGTAGTGTCCTACAAACAGTCATGGGCTCCTACTTATTGCTCGGTAAACAGGTGTGTGGAGCAAGAAAACTTGCCCAACGCTTCACCCTGTCCAGGAATCAAACCCAGATCCTCTCATTCGCAAGGCGAGTGCTCTAACTACCATACTATAGGACTCCACTTTTGTGTCTGGAAGCTGAAAAGACTGGTGGAGCAGTGCTCTGTGAAACTGTACATTTGAAGAGATCCACCTGGTATTATTTGGTTAGATAAATCTATTACAATTTTCCTATTATATTCACTGCAAGTTGGGATCAGAATAGTATGGCTGTGTCAGGGTCTCTTCATCTTCTCAGGCATGTAAAACATGTGTTACGCTAGGAAATCTCTCCCCCTCCCCTGCCCACCCAAAGCCTGTTGTATCTGTGACATTCAATACCTTAGGGCTCACTGTACCTTACAGTCTGCATTGACCCTAACCTGTTGAATAATTTCTTTCTTATAGAAAATAATAGCAAAATACATAGTTTTTAAGTCCTTGGGTTCAAATACAGCTGACTTGAGGAGTCCTGTGGCTCAGTGGTTAGAGCACTCGCTTTGCAAGTGAGAGACCTGAGTTCAATTCCAGGCAGGGCGAAACCTTGGGCAAGTTTCCTTGCTCCACACGCCTAATAATAATCCCTCCAAAACCCAAAACAATAATAAATTGGTCATTTTCAATCTACGACTGTTTGTGGGACATTGCTGTGCGCAATTGGCTGCCGCGTTTGCCCACAAATATACAGTCAATTCACTTTACAGTGTACTCTGTGAAGCGCTTTGGGACGTCCTCCCGACGTGAAAAGCGCTATATCAAATGCAAGGATTATTATTATTATTATTATTATTATTACTTGAGCTTTTTTTAACGTTGTGGTAAAATTAAGCAGGAACTATATAATT